GATGCACGGATGTAAGCTCCCCAAACGGTCCAGCTGACGGATTTGACGGCGCGCTCTTCCTGCTGCATCAGACCTGCAGGCTTGCTTTTCTTGCTCTTCTTTTCGGACTTCCGCTCATTGGCTTCCCCGCTCTTAGCTTTTGCTAGTGCAGTTTCATCTTCTTGAGCGGTCGTAGCCATCAACTTTTGGAAATCGACGCTGGTAGTCATCAAGTTGTCAAACGTGTCGATGGCCTGGATATGGCCTTCTTCCATCCAGATAATCCGGTCACACCGAGAAAGAACATGAAGTTGATGAGTCGCTAAGATTCTGCATTTGTCCTTCATCAGGCCACAAATTGCCTTATCCATGATGTGACGGCCGACATGGGCGTCCACAGCCGAGAGTGGGTCATCCATCAAGACGATGTCGGCATCAAAATAGATCGCCCGTGCAATATTCAACCTTTGCTTCTGTCCGCCTGAGAGAGTAATACCTCGTTCACCGATTTCGGTCTGATCTCCCGCTGGCAAGATTTCCAGGTCGGGTTTCAACGCGCAGGCATCGATGACATCTCTGTACCATTTAGACTTGTACGGCTTACCGAAGAGGATATTCTCCTTCACAGTGGCATTTTGGATCCAAGCATATTGCGGGCAAAATGCGCGAGAAGATCCCATCTTGACCTTGCCGCCCGTTTTGCGCATGTCTCCAGCTAGAGCAGCGAGAAGTGAAGTTTTGCCAGAACCAACAGTCCCGATAACGGCGATCAGTTCATTCCGGCCCACTGTGAAATCCATGTCGTGCAATTTGAAGGGTTCCACCTCCGTGATTTCACTTGCAATGTCTTCGTTGGATGCCCCAGGAGATTTCTTGTTCTTCTTTGCTGCCTTTTCAGCTTTCTTTTCTGCCTTTTCGGCTTTCTTTTGAGCCTTCTTCCGTTCCTTCTCGGCTCTTTTGGCCGCCATGAGCTCGCCCCTTGTCTGGAATGTCCCAGCCCTCTCCTTATCTTGAGTTGCGGTCCGTTCCCAGGTAAAGGAAGCATGCTGCACTTCGACTGCAGGCTCCATCTCCTCATCCCAGATGATCTCGTCTTGCTGGTCTTCAGATAGTAGAAACTCCTGAATACGCTGAATCGCGGTCTGGGCATCAGTAACTTGTCCAAGAACCAGAGGAAGTAAATTCAGCGGCATCCGTAGGGAATTGAAGAGGGCTAATGACGAAAATATCCGCGAAGGAGCAAGACCATGGTCAGACAGCGAATATGTGATGAAAGCCAGCATAGCTGCAAACACTGGCATTGACATGGCAACCGCGTTGATGGCATTTCTGATTGACAGCAAGACCTGGACAGCCCTGATTTCTCTCTTGCGGAGTTCCTTCAGCCGGTCCAGAAAGCTCGTTTCCCATCCAAAGAATTTGACAAATCGCACGGAGCCCAGAATTTCCTGTGTCAAGCTCACACGCTGATCGGTGACTTTGTTAATCTTTTTCCTCCTTGCTAAGAGAGATTTGATTGCTTTGGTCAACATGGGCAGGACGATGACCAGTAAAGCATAGCCCGCCAGCGCGCTATATCCAATGTTGATACACAGTACGACCAAGACGACGATGATCTGAATGGGCGATGTCCACATGATATGGAACAAGCCAGAGGCCTGGTCGATGCGATAGGTATCGACACTCATCAGATTGACAATCCTGCCATTGTTCCAACCGACGCCATCTCCGGCAATACCGGCGCCTCTATCAGGTGTAACTTTCGGGCCACCCTTGGAATTAAGTCGCTTAGAGAGGATGCGGGCGAGAGTCGACCTGGCCTGGTGCTTCTCGTCTTCGGTCTGCACCACCGTCTCGGACGCTTCCTCGGCTTTTATGGCCTTTCCTCCGGCTTTTGCCCTTCCGGAGATGATCAAAGATTTCTCAAAGATGGCGTTGATCAGCACTGCTCTGCACTCTCCTCCAACCATCATGCCACGGTAGATGAAATGATTGGTCGCCATGGACTGACACATTTGCATGAAGGTGATACCGATTACCAGGCCGATGCCGTGACCGATGTTAGGAGATTTGCCGCCGGTCTTGTCCGCAATCCAGGCATCAGTAGCAAACTGAATCAGGTAGCGGGTAGTAAAGGGCGAGAAGACCTGAAAAAGGGCGGAAAACAGTGCACACATGGCTCCGAGCAGAAATTCGCCTCGAAAGGTGTCGAAAAGGGCAAACATCAGAGGGTTACGTTCCCCTCGTGCAACTCGACGTTGGAAAGAAGCCGACAATTTGTCCCTCATGGTCGTAGCACTTCTGTCGGGATTGACAAGCCAGATGTCATTCAACTCGATTGGTCGCTTGTAACCTGTCGTCATGAGAGGGTTCATCCACTGGAACAGTAACAGGCTGAGGAAGCTCGCGTTGTATTCTCGACATACTGTCCTCTCCTCTGGTACCGGCGGAGGGTTCCGACGGAGCGGGTTTATTCTGTAACGCCATGGTACTTTCTCTGACTCTTTCTCGTGTGCATAGGCAGCAGTGCTGGCTTCGGTCGCCTCAGTTACGCTCGACTCGATCTTTTCCAATCGCGTACTGTCTTGGCTCCTGCCTCGTCCTTCTCTTCTCGGATCCCTGGGAACCTCCAGATATCGTACTCGCTCATCCCTCTTTTCCAGATCCTGCTCCTCGATATCGTTCCGGGAGACGGCGCGCTCGAGATCCTTCTCGTCGTCGGTATGCGCCATAGCGTTTGCTTCCAGTCTAAGGGACAGTCAACAACGAGTGGAGGTTGATGGAGTCTGTCGAGCAGTCCATGATGGAGTAACCGTCGACGGGGGGAGGGGCAGATATTAATATGTAGTGTTACTCCCGAAGAATCGGTGACGGAAGGACTGAGAGCCGGGAAGTGATGACTGGGAGGGGGACTAGGATCAGGCGCAAAACATCCTCGGTGTTGTCGCAATGGATGTTGAGCAGAACCTTTACGGCAAAGCGGCCACAAGCGAGGGAAGAGGCGTTGAATGGGCGGAGACGTCCTACTGTCGCAGAGCTAATGGGAACAGAGGAGATGACCAGGCAGACTGTTCATGATGCAGAGGGGTGGACACGATGAACAGACGTCGAGCCATCCAAGATGTCGATTGGGGCGGCTGTGTTGGTTGCATTCTTCGAGCCTAGCTGGGCTTGCTGGGCGGGCTGGGGTTTGTGAGGCGCACTTTTTGAACCACGGACTGGGGTGGGTGTTGAAAATCTCGACAATCCCAATTGGCGCCTGCGAGGCGAAGCTTGTATCTGCCCATTTGCCCCAACAGAGTCAAGCGGAGCGATGTTGGTGATGCTCCTAGTACCTAGTACTACCGGAGCTTAGCAATCCAAACGCCTGAACGGGCAGCCTAAGTTCTCCGCAAAATTCAATACTCATTCAGAGTACTCAGTAAATGAAATGTGCTTTGCTTCATTAGAGTTGATTATTCCTATTGTTCTGGAATGTGGATGGATGGATGGATGGATGGATGGTGGAGCGACTTCAACGAAGTGGGTGCCTTCTTTTTTTGTGGCCTCCACGGTATTGCGGGCAGCGAGTAAACGACCACCTTGACCTCCTTGACCACCCTCGTATGATCTCACCTCTAAGCGTCACCAGCATCAGTGTATTATCCTCCGCAATACTCGGTACCTGGTACCTGGCTGCCTGGATGCTCCCGGCTCGAGGCTTGCTCAAAACGCTCCCACGTTTGCCGGGCGAGTGCTGTGCGACTGCTCAAACACGGTCTTGTGTATCCCCAGAGACCGCCATTTCATCCACCTAAAGACACCTTACATTGTGCCACAGGTGGCAATCCAGCGGTAAAGACGAATCCAAGAAGCCCACGGACATTATGCATGACTGCCTGAAGCCCGGCCGCTTGACCCCACCACGTCTTTGGGATCCTTTTTTCCCCGGCAGATGACTCTTCGAACCTCGCTTCATATACCTGGCCGGGTAAGACGTGCCGGTAGGAATAAAAAAGGTCCTTTTTGTCGTGCGGGAAAAACCCCCTTCCCGACAACTTCCTTCCTGTTATGGAGTCCATTATCTTTCGAGATTGGCCTAGACTGCGGCCCTTATGCCTGTTAGCTCGGGGCCGAGATTCTGTCTATATCTTCCGATCGAAAGTGGAGGCAAACACGATGTGTTCTGTTCTGCCTGTCTGAGATACATAAATCGGGACGATAGCAGACATCCCGTCGGCAAACCGGCTCCTCTGCTTACGGAATGCATTCCGACCAAGCGGAGGAACCTTAATGCTGTTGGACTCAAGGTCGAATAGAAGCAACGACTGGGCAGGGCATCGACTGCTTGAGGAACGACTAATAGACAATGAGGTATTTGTATGGCCCCTTAGATGGCAGGTGTCGAAGTGAGATCCCTGTGGTGGCTAGCCACTTTATGTGGACTCAGTACTGCTGGGGCTATTAGCTTAAGCAATAGAGTTGGTTCATCCGGCAGACACGAACAGCCACTTATGGATGGAGGAGTGTGGGAACATGCCTAGCAGATAAGGCTCCTAGAGAAACTTGCGCGAGGCGCTCCTAGGTCCATGCAATTTGACTGAATTTCCAGCCCTTCCGCTTGACTTTCCTGCCAGAGGTCCGGACCTGCCATCCTTGGACTTGTTCGTCCGTTGCTGTCCAGATGTCAGACACACCAAAGGACCTGCTTGGCTCAAGTGTATTGGATACGAGGTACTCCATACCTAGGGATGTCCCCATCCTCTACCTCCGGAACCGGTCCGTCCGGCGGGAGACCCAGACACAGGCGTGGATCTGAAGGACAGGACGGGAGCCTGATGCCTACAAGTATGTACTGGCGAATAGGCCAAAGAGAAGCGCACAGCATCGCTGAAATCACCTTATGCAGCACACCATGCACTGACTTTCAACTCCCTCATCGTCATGTCTTCCATTCACACGGTTCGAATGTGGTATTATCAGACCCCCTTTGGAATCGATATTTGATGACTCGGCCCCGAGACACGAAGCCGCAAAACTCCCTACAAGTTCGTGCTTGCAGCGACCCCTTCGAGGAGGTCCGTGGTCCTTCGCAGTTCATTGACCTTTTTGTCAACCCCTTTCCAGCAGTCGGGTCCGATGATGACCCTCAACAACTTTTCTCTCTTAACGAGCTCTCCAGCTTCGCCTTCTCCAGTTGCAGCTTCAAACATCACTTGAGCGGCTTTGTTGGGGTCTCCAATTGCCACCTTGGGCAATGTTGAAATGAGTTGAAGCATTTGATTAACCGGATGGTCACCCGCGTACTCCACGGATGGCTCAATGTGTTTGCCAGTACTCGAACTGCCAAACTCCGTTCTGTAAGCACCTGGGACGATTATGAGAACCCTGATCCCAAACTGTGCAACCTCTAGGCTACAAGACTCGGATACAGCTTCCAAGGCGGCCTTGCTTGCTGCATAGACACCGCAGGCGAGACCCGGAGCAACGCCTTGTGTGCTGGAGACATTCATGATAACTCCGGATCTTCGTTTTCTCATCCCAGGAAGGACAGCCTGCATAATTCTCAATGGCCCGAGGAAATTGACCCGCATCTGGAACACAGTATCGGCGTCAGGGATATCCTCCACAGCCCCCAGAACGCTCACGCCAGCATTGTTGACGAGTACGTCAATGCCGCTGAAGAGGGACTCTGCAAATTGCATTGTCTTCTGGATTTCTTCTTCTGACCGTGTCGCGTCGAGCGTGATCCATTTCCCGCCGCTACCTTCGACTTCGGACACCAAATCTGGCGTTTTGGATGGATTGCGGGATGACGCGATGACAATATGGCCTTTGGCGATGGCGTAGCGAGTCAAAGCAAGCCCGAGGCCAGACGAAGTGCCAGTTATGAACCAGACTGGTGCTTTTCCTTTGGTAGACATGTTCGTACGAGGGCCGCGATGGATAGAGAATCACAAGTCTACTGAAGGAGATATTCCGACCTATTCTCAAATCTAGGCGAAGGTAGTCACACGCGTAGTGTTATATGAGTACGCCGGTCAGTGAAAAGAAAGGTATCGGACATACGCACGGATTTTGCAGGTAAGTTGACTAATGCTAACCTCATAGAGCTCGGATCAGCTCTGGTCAAGAGAGCGTCTTCCAAATGCGTTCTCTTCGTTCTGCCGTGTGGTTGATCAACCCTATGAGTGTACTTTGGAGGCGCCAGGCCAGCCAGCGCGGTACGAAGTTGCTCTGCAACCCGCTGACTGTCGCCTGTCCGGATTTACGTGCTTTGGTGCTCGGCGCCGTTGGTAGAATAATGGGGTTAATTCAAAACAAAAAAGAAGGACTCGGTCGCCACACCAACAGCTACCTCGTACCCGGGTAGTCATCAATATAATACTTCAGAAGAACTGTACGTAGAGATAATAAAGTCACAAGAGGAAGATGGATAGAAAGGCTGGAACTGTTACCTCGGAATGTGATCGGATGCGGAAATGGTGCAGGATTATTTCGGAACAATGTGATTGGATCTGGGGTTCGCAAGCAATTGCACGCCACTTTCCCTCCTCTTCAATCTTCAATCCAATCTCAATCATCTTCTACAGCTACTCCGTCCTCTCCGCTCCAGTCCATCTGATCATCACCGGTCCTGCGCCATCAGTGCTGTACCTGGCAAGCTTCCACATTGGCCATGGCAGCTCTACGCACAGCATCGCGCTTGGTGGCGCCCGTCCGAGCTACCATCCGACCTTCCATCGTGAGATCATACGCCACTGTTACCAAGGACAGTGCCTATAATCTCTCTGCCAGCCGACCTCCTGCCCCTCCGTCCAAGACCAGTACAGTGCAAGAACCAAGGCCGGATAAAGATGCAAAGATCAAGACATTCCACATCTACAGATGGAACCCAGACGAGCCGACCTCGAAGCCGAGAATGCAGACATACACTCTGGACTTGAACAAGACTGGCCCGATGATGCTGGATGTGCTGATTCGTATCAAGAATGAGGTAGACCCAACGCTGACCTTCCGCCGAAGCTGTCGAGAGGGTATTTGTGGCAGCTGTGCCATGAACATTGACGGAGTTAATACTCTGGCCTGCTTGTGTAAGAACTGGCGATCTGATCCTGGAATACACTTCGAACTTACAATGTTTACAGGCCGAATTCCCACGGATACATCGAAGGAATCCCGAATTTACCCCTTGCCACACACCTACGTGGTCAAAGACCTGGTCCCTGATCTGACACAATTCTACAAGCAATACAAATCTATCAAGCCTTTCTTGCAACGAGACACCAAGTCACCGGATGTAGGTTCTGCCGACATGCTCCAAAGAGGCGTTTGCTAACGGGTTTCAGGGCAAGGAAAACCGACAGTCGCCAGCTGACCGGAAGAAGTTGGATGGGTTATACGAATGCATCCTCTGCGCTTGCTGCTCCACTTCATGCCCATCTTATTGGTGGAATAGTGACCAATATTTGGGCCCTGCCATCCTCCTTCAATCGTACCGCTGGCTGGCCGATTCTCGTGACGAACGCAAGGCCGAGCGCAAAGAAATGCTGGACAATAGTATGAGCTTGTACCGATGCCATACCATTTTGAACTGTTCAAGAACCTGCCCAAAGGGACTCAACCCCGCCAAGGCGATTGCAGAGATCAAGAAGAGCATGTCTTTTGCTTAAGCTTGGTGCGAGGAAAAAGAATTCAGGGTGGAATGGGTCCCTCGTGGCTGTTCGGGTGCACTCGACGCCTTCACACAATTTGGTACCATCAGATAGCAAAATGCTGTATATATACATGCAGTACGGTGTGCACGAAGTTTGATGATTTGACAGTAGCCGGCGCCCCTTCATGTTCAACGACTTATCACATATCACGGCATTGGCATCCGAAGACCTTGCACAAATGGGGTCCCCGTGTCACCATTGGCGGGCTCTCTCCTTCCTTATCAACCTATGGAATGCACTAAGCGCATTCGGACCAATATAGCTCCGCAACCCAATGCGTTGATTAAAAATACAAGCCCATAACAATCGCGCAATTGACCCCAAGTATTGCGATTTCCTCTCCTGCAGGTCTGAGAGCGTACCCTCTCTACATATAATTACGATGGAGTGCTCGTGCTCGGGTCAAGCTTTCGGCAGTTTACACCTATGGATCGAATCCCTGAGACCGTCTACTACTAGTCGGAGGACGCGTTTGGCGGAACACATTCCGACTACGTCGCAGGCGAGACAACAACAGTCACTCAACGACCGGCCCTTCGATCAGTTATATCCCTTCGATAAGACATCTGCTGTGGTTGCTGGTGATGATGAGACCGTCTTGTATCTTGGATATGGATCCAATCTGAGTGCTGAGACATTCAGAGGGAAAAGAGGTATACGTCCAGTATCGCAAGTCAACGTTCTCGCGCCGACTCTGTCCTTGACCTTTGACCTACCGGGTATCCCATATTCTGAACCGTGCTTTGGCAATGTACGTTATAGGCAAGAGACACCCCAGCAAGAGGGAAACTCCACAACTGCGAAGGACTATCATAAAGATCGTTGGTCAAAGGGTCTGGTCGGTGTGGTCTACGAAGTGACAAAGTCCGACTATGTGCACATCATCGCAACAGAAGGAGGTGGGGCAGGATATCAAGATGTGCTCGTCGATTGCTACCCTCTCAACGGGGGTCCGATGGAGGATGTTCCCCTGATGCCGTCGGGGCAACCTTTCAAAGCCCATACTCTGTTCGCACCCGCAAAGACCACACGACCTGACCCTTCCTACGCACAACCGAGCCCGAGATATCTCAAACTGATAACGGACGGCGCCGAAGAACACGGATTACCACTCGAATATCAAGCCTTCCTGCACCAAATTCGATCGTTCCACATAACAACCACAAAACAGAGATTGGGCTCATTCATCTTTCTAAGTGTGTGGTCTCCCTTCTTCTTGTTCTTCGTGGGTGGAGCCGCTGCGATATTTCTGAAACCAGATGGGACGTATCCGAAGTGGTTTGCGAATTTCTTGAATGCTATGTTTACGGCATGTTGGACGAGTTATGATCACTTCTTCAAGGAGACGTTTGGAGACGGCGAGAGGACCATGAAGGAGAAGGATGATGCCGACGAAGGCGATCTTGAATATGCGAAGATTGAATCTGTCATGGATGAGAAAGCGCCGTTGATTGAGCGAGTGCAACATAAATATGGGGCGGTGAGCACGGTGGAACGAATTGTATGAGAATGGTACGAGAATTTCGATGAAAGATGTTTGGATGTACTGTTGGAAATGGCCCTGAATCGCCCTCTGCTTGACTTGAAGTATGGCCAATGTGTTAAGGATCCAGTGAGTTGAACAAGGAATTTGTGCCGAATCATGTCGGTGGCCTTCTACACCCACCAATCCAGGTGCTTCCATCTCCTCTTCTCGCTTCACTCCTGCGCCTAGTTCACAACAACAACAATTTCTCCCATGATCTTGTTTCTTATGATCCAATCCCATCTCCGATAATGGACAAGCAATCTCACTTCCAAGCCTCGTTTTCAGCCCTTGTGAAGTGCCTCGACCAGAGCTTTCGGAAAGGGGGACTAGTGAGGTAAGTCTGCACCATTGAGCGCTGCATATCAGCAAGCTGATCAGGTCTTCTCCACAGCCTTCCAAACGAGATCATCAAGCCCTTCAGGCAACCCTTCACTCCCGCCGAAGGCTCTCTGCTTCGCGATCTGCTGAAGCTCTTAGAGAATGGCCGACCAAAAAATATCGTCCGTCTTGATTCGCAGTCTTTCTACACGGTTGCATCAATCATTCTCCATTTCCCTTATTCAGAGACGCAGAATAAGCTGCTATATGTCTTCATGGTAGGTGGGTTCCCATGAGCGTTGAGATCAGGCTTATTCGATCAGGAAACGATCCGACAATACAAAATTGAAAACACGTTCGCCCCAGTCTTGTCTCGGATCCGTGGGACTGAAGTAACTCCTGCAGAAGTCAAAGAGCAGGGAGACTACATTGGAAGGAAGCTAAGCTCCTGCATACTGCGCCATCTGGTGAGCAGTGAGAAAAGATCGCAGCACCGCTGGAGGGTACTGACTTCCCGCAACCCACGACCGCCGGCTAGGAATATTGCACGAAGCTGACATTGCACAGCTAGCGCAATTTCTCTCTGTCCTACTTCGCACGAGTTCGGTCGCGACAAATCAGATAATGAATACTGCTGAGTGGTAAAAAGCAAGCGCCCAGTATCTGTACCCCTGCCTAACGCCAAGACAGCCACTACTTGACGGCCATTCTTGAAACAGAGCGGAACTATTTTCTTCGCATCCTCGTAGCCGATGTGGTCCGAGAATTACTGTTCAATGGTGCAGAACGGGAGCCTCTGAAGAAGTCATGTGGCAAGCCTAGCATTGTGGATGACTTCCCTCTTTCGAAGAATGGGGATTCTATGTGGATGAGCAAGGCAGTCGACCACCTCAGCGGGATCGACCTTGAAAGAGCATTCGTTGGACAGTATGACTGCTCCTTGTGAGACATGCATTGTTTAGCTAACGTTCTGCAGAGCTGAACGTATATTCCGAGTACAGCGGCTCGCGTGTGATGGAAACAAGTATTTCGAGAGTCCCTCCCCATTCATCGCAACGGTTTCGAGCGAGATCTCGTTTCTAGTACCGAATGGAGTGGATATGCTCACGTTGTTCTCTGTCCCAATGTCGAAGAATATCTCTCTCAATCGGCCAGCGTCTGGGTCGGAATCGTCTGCGGTTGTCGAGATCCGGTATCCTGGAATTGAAGGGGATCGGTTCATAAATGGGGCCAAAGGTGCTATAAACAGCCTCACTATGGCACTTTGTGACAATGAAGCAGTGGAAGCCTTCATCCAAATGACTGAGGAACGGCGGGTTGTCCCTGTGCTGGGCGACGTACCAAGTGCTGCGGGGAGTCCTAAAAAGGAGTCGATTGCCTTCATTGAGTTAGGATCAGCTTCTGCAGACGACAACCATGAAAAGAGTAAGAGATTGGATGCTACGATGACCTCTGAGGCGGATGGTTCGTCTCCTCTCCGCAATATTTCGTTGCGTACACGTCAGAAGGTTCGCATGACTGCTGCATCTACAACACAAACTCATACTTCGAAGTCTGCGTCGAGTTCTAGTGTCAAGCCGGCCGAGGACACACCTACCTTGAAGCGGCCCTCAGAGGTAAGACCATTGATTGAACGACTACGTGCTTCCCAGGAAGGTCCGAATGGTGCGCACTTGAAAGCAAAAGTAAGCTCACAGCAGTCGCAAATGCGTCACAGGGATTCGGGCGCAGACCTGGTGAAAGGTGTATTGGGGGAAGGACCATCATTCGACTTGTCTGCGGCTGTTACTACCCGGACTTTTCAATCTCAACCACGTGGCCTAGGCCAGACTCCGTCATCCAACAAGTCGATACACAAGCAGCCCGCTGAGTTAGCGGACAGGCTAGCTTCTAATTCATCGAAGGGAGGGGTCAAAATCATCGGTGCAGATCCTGGACGACGTGGTGATAAGCGAAAAGTTGGATCTGCCCGCAAACGGCCCAGGGACCAGATCACCATGGCAAAACTAGCTGAAGCCCAGCCTGGCTTGGAAGGCAATTCCCAAGTTGGGAATGCTCCGGCGAAAGGGGGCCTCAAGCGGAAGACAATCAAGGGCTCTACGGCGCATACGAACGAACAGTCACAGAAACCGTCTCAATCCACCCCAAAGACAGCTCAGTTTGACCTCCCCCCTGACGATGACGAGGAACCCCGTCCCACGAAGAAGGCAAAGACGAAGAATCCGAAGCCTACGTCGATGGCCTCTGTGAAGGAGTCTATAGAGAAGAAAAAGGGGAATGTCCAGATCGCGGCTTCACCAAAAGGCCAAAAGAAAAGGGGGCCCGAGAACAAGTTGGGCAAGAGGTCAGAGAAAAAGATCCAGAAGACGGCCACCTCGACGCGAGCCAGACGAGCTGGCAAAACACCAAAATACGTAGAAGAATCCAACGAGAGCGGCGAGGGCAGTGCAGGGCAAGAGACCAATGAAGAGGAGGAGATAGAGGAGCACGACCAAAAGGATGACAAAGTCGACGAGGATGTTGAAGACTCACACCCACTCAGCAAAGGAGGGCTAGAAGATCCTCTGAAAGTTTCACAGCTCGAATTTGAATCAAACATGCGAGGGACCGTCGATGGAGACTGCACTGCGGAGAAGGGTGTGCCGACGGAAGGAGCTCCTTCGCGAGATGCTTCAGACGAGCAAGCCGAACCAAAGCCCAATTCTCTCGTACAACCTGTCCCCCATGAGCATACTCCTGCGAGGAAGGACAAGCACGTGCCGAATCCTCCGGGCGCAAAGGCTGTCCCCAAAGACAAGCCCAGTATAACCACCCATGCTAAGCAAAAATCTACACCTAGGCCCATCTCGGAAAGACTGAGTGAGAGTTCAATACCCCCCGTGAGCGAAAAGCTATTCAGGAAGACTAAAATTGTGCATTTTGGTCCTCAAGGTCCTGACAATCAGGCTGTTCAACAAAATTCCCTTGCGGAAGTAGCCGAGCCTGAAACGACAAAAGAGGCCAGCCCGATACCTCAACAGGCAGGATTGGTTCAGGGAGAACATGTGATAGACATCGACGAGGTTGTTCAAGACCGCTACTTTGAGCCTATACTCAAGTCACCGGAAATCAAGGGGATCCAGCCGTCACCCGCACAAGATGACGGCGATATCCTGGAAGACCCCAAAGGACGAGATTTGGTTGTTAAGACACATGTCGAGGACCGGGATGAGCAAAGCGTTGAAAGGCATAATGGATTAGCGACGGATATGTCCTATGACAAGGAAACCTCGGAAGATGTCTTCCCTGAAGGTGAAGAGGGGGCAAGCGAGCACTACTTCCAGCTTCCAAATGCTTCTAGCTCTCTGAAACCCGATATGCAACAGTTGAAACCACAGACACCCGTTCTTGACGACGAGGTGTCTGCCTGCGAGGCCCCCGAAGCTAAAGGACCTCCAGTTTCTCAAAAGCCAACTCGCCAGTCTATCGGGATCAACGCCGTCTTGGATGAGGAATATCCCCAGGCTCAAAAGGTCGTCAACACCGATACACTCCGTGCAAACCACCAGCGCCCCACAATGAGGGAAGTCAGGCGAAGGAGTGTTGCGCCCGACGTGCCCTCTCCAGTCTCCCAGGAAGTGGTCAAGTCTTACCAACTTGGGTCGACCCATGAAAGAGACGAGGTGGAAGTGGTCTCTAATGATAATGTTACATATAGTGGGTTTCCAATTCCTGCCTCGCAAAATATACGGGGAAATGCGAACGATGTCTACGACCGAACTATTCCATCGAGGAAGGAAAACTCACAGATTGTTCCACAGCATGGACACGGGCTTTCCATATCGCTACCACGCTCTGCGGCCGAGCCGATGGGTCCTCCTCTGCCACGGACGGAGCCATTCGGATCAGTTCAGCGACCCAATCCTCTTCGCAAATCCTGGCCCGAATCACAGGTGGAGGGGCAGGCGGCTTTGCCTCAAATGCTAATGAATGAGGCATACAGACCAGCCATTACCGGACCTGTTCGAGTGAAAAAGAGCCTGAGTCTCTCCCATGCAGGTGGTGGACCCGTACTTGAACCCGAAATGCCTCCAGCAACGCCTGCCTCCTTTTCTACGCGCCTTAACTTAGACCTACCCCTCCCAGCAAACGTGACACCAGGCAACGAAGGCTCGAAGATGACCGAACATGGAGATACTTGTCAAAACGCCGGTAATGACAGCCTGGCTCTTGTTAACGAAGACGAAAACTTTTTTGGAGATCGCTCAACCAAGGGGCCCAGACTAGGACGGAGACAACGATCTGAATCTGGGGATGATAGCTTCGTGGTTTCTGCCACTTTCCACAGAACGGGAGAAGCCGTCAGACAGGGCGATCCGATGATGGGTGTTATATCTGCCCGTGAATCTCAACGGGGTCTTTTAGATGCGATCATCAACATAACCAATGTACGTCGACGGTTTATATCTGGTGATCTCCACTGACATGTGCCCAGGATGTCCTATTCCGCTTTGGCACAGAAGAAGACGCCATGAAAGCAAAAGTTGACGAATACCATCGTGGGGGGAAGGAAATCATCCGAACACTAACAGATACATGGAATCAACGTCTGGAGCACGGGAACCGTCTCCTAGTGGATGTGTTGAAGGCAGAGAAGGAGGTTCTCACGACGGCACTTCAGCTCGTGAGAGACCGACAGCATTCGGGTGGAGCGTGGAAGGAGATAGTTTATGATCAGGGGCTGACGGGAAAGGTGCAGGAGAAGAGAGATAGTCTTCTAAAGGTGATTGAAAAGCTGACGAATAGAGGCTGAGCTAAACTACGTGATGGAGAATCTGTCCGACCAAATTGTCATGGAGGGAGGGAGGTGATTTTATGGTTGTGCACGATTGTAAGTGATCGTCTGTTTTCGAAGATGGACACGCAGGGAAAAGGAGTGTTTTCCTACACAGAGCCCTAGACTTTTTGAATCTGAAGGGGTCATCTTTTTTGCCTTGACTGCTGTTCAGAAATGTCTTCCTGTCGCCGCCTGCGCCAGAAACTCCTCGGGCATTTCGACTTTCTCGACAGTACAATTCCCTCCTTTATCAACTGAAATGCCGTGGTTCTTCTCAATCACTTTCCACTCCGCTATCTTGTACGTTGTGGGCTCGCTCGCTACAATAACGTGCTTGCCGTGGTCCTCCGGTTTGAGAGTGGCATTGGGGTTGTTGGTGCCGGAGGCATTGTCTGGGTACTTCCTGTTTAGGGTCACGCCGGCAGTGGTGCTGTAGTACAAACTTGGCGGGTTCTCGATGGCGTGGTTGCGCAGGCGCACGGCGATCAGCTGTTCGCCGTCGGTGCAGCACACGTTCAAGGAACAGGCCTGGACGTTCTCAGCGCCCAGCGTCTCCTGTTGCAGCCGAACGATCATGTGGAAGGCCTCGACCAGCGCGCCCAGCATTTCTTGCGGCGTATACTGCCGTTCCCAGCTCTGCGGGCCACCGCCGCCCCCGGCATTCCTGGTCAGATTAGTGATGTAGAGCGCCGCCAGATGCTCCGAGTCGGTCGTGCCGTAGATGTTCTCGTACGCGGACTTCTCCACGAGACTGAGCAACGGCCGGCGAATGTCTGTAAAGTGCGAGATCAGGCCGTTGTGCATGATGGTGTGCCGGCCGAAGACGAAGGGGTGGTTGTTGATGGCCGCGACCGAGGTCCCTGTCGCGGCGCGGATGTGAGCGAACACTGCGGTCGTCGACGTGCCGGCGCAGATGCTGTGGAAGTTTGCGTCGTTGTTCGGCGGCTGGGCATTTTTGTATGTTGCGGGCCGGATGCCATCAATGCTCGTGATGAACGAGGAGCGAACGGGGGTGTACCATACTAAGCCGAAGCCATCCACGTTGTTCAGGCGGTTGCGCAAGGTGATTTCCAGTTTCGACGTCTGTTCGCCGGGGACGTGCGAGAAGAGTTTTGGTAAGTAGTGGTCATGAACTTGTTTGGCAATGCCGTGTTCCGGCGTGATGAGGACGTCCTCCAGGAGGCATTCTTCGGAGGGCGAGATGTAGGCGAACCACCGACACATGTTGAATATTTGTTTACCTTATGACTTTACAGAATAATTATATCCTTTTTTTTTTAGTTTTAATGCGAATAGATCAGTTCCACCCAAATACAGTTTTCATGGACGAGGGGAAGGGGCAATTGAATCTGGAAAAGTTCGGATATAAATGCGGTGCTCATACCCGGCACGGCAGATATCTCAGGCAGAGCGGAGGTACAATTTCATCTAGGTAGCAAGACTCACTATTTATTTGGAGAGATGTGGGAAGGAATGGGATAAAGGAAAAAGTAAAATGCTGAAGGAAAAAAGAACCCAAGGGGAACTTCCCCACGCTTCTCGAGCTGAGGTCCCTGTATCTTCTTACCTAATACTCCATTCTGACCCAGTGAGTACGAGGTACCAAGAGGTACATAGGTGCGCTTGATCCCTTTCCACCCGTGCAAGGGATCAAACTGGGAATAAGATGCAGGAACTTGTTGCAAGATCTTGCATCACCATATGTGCTCTCTGTGCCACGTAATCGGTCAATCAGCTCCGCAAGGGATTTCGGGAAAAAGGTGGGTGACCCGGCTCGCCGGATACGTCATTGACAATGCCAAGTACATAGCCGTATCAAGCGTTTGCCAAACCTAAACGCGATCTAGTGTGTCAACGAAGAAAAGAATCTAAACATCCTACAAGTCCAGGCTTGGGCCACCGCGGAGAGCCGCCAGACGGGAAACCCAAGGGATCGTCATGGTCTCTGAGACTGCAAGAAAATCAGAACAATACCACAAGGCTTGGTGTCGCCGATGCCCTCTCGCTGGGCAGACATCCCACAAGTAACAGCGAGAAAGTTGGTAAAGTCCACCAGCGATTTAGGCGAATCGTCTATCCGAAGCCTAGGGTCAAAGCGATCGAATGCAAAACGAAGAAGTCCCTCAAATTACTGGTAGGTAAGAGAGCCTCACTTATCATAGCCGAGCCTGCGAATAGTGGTAGAGCCAGCCTCTAGCCAAGTTGGAACCATTTCAAGGCATCGCTTCCCAGTTCACGCAGGATTTCTTCAATTCCCTTGACTCGTCGTGCCTGCTCATGTAGACACACTCCCGCTCTAATGGAGGCGATGAAGTCAAGCTAACCCCACGGCTCTTCTCCCGTACTCGACTCATATAACTTCTTAAACGCCGAATCTCTCGCAAAAAGGGCGCCCGGAGTATCAAAGTCAACCAGCCTTCCATCTTCCATGACAGCGATGCGATCACTGTCCAAAATTGAGTCAAGCCGATGAGGTCCTGCGGCGCTCAAAACTGTGTATCCAGAGAACTCATCCTTGATCACGCGCCAAACAGCTTTCCCCGTGACGGTGTCCAGCTGACCTGTAACCTCGTCGAGGAGCAGCACGCCTTTTCCGCCGTTGTGTTTCTTCTTTTCTTGACTACTGTCCTTGCGTAAAATTGCCCGAGCCAGACTGAATAGTTGCTTTTCGCCTGGAGACAGGAGCTCTGAAGTGACGATCGTGTCTAGCCCGCCATTCTTTTCCAGGATAGACCACAGAAACGTCTTGGCGAATGCGGAAATTATTTGTGCGTCGTTATGCTCACCATTGGGATCCACGTTGAATCGTACAGATCTCTGTTGGACGCACTGTAACCAGCAATGAGGTTGTGAAGCTCGATACCGCCGTGATCTGGCCATGTGAGCGGGACCTTGGCCCTGATTGACGGTGTCTCCTCTCCCGGTGTGTGGGTTGTAAACTCTCGAATTCGGGCTATTGATCCCAGTGAGATCTCCAACTGCGTCCAGTACTGAAGCAAAAGAGACAGAATGTCATTAAAGCTTAGGATGTTGTTGAGAGAAAGGCTTAGAGAGCCTGGATTGGTGGATGTCCGTAGGCTGACGGCGAGTATCATTACGATCATAGCCAGTGCGGCTATGACGAGGTCCAGAACAAGCTGGAGCCACCTCTGTGCGCAGTAGAGTAAGTAGTAAGGAATCTGTGAATCATCGAGCTTTTTAATCATGCGGTCTGTAAACTGTTGCTCCCAGTGAAGGCTTCGGATGCTGCTGAGCCCTTTCATTGTTTCGAGGAAGTGGGAATATAGCGGGCTCCTCAATTCAAGCTCAATGACCCGGAGTCGACGAGAAGTTCGAAGATAGATCCACTGACCCGTTGCATGTGAGCGCCAAGGATCCAAGTGCCCAGAAAAGGTAGATTGTCGTGCAGAGCACTCCAGCAGGTAGTTGGGACTCGATCAGAGCCATATCCTAGCTGAATCTGTTGAGCAATATGCCCACGTCGGTCTTTGCGAGAAACAAAAGAGTCGCTTTTGTTACAGTATCCAGCAGTATTCGATGCAAGTTTACAGCAGACTCCGGCACCAGTTTGAGAAACATTACCCAGGTTATAAGACCGAAGAATATAGCATTGCCACATGCCAGGAAGAAATAGAGGGATGTCCATTTCGCGACGTCCAGCCCACCGTCTGCGGTCCACCATTGTAGGATGACTTGGGACATGTAATAGCAAATTGTCTGGACGACGGTGAATAGGAAGAATGTAACGACCCACAGCCAGCCCATGCTTTTGAGATAATAAGCGCAGTCTGAGAAGTCACTGTCATTGCGGGCAAGCTTCTCAGCGAACTCAGTCCCCGTAACAACCTCAAAGGTTTTGTTCTTTTCATCTGTTGAGTTCGACTCTTCAATGCTTGCAGGTAGATCCGCATCAGTCTTGAAAATGCTGTCGTCCAGTCTGGTTGTTTTTAGAACCAAACTGGCATTTCTTTCGCTGTCGATCGTGATCAAGCAGTCTGCAATCTCTGCGTAGCGCCAAGTCTGAGCAACAATAACTCCAGTTGCATGGAGCTTTCGTAGAAGACCGTCTCGTCCCAGTAACCCCTTCATAACTAGTCTTTCTGTTTAAGTCCGAAGAACTTAGCAAATCATCAAGCAGGATCAATCGAGGTCGCTGGTATGGAGCACGAGCGAGCACGACACGCTGTTTCTGACTCCCATTGAGCCTGGAAGCTTGCCCATCATTGTGCGTCAGGTCGCCTCGCGGCAATGAAATAAGCTCATTTTGGAGAGCACACGTAGCAAGGACAGATCGATACCAACCTTCGTCGAAATCCTCAATGTTGGTGCCGCAAATGTTCTCCCGAATAGTACCTGTAAAAAGCCACGGGACTTTTTCGCAGTAGATAACTTCCCCTCTTGACCGTACGGGCTCAGAGTGGCAAATTTTACCCATTACAGCTCTCAAGAATGTGGACTTACCTGAGCCGCTTGGCCCGAGAATGAAGATGACGGATCCGGGTTGGAGGATTGAATCCAGATTTTGAAGAATATCATGACAGCCGCTGAGCGTTCTGGTATTGGAACGGGATATGCATGCGGCATCGGGAACGGTACGGAATCCGGAATTCTCCTTGTTCGGCAGAGCATTCATTTCATTAACTTCTCCGCTGGGAGTACGAGCTTGTTGTTTCATTAAATGCACCTCGATCCTGCTCAGACAACCAATGCATGAGGCTGCGGCGGGATAAACTGTCAGGATCTCGGCGGAAGGGATTGACCAAAGAGATGAGAGCAAGATTTGTGAAGGCTCGAGACGCATTCAGTGAGGCAGAACCCTCAAGTCTGGCTTTTATTGCGTATGCGATGAAGGTCACAGCCGCGGCAAGAGCGGGCGGCACGTTTCCTGTCCAGTAGCCGTCAGATGTACTTTCTGTTAGCTTGAACAAGATAGCCCCTACCCAATGTATTCAGCCAGACAGTTGAGTGACGAAACTTCGCTTGGAAGCGCAGCTCGCGTAGTCTTTCGTTCTGTAGCATCAAATGTATGGGTCCGGTGAGTCCTAAGATTTTGACAACCTTTAAGGAGCCCAAAACCTCAGCGGTTAAAGAGATTCTTTGTTGTACCGCGTCGTTCCATGTCTTGACTTTTCTGCCTATCATCACAATGACTCGAGAATCGGCGGTGATGCTAAGGAAAACAACAATTAGCGGCATCACGGACACCCAACCGATTTGCAATGCCAGCAGAATGGTCCCAACAACCAGCTCCAAGGGGCGAGACCAAAGATCGGGAAGCGCAAATAAGCTTTGGCAGACCCGGTCTACGTCGGTGCTCATAAGTGTCAGGACGGCCGATGGATCATCAAAGGTTTGCTCCATGGAGACTGTCTCGGAGTAGACGAGGGCAACAAGTGCGCCTCTGACCAAGGTAATATGACAGTACAATTGATGTTTGTAGAGAGCCGTCGATATCTAGATAGACCTAGATTAGCACCCACCATAACAAAAGGATTAGGCTCCCCACCGCTATTCCCACGTAGATACAACCAGTTGCCGTTATGAGACCGTAGCCGGAGTCATTTCCTGACCGTGGTTGAGCTAGGTAATAAGTGGCTCGATGAATGAGGAACGGCTGAGCGAAGAGAAACCCGCCGTAGCAGAGCCGAGCCGGTACTGTTGACAAGATAGACCATCGAAGTGCTCTCCATAGGGTCCGGAGGAGAGGCCATTTGACTCGGCGGGCTTGCTTTGACCACTCATCGTGGATTTGTCGATGAATGGCAGCTGAGTCGAACTTGCTATCGATTGCGCCGAGATCTTCAAAAGATATTGCCTTCCTAAACCCTTGAATGAACAAGGCATTCATCCAAATGAACAGCCCGCGGTTCAAGATACCCCTCGTGGTTTCTATTGGCAGAGCTTGGAACTGCACTTGAAGAAAAGTTCTCTTGCTCCATGCCTCAAGGAGAAGCATGACGGCTTTAACAGCCACCGCTGCGGAAAATATCCCTGCAAGGTCACCATGGCCTTGCAAAAGGTAAAGTGTACGGGCTTGAGGGATGTCGAGTATAATTGAGAGGGCAAGGTAGGAGTTCAAGAGCGTCGATGGTCGGACAGAGCGTTGATGTTCGAGGTATGAAAGAGGGGCGATGGTTATAGCTATACACATTGCCAGCACAGTTGCAGAAATGGAAAATCCATCCTTGCTTGGTGGTACGGGTTGGCACATGAAGCAGGGCCCACAGGCGCCAGAATGCAAGGAGTAGGAAGATGGTATCGGGAACAATGGAGAGAATGGTCTGCTCGAAGAGAAGGGTGAAGTCAAAGGATCGCGCACAGGATGCTACCGCTGGGCCAAGTTTGTCATCCGCATCAGGCTCGCAGCTGGCCGTTGTCGAGGTTAGCATCTCACTTTGTGGCACGCAGGTGGAGCAGATGCTGAATGACCTTGTACCTAGAGTGAGTTGGTCGGCAAAAATGCTGTTCAGTCGTGGGTGCGCGAAAAAGAGGGGATGCTACCGGAAGATTTTGAAGGCGATTGGTATGATTCTGATAATATATGTATGCTGCCTGGTGGCGATGGGGCACAGGAGGGAGTTGGTTCAAGCCTTGAGATAGTCGATCACACACGTACCCTAGCTTTGACGACGCACTCAGCTGAATATATTGGCCAATCTCATTCTGTCAATCCCATGTGTCACCGCCATTTTGGCCTTTCGTATCAGAATCGGCCCATGGTCACCAGGAATGACGAACCCTAGCTAGACTCGATGAAGCAGGTGAGAAACCAACCAGTAAAATGTGTTCGTGACCATTGGTGTTGAGCCATTGAGCTACGGAAAGGCCGTAGTTACTGCGGCTCAGCGAGGCTCGAATCTAGCGGGATAGAAGGCCATCCATTCAAGGGATAAGAAATCGATCTCTGTGGAAATCGAGCCGCCTCTGTTTCAGAAGAGAGTTGATGGTGGGAGCAACGGTTTGAAGTTCCTTTTCAGGGGGGGTGTGCATCGGCGATGGGCCTGCAAGAGAACAAGGGTGTAAGTTCATAATGGGACCGAGGCGAGTTGCAGTCGCGTCAACCCAAGCCACTTTCCCAATATTGTGTCTGTGTGCTTTCTCAAGAATGAATGAGTCTGGGAATGGACGTCGCGGCAGCGGCGCCAGGAGCAGCGCTCTGGGCATAAGTCTTTGGATAGCCAAGGCTTTTTTCTCAAAGGGGCTTTGACACGTACACAAGCCACTTCATCGCCTTCGAGACTAGCCACATGACCGCTGTGCAACTTGTATAATAGATTGTTTCTAGTCTTCTTGGATCATTATAAAGTATTCTTGAGCTCTTTACTCTCTCCGACAAGCCTCCATAATCCCTCTCACCGCCCTACCTCGTCTTCGATCTAAATGAACCAACTCGGCTGGCCCAATTCACCCTCCAATGTCCTTCCAAGTCCCCCAGCATGTCCCTTCGTTCACCAATTCTCAGCGCTCGTATGAAGATACTTATTGGCGGCATAAGCACAATACTAATGAACATGCAAAAGGAGGACCTGCCGGTGCAATCACATCCAAGATCAACGACATCTTTGCCGAAAGCAAAGATCTGCCCATGTACAAGGATAAGCCACACTTTCCCTCGAGTCGGCGGAAAGGAAGAGCGATCTTGAGGCGAAAGAGAGTGTTGACCTTGATTGGTTCCACAACGCTACTGTTTCTCTGGTGGATGGGATGGTTACCTTGGAGCTCACCCCAGTTCTACGATCCTGCTGCCCATCAACATTCTTTCTTCCACGCAGAAGACTGGTCAGAGCAAAGAGAGGCCGTGAAAGAGGTGTTCAAGACTTCATGGGAAGGCTACGAGAAATATGCGTGGGGAATGGATGAATACCACCCTCTTTCGAGGAAGGGAAAGAATATGGTTGAAGGTGGCATGGGTTGGATCATTGTGGACGCATTGGATACTGCCATGATGATGAATTTGACTTCGCATGTCGCCAAAGCAAGAGAATGGATATCCACATCGCTCTCCTATACCGCCCATCACGAAGTCAATACCTTCGAGACTACTATCCGCATGCTAGGTGGGTTGTTATCTGCGTACTACCTGTCAACATCATTCCCACATCTCGCACCGCAGAGAGACGATGACGTAAACCAACCTGGAGAAGACCTATACATCGAGAAAGCGACAGATCTTGCAGACCGTCTCCTCGGGGCCTACGACTCCCCTTCTGGAATTCCGTATGCGTCGGTGAACTTGAACACTACCCAGGGAGTTGGTTCGCATGTCGACGGAGGAGCATCCTCTACTGCCGAAGCGGCAACTCTCCAACTCGAGATGAAATATCTCGCCAAAATCACAGGTGAACCAATATACTGGCAGCGGGCAGAGCATGTCCTCGAAGTTATTGAATCACAAAAGCGCGAAGACGGCCTAGTCCCAATCTACATATATCCCGCCACTGGCGACTTTCGAGGTGAAAATATACGGCTGGGATCTCGAGGCGACAGCTATTACGAATATTTGATCAAACAGTACTTGCAAACAGGAAGCGTTGAGACAGTTTACTTGGATATGTGGGAAGAGGCACTTGAGGGGATTAAGAAACACTTGATCACCTATTCCGAGCACGCATCATTAACCATCCTTGCTGAAAGGCAAAATGGACTCCACGCTCCTCTGACAGCCAAGATGGATCATCTTGCGTGTTTCATGCCAGGGACAATAGCCTTGGCAGTGACCGAGGGCCAGACAGCCGAGCAAGCGAGAACCAGACTAGCGAATAAATGGACAAAGAAACATGACGAAAACCTCAGACTGGCCGAGGAATTGATGAAGACGTGCTGGGGCATGTACAAGGTCACTCCGACGGGCCTCGCCCCTGAGATTTGCTATTTCCATACCGACAACCCGGCTCCGCAATGGCAGGGACATCTTGACTTAGCATGGACACCACCACATACGACCGAGCTCTCTGATGATCATGATGCTGACTGGCGCTCTGATTACGACATTCATTCGAACGATGTGCACAATCTCCAGCGACCCGAAACCATCGAATCCCTCTTCTACATGTACCGCATCACCAAGGACAAGAAATACCGGCAATGGGGCTGGGAAATGTTTGAAGCCTTCCGCGAGCACACCAAGGTCGTCGATGAACTGACAGGCAAGGTGTACGCATACACTTCCCTGGACACGGTAATGGAGAACCCTGTTCGAGAAAGGAAGCGGCGCGATAACATGGAGAGTTTCTGGTTGGCCGAGACGCTCAAGTACTTCTATCTGTTATTTTCGGATGACGACTTCTTTCCTCTCGATACTGTTGTGTTTAATACGGAGGCTCATCCGCTGCCGAAGTTCGACATCTCAGGAAGCAAGGTCTTTGCGACAGGATGGCGCAGGACCAAAGACAGGCCTTCTGAGCAGAAATATGAGGGCAGGATGGTGGAAGAGGACTTCGCGCAGCTCAAAAACGTCCGTGTTGGGAGTGGAGTACGCGTCGACGAGAATGGGAAAAGTATCCCGTCCAATGCGGAGGTTGAAGAGAAGCAGTTCTCTGCTGGTGTTGGTGAAAATGAGCGCGAAACTGCTCAAGGTCTATCAGCCCCAACGCATTCAGATGGCGGAAAGTTGAAAAATGCGTCTCCTGAACACGCTGAGGGCACTGGCAAAGAGGGAGGTGATTGATTGAGGGGAGCCCTTATCGGGTTGAACAGTGAACCCCCATTCTCGGAGAGGAATAGTATCTGTCAATCGGTCGGGATTGACTCCGGCAAGAGTCATTAGGGACCCTACATGTGTCGATGCTAGGGAGTGCTGTATCAAAATTTGGTTGCGCTTACATGAAAAAAAAAGGCTGCGGATATAATCGCGGTCCTCCGGAGTTGGGTTTCAACGGACTAGGAGCATTTGTTGGATGGATTTTGTGAAAGAAAAGCAACGCACGGAATAGAGAGCGTTTTGCATATCCGAATAAACAGTTTTCGGCTCTGAAGTGTTGAAATCACAACTAATTCTGTATTTCTTGACTCCGGCAATGTTCGATTGATCGCAGACTTCCTTCATTCCCTTATATTTCCCGTGGCTTCCTTCGCCCAACCCTTGCCTTGCAGGTTGGGCCATCACGAGAACAGAGTATGTTGGAGCGCGGCTCCCTGCCTTGCTCCCGTTGGCCTGTTGTCCTCTGGTCTACGTAGACGAGGACTTGGACTGGCGTAGTTGGTCGTACTTGTGATAGCAACAAGAGGACCGGGCCCCTCGATCGCCTCTCCTTGAAGTCAATTGCTCCAAGAGACGGCTTCAGGTCCTCGAAGCTTGCTGATAGCCACCAAAAGCACTTAGTTAGAGAGGTCCTTGGCTTCTTAGCACAGGTAGCCGGTTTAGTCCTCTGTTTGGCGAACGGTGTGTGGGTCACGGCATAATTTCGTGGCTCATGGTTCGTAGCTTGCGTAGTTCTGTTTCGTTGGTCTGGGATCGTCTCGTTCCCGACCAAATCGCTCGTTTGTGGGGTCGGTAATACTGGTGATAGGAGTCATTCTTCTCATTCAAAACTTGGGCCCTCTGCTGCGTCCGGTATATTTCGAATCCGTCTTGACCACTTTCCCTTTATTCCTCATCTTCTCTTTCTTCTTCATCACCCAGGATTTGCTGCCCTTGGGAGCTTCCACTCCTCCTCGTCTGCCGCCGCCACCTTTTTGTGCCATCTTGGCCTCTCTGATCCGCCTCCCGTCCTCGATATCCACGTTCTCCATGTTCCTCACGCGCTCAGTGATGTCTCCGCCGCCGACGCTGAGGACAAGATACGTCTTGACGTTCTTGGTGCCGCCGTCATCCTCCAAGATCCCGGCGCCGAACCCAGCGCGAACAGCAGCTTGGGAAATCATGTTCCGCTGCGCATCGTTTTTCGGGTAGAACTGTAGGACCGCCCGCGCGCCTCGTCTCAGAGACGCGTACAGGCCGTCAAAAAACCGTCTCAGCCGGCCCTCGGGGGATACTCCGCTCGATTCTGCATTACACAGCCACTGTACCGCAGAGATACTAATGGCGGCATCGAACGTTCCAGCGCGAAAAGGGATGCCCTGCCCCATGTCCGCTAAGAACAAGTCCCCCTCCACGTCTTCCCTCTGCAACGCAATGTCTAACATACTAGGCGAAATGTCCATCCCGACCCATATGTGGCCATCTTCTGATAGAATCTCGCCTGAGAGCCCCGAACCGCAGCCAATGTCGAGGATAAACGAGGGACAATGGAGGTCGAGGAGTTCAAGTGCGCGATTGGTCATGGAACTCTGAATCGACTGGATACGCGACGAAGTCGTGTACTTAGCCGAGGCGGTGTCATTATAATACAGGTCCGGCGGGAGGAGGTCTTCGGGGCGAGACATGGTTGCAATTCGCTGTGAGGGAAGGAAAATGTCGACTGTGTATTCCTGAGGTTTTTTGTGCTTCTATTTTGTCCAATGTGCCAGAGGCACGAAAACGGTACTGAGTTCAAGGGCGGAACATCTTCCAATGCAGTTGTTGCAGAAATTCACTAAGGCGGCGGGAATCGCACATGAAAATTAAATTTCTGATGGAGAACACGGCGTGGGGCTTTCGGGGGCTTGGGAGGCTTCAGCCTCGCCAAGAACTCCCCAGCCTTGCAAGGGAGCCAGAGGGATCTACAGCGCCAGTCCAAGTACGGAGCGCTAACTGTTTACACACCCTCAAAGGAGCCTCACGGCTCGTTTCCTCGAGCTATGAATCTCACAGAGTAGAATGTGTATATCTATTCATACGGGTAGAAGGCATGCCGGGCAGGATAGATGAATCCCTGTTACGGCAGTGCGTTGTCTGATTGATAAATAATCGTCACGCACGGGGCGGCCGAGATTAATTTTCCCTCGAGCGAGGTATCCTTAGTGTATATGTACGTAGCGCACAATGTTACTTCTTTCGTCTTACCAGGCCCTCTCTGGAGTTAGTTTGTCTGTTCGTCATCCTTAGTATTCCTGGTAAATAGGCTTTGCCGATGTGAAGACATTGCGATAGTACCGCGAGAGGCACTCATTTATGGATCATTTTGACAGACACTCAAATTACTCGCGGCTCTTCGTATATAGCTGACGCAAAGATGAATAAACTACTATCAGGCTACGATCTGACCAATTTCATAGGCTGTATGTACATATATTGTCCTTTTCTTTCTTCTATTGCTGAGCAATTGAGCAAAGCGCACCAACCTGATATGCGCCAATTCCGACTTTTGCCGACACAACTCCTGGAGAATGGCAACAGGTAATTCTCAAATGAGTGCAAGTAGGAAGAGGCTTTTGATGTTAGATGCAAAGACAAAATCCCTGCCAACCCCTCCCAAGGCACAAGTGAATGAATGGATTATTTCTTCACCTCGCGTCCGACAACTTTTGCATTTAGTCCTTGGTGTTGCGATCTGAATCGGCAACCACAGCATCGACGACGCCCTTGTTGAGTCCTTTCCAGTTCTGCTTGCCCCACAAGAACCACAGAGCCAGCGCAACGAGCTGGACAAAGGCATTGATCGGGAGGGCGTAGTTCATATCGGAACCGTTGATGGGGAGGAACGATGGGAAGCAAAGGAAGACCATGATGTATGCCGAGTAGATAACCGCAAAGACGTTGATGTAAATACCCCAGCGTCCCAAAGACCAGCCCGAAGGTTCGACTCTTCCTCTGTATCGGGCCCAGATCATACAGGCAATGGCGATGAGGTATGACTGGTACAGGCCAAGCGTCGAAAGTGCGACAATAACGTTGAAGGCAACGCTGCTACCGATATTGAGTAGAGCCAGCAACATGACAATGAAGACTGGCAACCAAACTGAGCGGACGGGAATGCGGTGCTTCGGGTCGATATACGAGAAATAGGCGGGCAGCGCCCCATCTCGAGACCACGCCCAAGTCAATCGAGATGCAGATGCGATACTGCCCAGACAGCAGGCCAGAGTGACGATCATTGACAGACCGACCATTGCCGAGCCAGCTCTTGTGGACTGCGTCGCATTGATGCAAATGAGGAGAAGAGGGTAGCCAGAAGAAAGAAGTTCGTTGACATCTCCCGCGCAGAACAGGAAGACGAGCACCATTCCGTAGGCAAGGGCACCGTTCATGACAATACTCCAGAACATGGCTCTCGGCACTGCATGTCGCGCTTTTCGCACTTCTTCAGACATGTGGACTGCTCCATCGAAACCTGGCACACTTTATTAGCACCCGAAAAGCTGAGATGTGTCTACCTGTATGTTGCCCGCGGCTTACCTACGAAACCCCAGGTAGCAGTAAGCATACCGAGGTTGAATGAGATATACTCGTTGTTCCAACCGGAAAGTGCCGACTTTTCCAAGAAGACGAAGTCCGCCGTGTGGCGCGGCGCAAGGGTGACCAACACCGAAACGAAGACCACCCACATGATTATGTGCAAGAGACCAGAGAGCAACTCAATCCATGGAATTGTCCAGAAAGCGAACTGATTCATCAAGCCTTGGACAAGGAGCAAGGCATAAATTATCAGAGTCACATGCCATCCGTGCGGAATGTAGGAGGGATAGTTGGCGATGACAAGTGCTTGGATCATGAGAGCAGCAATGTTGGCCACGCCAGCCAGCAAAGAGATCCAAGAAAACCAGGTAATCCAGCCTTGCATCCAGGTGATGAAGCGCCGCTGCGATGGTGGCGCGAGGTAGTGAGTCCAGTGGTACTGCGCACCTGCGATAGGCTGTACTGAAGCCATCTCAGCCATGGACGCGACCTGACACAGCACACCTGAGATGACAATAAGGTAGCCGAATGAAAGAGAGCGAGGACCGCCATTCCAGAAAAAATATGCGATATTTCTGTCTGCCATTAGCTTGCGGCTGGATCGGGAGAAGATATCAATCCTACGATGCGATGGCCTCCCAGGACGACATGTAACTGAGCGCGAAAAAGAAAATCTGTGCGAAGCTGAAAATTCTCTGTGATCCGTCTTAGCCTTTGGGCATGTCACCTTTGCTTCTAGATAACTTACTCGAACTCTTGTCGACGTGTTTCTTGTTCCCTCGGTCCTTTGGCCACCATACTGTGTGGCGAACTCTCTCTTCTCATCTTCAATGTTGACCTGAGGGTTCTTGACCGACAGCATCTCGTGAGACTCCATCTTGGGCGAAGAAAGTCGTGGACAGCACTTGAGATTCCAGAAAAGGCGCTGGAAGATGAGATGAGTGAGATAAAGGAAAGAGAAAGAGCGACAGGTTCAACGACCTGCAGGTTATGGCTTGCTGGCTTGCCGATGTCCCCTGAAAAAACGTGGACAGTTTGCCGAGATTGGGTCTAGGCCACGCGAAGGCAAGCAAGCGTGCAGAGAGCAACGTGCCGTGATAGAAGAAACGCCAGGGTGATAAGGGGATTGAAAACAAAATGGCTCGATCGGTTCATGACCTTACCTAGGTCGCCTTCGAAGGCTCGGCTGGAAGAGTGGTGGAGGGTCTGGGGAAATCCCACCAATCGATCTGAGGGCTTTCTGAGGCAGAACAGACGGTGAATAGAACCATAGAATATCCCGGACTCTCGGCAAAGTGTTTGTCGAGACTCGAGAAACATGGCTGTATGGTAGCATGGCAGTGATCAGGTTGCCTCACTATCGAAGGCAGCAAATTGCCCCACCGCCTGTATAATCCTGTACGTGTAGGTTTCACTTAGCACGCACTTGAACTCGGAGCGAGCCCCTACCGGAAGGGCGAAAACAAAGAGGGAGAGGGGGAAGGAACCTCCATGGTGTGAGCATGGGTTACCCAGTACAGAGCGCTAAAAAAGGACCCAAAAAGGCCAAGACAAGCATGATAGAGCTCACTACTCCGTTTAAAGCAGTCCTTTGTCCAAGACGCCATCGGCGGCGCTCGGCAAGATATGCAAGTGGTTGGATAGCAGCCAATAAGCCATAGAAGCATACAAAGGACAGGGTCAAACGGACAAGGCGACCGACAGAGGCAGCAGAGGCTACTCCGTATTCTGCCATTCACAGACTCGGGGCGGGGAATGAAGGGCGGAATGTGGGGCAGGCCGCTTTATGCAAATGGTGGAAACGGATTTCAGTTCCCCGAATGTCGATCCTTCGGATCATACCATATTTGGTCCAGTGCAAGATGCGGCCAAGCAATGCCAGCACTGCCAACCCCTCGAGCTCTTGTCCAGCCCAAGGTTTGGGTTGGCCACCTGCCCATCTTGTCGAGGAGATGATAAGGCCAAGGTTTGTGCCGCATGTCAAACTGCGCTCATTCTTATATGCAACGTTCATCAAACTGATGGGGGTTAGAATGAGGTTAGCGCCTGTGGACGGGTGTAAGCCCCCATTCATGCATTAAAACTTGTACTTGTTATACGAGGTAGGTCCATTGGAGCATTGCAGCCTGCTGTAACCAAGGCTGTGTCAAGGAGCGCCACCACGGACCAAGATAGCATAAGAAGCGCCCCAAGTGTCAATCCTCCGTTGGCTTTCCCCACGACACTTCCAAGGGGCCCGCTCTGTTCCGCTAGCCTCGTGCCAACACCAAGTACCAAGGACAACTTTGTTTCCTTTGAAATCTCCAAAAGGCCTAGGCGGCATGCCTGAACGAGAAGCGCCGGCCGCTCCTTGTGGGCCTTCCGAGTGTGGTTCTCAAATCAGAAGAAGCAACAAGAGGTGTTTATCGACGTGGCTCTTGTGCTTGAGCGCAGGGATCGGCAATGACAGAAAGCTGATGCGCACGGCTCAGTCTTGCTCTGAGGGTGGGAAACTGACATCGATACTGGGTACGTGTTGTCGCCTTGCAAGACTGCTAGCCGACGCCCCCTGGGGCCAGATGCATTTCGTGATCAATTCAACTGGTCCGCAATTTCTCGCCAGAGCGTCGCAGTGGATTGGCATCACGCGAATTCTCCATTCCCCTGGCAAGCAAACGGAGACAACTTGCGCAGCATCCCGATTCCCGAACCCCCAACGAGTCAAGTGGCTTGTCAAAGCTGAGAGGCCGAGGGTGACCTGATGGCCAAAGTGCGAAGGTAGGAGCATTTCCGAGCTCATGATTCTGCTTTTGTCTCCCGCCTCAACGCTGGGTTCAAGGGAAGGGGGATAGCTCACCAGCACAACCAAGCCTCTGACATTCACGGTCTCAAAGGCACCTTTAGGCAGTGAATCTGAACTTGACCAACGTTCCAGAACATCTCCTGACAAAACATATACTAGAGTCTTGTCTTGGCTGCCCGTTTGAGCAGTTCGCTTGAAATCGGTGGAAGGGTGGGAAACACTTCTGGCCTGGCGTCCCTGTCCGGTAAGTGAGTCGATGGCGTTGCTCCCGGAAAACGAGCCATGTCGGTTGCATTGGTTCTTTGACCTTTGCATTAGCAGGCCCTGTTCCTGACTCCTGCCAGGGGGGACAGATTGGCTAAGACTTTAATTCACGTATAGGGTGACGAACTACTGGATGTTTGGGCTGCGCGGCCGTCGGCTAGCCAGTCCTCCAGGCATTCAGTTCTCCGTATACCGTGGGTTTGTTTCTGGGAATTCGATGAAAAAAGGACGCCTAGCTCAACCTACAGAGATATACTATACCATCCCCCTTGAGGTTGTTCGTTCCTCCCGTTACCCGCACTTCGAAGCAGGGTGTACATAGCTCTCTCGCACAATCAGCCTTCCCGACATGTCGGGCAGCGATACCGGCGACGGTGGTATCTATGAACCTCTTCTTCCGCCATTTCAAGACATCACCCCGAAGAATCGAGGGCCAATTGCATTGGCGACTGCTGTGACTCTACTGGTCATTTCTTCGTTGACTGTGGGCGTCAAACTATGGACCAGATATGCGACAACTCGGAACTTCGGCGCAAATGACATTGCGATGTTCGCTGCTATTGTACGGCCAGAGTCCCCCCATATTCGTTTGGCTAGTCTGTTAACTCAGCTTTGCCGCAGACATTCGCATATGGGCAAACTATATCTATCGCCATCGCAGCTGACAAGGGGTTGGGCCAACACCAAACAGCGATCAAAGAACCAGACCTTATTGAGCTCAGTAAAGTAAGCAAACCCCGAACACCTGCAAAAACGGCTTGGAAGACGCTGACGTGGGATCAGTATTTCTACGCTTCCAACGTTCTTCTCATCCTTGCGTTGGCTGGTGCCAAAGCAGCAGTAACTCTGCTTGTCATTGCTATTAAACCGTTGCGATGGGTCATGTTCGCTTGCTACGGGATGCTCGGCTTCGTCGCAGTATGGGGAATAGCGGGCGTCTTCGTTGTGGCCTTCCAATGTTCGCCAAACCATTGGGTACTAGGCCCAAGGTCGGGTGCTGATCCGCAAACTTGCATCGATCAGTATGCGATGCAGGTGGCACTCAGGGCCATGGATATCGCCAGCGACGTAGGAATTGTTCTCTTGCCTGCGATGATGATGCGATCGGTCCAAGTCTCCAATGGCAAGCGGTGGATGGTGGTCACGCTGTTTGCTATCAGACTGGCGTAAGTGTCCCCAGATCTGCTGTTGAGATCTTTCTGACTGGAGGTTTGCAGCACGCCGGTATTCACCGCCGTATCGATCGCTGCCTATGATGATTTCTACCATTCGGTTCCCCAAGATCGCACTTGGCATGCAGTCACACCCTCCATTTGGACATCCTGTGCGTTGAACTTATCAATCGTTACAGCATGTATCCCGTCAATCAAACGTTTCCTTGCCGACTGGGCTGCCGGCCTCAGCGCCGTGACCATATCCGAGCCTTTCGAGTTGGAGCATTCTGCCGGCAAGACTGGTGCAGGCATCACGTACGCAGCAGGCAGTGGTATGGGAAGCAAGATCGCGACAAAACTAGGGCTGTCATCCACCAGCAAGGCCGAAATTACCTCGACAGTGCGAAGCCGGAGTGACAATGAAGACGAAGAGACCATCCGGAACACTAATAGAAACCGCTCGCGCGGTGCAGGCGGGCGGCAACCAGACAATACATCAGAGAGTGTCAAAGGCCTCACGGACGGAGTGATCATGCACTCGATCGATTACCGAGTCGAGTATGAAGACCAGGGCACGGATCATCGTGACTGGAGCAGTCGCAGCAGCGGCGGTCGCTGAATATCCTCCGGCACGAGGCGAATGATGGTCATATAAAAAAGAGGAGGGACGGTATCTATATGTACAATACGATACAAAATTCACTGAGGGAGGGTATTTCAGCGCTAGGAAGCGATTCTGGCCATAGAATTGTTGGAGACTGGAAAGAGTAGGATCAGAGGCTGGCGCCACGAAAAGCGAGCACACGAAGGGTCGGTTGTCTGTTAATATACCATACCTCGTCCAAAGCATTTCTGATTCATCTGTTTTCGTCCTGAACGAAGCCCTCTTCATGGTGGATAACTTGTCGACAAAATAACCTCTTGATCCGGACGTTCCCCGTAGGTGTCCGTACTTGTATGTTCTCATTTGTAAAAGAATCCACCAAGAAAGTGTTCGCGGCGACGCGGCACCAGGCGGCTCCAACTCTGATACCCTCCAATGTGCCCCCACCGTTTGCCGAGTTTGATCGCTTTGCAAACACGCCAAGAATCCTTGATGAGGCTGAATCGACGTCACCTTCCCATCGCAGGCGCAGGCCACCTCTCTACATGTTTTCCCTGTCTTCCCGCAATTGACAGCTGGTCTCAACTCAGACTCCTTATCCCGCCCTCTTCTCCATGGCCCTTCCCGTCTTCAACTCTACCTCCCTAACACCAGCGATCGTCATTGCAGAATCTTGATCTCGACCCGAAGCAAGTTTTGCTCCTGCGCACACAATCGAACCATGTGGATTCTTCCCCTCTTGGGGTACACCGGCCTCATATTAGGGTTCGCATTTCTTACCCTCTCCATTGCATCGGGCCTCTACTACCTCTCTGAGCTCGTTGAAGAGCACACAGTCTTCAGTGCAAAACTACTCAAGCGCCTCATTTATGCCGTCGTCATTGCACAGTTGCTTCTCTGGCTCGTCGATGGATTCCCCTGGTATCTCATCTTGCTGGGGGTTGCCAGTCACGGCGTCTACGCGACGAATCTGCGGCATTTTCCCATCGTGAAATTATCGGACCCTTTTTTCCTTACGAGCTGTGCCTTGGTTATACTTAACCATTGGTTATGGTTCAGACACTTCAGCGATGCAACCACAAGAGGAGGTCCATACAGGGGTGCTCCACCCAGCAGCAGGCGAGATTGGTATTCGACAACTCCCATATATGATCAACCTACTTTCACCGAGATTGCATCATACTTTGGACTGTGCGTGTGGCTCGTCCCATTTGCGCTCTTCGTTAGTCTCAGTGCCGGAGAGAATGTCTTGCCAAGCATGGGATCCGAATATGCCACAGGAGAACGAGAGGGCGTCGGTTTTAAGAAGGGCCATAGGAGGAAGAATACAGGAATGGCCAAGGCAGCTGTACACGCTACCAGAGAATGGGTTACAGAGACAGGCGCTGTGATGGGGTTCTGGCACGCCGATAACGTCCGGCCTGTATAATGATAACAGCTGTGGATCAGAGACCCAGTCTCGTCCAGCATTGGTCGCTATGTCTTGGCCGTGAAGATGCTAGTTCAAGGTCTGGGGAGGGATGCCTGCTACAATCATGGCATGTCACCAAAAGCTCGACTAAGGATGAGATGAAGGTGTTGAATTTAGCCGTCAAGTCCCCTCTAGGGGAGCCAATGGCGCCGTTTCTCTTGGCCCAGAGACCAATTTGGCGCGGCTCTCGCAGAGGAAAGACAGCCAGACGAAAAGGAATGGCAAGGACATTTGACGAAGCCGAATGAGTAACGATTCATGACCCCCTGAAAACCAATCAGGGCCACGCAGCTTCTGGAAATTTCGGCGAGGCCTTGTTCACAAAAGCCCGCGATCCAGCTGGGCCTAAAGGGATTGTTGGTGGCAGAGACGCGCAGCTTTATGCCAAAGTCCATATGCTGACAGGAACTGCGATTTGAAAGCGCCGCTCTGTCTTTTCCTCGAAGTTGGAATCTGGTTTGAATTTTTGCTGCATTGGTATCTTCCATACGAGAGTTTGCCTGGGTGAAGTCCCTCACGAAAGGACAAATAGCGCCAATGGAACACATGGTACACATCAGCGGCCACTGGGATTGAGAATCAGATCCATGACCACTCTAAATGTTGACCGGGGGAAACGGGCGCAAATGTGCCATGGAATTGGCAGAGTATTTTGCTTTCGCTTTTCCTTCTTCGGAGTTGAGCAGGAATGGAATCACCAGATGTGAGCAACGAATCATTTGTGCGTGCAGGTTGGAAACGATATGTAGGTTCAAATGGTGATCATGATGAAGATGAAGTTGATTGAACATGGAAGACCTACGCACAGAGGTATGGAGCAGCCGGGAGATTATATGCTGAGCCGAGCAGAGTACCAGTAGAGCAGAGTTAGCCTTCCTTCTCACTCCTGTCCATCTCCCTTTTCAGCGAGGTTAATTAAACGTACGCCTGTACACCTACCGGGACTGTACATTGATCCACATCTAGAAGAAAAAAAAGCCAGAAAAGGTCAAAGCAAAACAAAATAGAGAACTACATAGTACACAATTCAAGCCCCCCCACCGACGCCAACATCAGGCCAAAACCGCCTCTCGACGTCCAGAATATGTCTCCAGACCGCCCGGTAGACGTCTAACTTGCGACCGACGGCGTCCTCGCGCTCGGCCAGAAGGTCGGTCAACTCGGCGATCTCAGCGACGAAGGCTTCGAACTCCGGGCTCGTCCAATTTGGGATGAATGCGTCACGGAGCGCGCCGCCGTCCAGGTCGCTCGAGTGAGGAGGCACCATGCGGTCTTTGCAAGCGGTTGTAACCCCCTTATTAGCATTGCCATTGCTCTTGTTGTCGTCGTCGTCGTCGTTGTTGTTGCTGTTGTTTTCATTCCGCCCTCTTCCCGTCGTCTCGTTGTCAGTCTGCGCTGCGTTGACCCCACTCCCCTCCAGTTCCGACATCACTCCTTCCGACGGAGCACTTGGTTTAGTTGGCTCTTTCACCTCTCCACTACCGCCATCAGCAACAGGCTTGCTGCCAAAAGATCTGGCGTAATTCCACCCACTCAGGTACACGGTTTCGGTCGCCCACAACACGACCATACCCTCGAGCAGACTCATACTGGGATCGGTCCAAAAGGCCCGGAACAGATCAATGTACTGCTTCGTGGCCTGCTCAGCCGTGAATATCCCGTCGGCGCGACTTGGCACGTCTAGTTCCAGGCCATACTTGGCTGCCGTGTCTGCGAAGAATTTCAGCTCGGTGTGAATATTCTGCAGGGCGCCGGTGAGGCAATTCACGATGCGCCAGCGCAAAGAAGTCGATTTATCCACGACGTTGACGTAGGGTAAGTCGACGCGAGCGATGAGAGACCCGATGAAGCCGATGTAGGATTGCGCGTAGAGACGATCTTGCGAGAGCCAGCGCGATAAAGTGTGTTTCGGAAGGGTACCTTGCCCCGCCAGACGGAGGAAGGGATGTTCAGTTGCTTGGGCAAATTGTTGCGGGGCAGAAGCCAGGAGGATACTTGTTAGCGATGGCGGAGGTCCTGTCGCTACCGGGGGGGACGAGATGTATGGGGGGTTCTGGATAAGTGGGTGAGGAGGAGGGTTATGGACGTGACTACTTGGGTAGAAGTAGGTGGTAGTGGTGGTATTGTATGCGTTTGGGTTTGCTTGTTGGACATTGTATACGGGATTATAGCTCTGATGGGGATGGCTCCCTTGGCTCAAGACTCCAGTGGTCCCGGACGAGACAGACATCTGATCGCTCATGGTAGATTGGCGGTGAATATAAGGTCCAGGAGGGCCCTGTTGGGCGTAATAATAAGGGGAATTGTTCCACATGCCGTTGACAGGATCTGAAGAGGGTGGTCCGCAAGGCTGAGAGAAAAATGCAACTCCCCGAGATCCAGTATATTTGTTCCCCGCCGAGGTCAGTCAGAGGAATACCACGCCCTGACTCGAAAAAGCGGACCAGAGAAGGGAGCAAAATCCCTGGTCAAAAGGTGGCTGCAGCAAATGTCGTCGCGAGGCCCTTTCCTTTCAAGATTCCACGGTTCTTCACAAGGCTGAGTGACGCGCGGCCTGGATCGACAGAGCTTGGACGAAAAGCACCAGAAGGCTGACAGAGGCCACTGGCGGCAGAGCAACGGACCGGAGTGGGACAAGCCAAATGCACGCGAAAGGATATTTTCCAGTCTCAAATAATTCGGTTGTATGCACAAATGCGAGATAGGCGACTGAAAATGAGGAGTCCTGGCTTTGTGGGAGGCCTTGTCGACAACTGACGGCGTCGTGCCTCGTATTATCCAAGTCTTTTAGAGGTGCCCGAAATTGCGAGCCAAGTGCGGCGGGAAACAGGGCGTTTCTTCGGCCAAGAGGCGGGAAGCAAGGGTTGGTGACACTGATCAAGAATCAAGATAAATATGCGGTCCACGATCCTCACTTACGTACTCGGTACAGAGGCTCGGTTGCTAAAACGCCCTTGTCATCAGTTGTCATTATTGTTATTGTTATTGTCGTCGTCGTTGTCATCCTCCTGCTTAAGGAACTAACTGCCTGGGTCTTTCTTTTCCTCTAAAGGTGTATTCTGTCCTCGTACCTCGTAGAGCCGACACACTGCGCTGTGAGGCTGTATGTGGTGCTGTAGTAGTGGGGCCTAGCTCCGGTGAGCTTCGCAGGTCGCGACGTCTTTTCTCTCGTTGCGATTCGCCCAAAGGTCTCCGTAACCACCCAGAAAAGCCCAGATTCGGTCGTCGGATATCGAAAAGTCAAAATGCAGCTGTTGATAGCGCTAAACCAAAGCTTTCGGGACCGCAGTCGAACATTTCCGCGATAAAGGTATTCGAGACATCCAGCCCAAGTCGGTCTTTAAAGCAGGATTCGGGAATTGGGAAAATGAGTTTCCCGTGGTAAGAGACCACCGACAAAATCCGGTAAGTCGACGACACAGAGACGACGAACAGAGCGCTAGGTGACGTCGTCGATATAGCTTTCGCCCTCTTCTGTTTGAATTCCTCGGGGTGTCATCGGAGGCCTAGCCATCGATCAATCCCTCAATCGATCAGCCATCTCCCTGTCACCGCAAAATCCATCATCAAGGACGAACCAGACAAGGAACATCGGCGCTTAGCCCTCCTCAAACAGAAATGCCTCGAGTCTTCCTTATCACCGGCACGTCGACCGGCTTTGGTCACGACTACGCCCAAGAAGTTCTGGACCGCGGCGACATTGTGGCCGCCACAGCCCGCGACCCGTCACAACTGTCTTTCACCAACACCAGCCCCGAAACGTACCTGGCACTCCGCCTCGACGTCACGGATAAGGACTCAATCAAGCAAGCCTTCTCCCAGACGCTCAAGAAATTTGGCCGCATCGACGTGGTGGTAAACAACGCAGGCTACGGTCTCTCGGGCTGTTTCGAAGAGTGCACTGACGAGGAGATCCGACGGCAGATGGACATTAACCTCTTTGGACTGCTGGACGTAACCCGCGAGGCGTTGGAGACTATGAGGGATAAGCAGAGACCCCAGGGCGGGTTGATTCAGCAGATCACGAGTATTGGTGGCCAGAGGGGGGTGCCGTTCTTCAGCATCTATTGTGCCAGTAAGTGGGCCGTCGAGGGCTTCACAGAGGCTCTCAGCCATGAGATGAAGCCCGAGTGGGGGATTAAGTTCACTCTGATCGAGCCGGGCGGGTTCAGGTACGTTTGTTCTCTATTCATCCTTCATGCGGCGAGGAGTGCGGTGGTTGCTGGCTCTTGTCGCACTGACTGACTATCATGCTCTTCTCCATCCCACATCTGCCAGCGCTGACAATCTTCCAGAACAGACTGGGCCGGCCGTTCCATGACCTTCGCTAAACGCCATCCCGCATATGACCGTACGTCTCTTGTCTTCGTTATCTTCTTTTCCCACCTTTCTTTTGGGCTGTCGCCCCGAGGCACCTCATCCCTAATACCAACCATTGCTAACAACAAACTCAGATCTCAATGCCGAGATACACATGACCGCCCGCCACGGCACGCAGGCAGGGGACCCTAATAAGGGCGCAAAGGCGATGTACGAGCTGGCTGTGATGCCCAGCCCGCCCTTGCGGGTCGTCATCGGCACCGACGCGTACAAGGCGGTCATGAACAAGCTAGAGCAATACGAACAAAACTACACACAATACGCCGTGCTGAGTAATTCGACGGATGTGGACGGCTATGTGGCGCCGCAATAACTGGCCAGCTACATACTAGGGAGATTGGCGGAGTGCGACTTGGAAATAGACACTTGGGCAGGAGATCCAGACTCACTTCATCACATAACTCCGTACCTAAAGTAGATCGGATAGACTGCATGAGATGCATTGAGCTCATCCAGAGCGCTAAGAACACTCCGGGGCGGTTTTTGCGGGACTTGATCATGAATTGACGGCTTGCTGAACATACTTCCTTTCTTCTAAGCAGCTGTATTCACGTCCCAATCGCCCCATGTCTTTCTTCTGATGCACTGCCTTTACGTGGCAAGCAGGAGTCCAAGTTCCGTACGGGGTCTTTGCCGCTCTTCGGTCCATAGACAGAAAGAAAAAGGTCTGTAATATACATATACACATGGGTGATGAATAAGAGAAACAACAAACACAATCATCTGACCCGTCAGTCAATGAACTCATTCCGATCCCATGCCAGCCAGGCCTTGTCCTTTACCCACACCCCCTTATCGCCGTCGCGAGCTGTGAGATCATCATGGCTCCGTCGCGTTGGTCTTTGCCTGTGTCGAAAACCTGGCCCAACCAGCCGTTTTGCCTCAACGCCAAAGACCACACACAAAAAAGAGAACTCCCGGTCTTTGAGCCTGCAATGTCCCTTCGAATTGAACATTGAATACGAGGCAGTAACAACTCAAAAACAGAGGCGAAAATAAAAACGCAACATGAGGGGGTATCTGTAACATGCCCAAGCAAAATGCTAGAATCGGATAAACCTCGGCAGAATACCCTGTTAATGCTTTTGACCGTGCCATGGTTTTTGCTTTTCGTTTTCGAACTTCTCATCGAGTCCGAACAATATCTGTAACGTCATATTCACTTTTCCTTTTCGTCTGGTGGTGAGCAAAATCGTTGTTGCTTAAAAGTGCTCTGTTTCATATGGCTTTCAAAGACGTTTTAAACCCGTTGCTGTTGTTGCTGTGTAGCGCTGGCCAGTTGATGTTTCAATGAATTAATTTCGTCTTGCATTTTGTTGATCCGTTGCTCCAAGCTGGTCACATATGCCCACAGTCGCTCCTCTTGCGCAAACATGGCTTTAGACGTTTCCCCGCTGCCATGAACTGAATGACCGTGACTCGATAGACTGTTGCTATGAGACGACAAGGGTCCACTTCCGCTCATGTGAGTGGGTGGCCCACTGGGCTGAGTAGGAGGATGTGCTGGCCCAGCTTGACTGGGTAAGGTATACCTCGCGTCCGGCGGATTTAACGCATGAGGAGGTGGTAACTGTGGGCCACTCGAAGGCACGCCCAGAGAGGAACCAGAACCACCACCGGATCGTGCGTGCGGTTGTGGATAGAAGGTCGTGCTTGGGGACCGGTTGCGACGGATGTTGCCCTCAACTCCAGAAACTTGGCCTCCTCGCTGCGTTTGACCAGGTGAAAGAGGCTTTGGACTCTCTGTTATTGGATTCTGCGGGTAGACTGTACCTGGAGCTGAGGGCCGTGAACTCGAGGACGATCCAGGCATAGGCGGAAATGGCATTGGTGCAGATGAAGGCACGGGAGCATTGCTGGGGCCCGAACCGGGTTGGTTGAAACCAGGTCGAGGCGGGAAATGACCACTGGCGATCCCTCCAGGAGGGCGGCCCTGTATCGGAGGATATGTGCTGGGAATTCGAGATGTGTGGGCAGGGTCGTCCAGTGTATCGTCTCCAGAAGGTGCTTGTCGGCGGATACCCGGTCGTTTGTCATTGCCCTCTTCATCATCCAGAGGCTCAGGTTCACCGTATACCACCCCCTCCATTGACTCGTCAGCTTCCCCTTCTTCTTTACCGCTAAAACTACCCATGCTGGATCTCCGTCCAGCGCAACCTCCAGGACCTTTGTTATGACGGGCAAGAGCATCGCCCCGAGCAAACTTACGGCCACATTTGGGGCAAATATGAGGTCTTTCGCCGGTGTGAAGCTTGGTGTGCCGCTTGAGGTCATGAAGTCGGCGGAACCGCGATGAACAGGTCGAGCAGACGTAGGGTTTTTCTTGGCTATGCGTTAACAGATGGCTCTTCAGATTGTGATGACGAGTAAACTCGGTGGCGCAGTAGGGGCATCTGTGCTTTTTGCTGGAAGGAGATTTTGTACCTTGTCGTGTGCCGGAATGAGGCAAGCTCATCCCTCGTCTAGTAGCGTTATCCGCTACTTGTGGTTGTAAGAAGGGGGTCGGATACGAGAGCGCCCCCGTCTTTGCGACACCGCCAGGAGAGGTAGAGCCTGCCTCTGCAGCATTCACGACCTGACGGACTGTTTCTTCGATCGCAAGTGGGCTGCCCACGGTGGTAGTCATCCCCGAGACGCCCGGCACGCCTTCCAGGGTACCCATCGTCCCACCGCTCGATATACTTGTGGGACTAGTCAGCGCTGCGTGGTTGTCTCCAGCGGTGGAAGCTTCGGGAACAGATCCAGCCGGCTGTTGAACATTTTCCGCAACCAAAGCTAGTGGTTCGCTGACTGTGGTCGCAGGATCTGAGGGAATATCTGACGTTGGCTCGGCAGCTTTGCTCGTCGCATTCTGATTTGCGCCCATGAGGGCACTTCGGGCTTGATGAGGGGGGTTCGGACTCGTTCCAGACGTGGGTGAAGGCGGAGATGGAGATGACTTTTGTTGTTCTTCAGCAAAAGCTACGGCGGCGGTCATCAGAGGGCTTTCGAGCCTCGGTCTCTTCCCAGGCCGTGACGACTCTTCAAAGCCGTCGCGGGAGCTGGCCTTGACTTTGGAAAGATGTTGCCCTGAGCTGGTCGGTTTAACGAATGTGGGGGGGATCGGAACAGAATCCTCTGGGGATATTTGCGGATCTGGGCTGGTTTCAGCCATCAACAAGATCTAAAGTCGCAAGATTCACTGCAGCCTACATGGACAGTCAGCGCAAGAGTCCTTGAGCCCGAGGCTAAGCATGCCACATCTCCTTTTGTTTTTGGCAATACAGGAGATGTAGAAACTGAGAAGAAAGCCGTCATAGACTGGTCATAAGTCCATAGAGAAAAAAGTAACGGAATTTGCGACGTGGCTGTTACAGTCGCTTGAGGATGGCGTACCTTTTGCAAGGGGGCATAGGTTGAATGGTGCTGGGGCTCCGAGCTGAAAAAAAGAAGTAGGCTGAGCACGAGGCACTTTTCAGCCTCACAGGAGAGCAGAAGGACTTATTGCCCAGACCGAGAGGTTGGCTGGCAGACGCCGATGGATCCCTTTCTTCTTCTTCTTCTTCTTCTTCTTCTCCTATCTCTTAAATAACCTGTCACTAGCGATGCGCAGCATGTTATGGGGGAGCACCGTCCGGGGTAGGCCAGTTTCTCGGTGGCTTTCGCGGTAGGTTTCAGGCGCGGACTAGGCGTAGAAGGTGAGGCCGAGGCTTTCCGAACTCGTATATACTTTTATGCGTTCGGTCAGAGGACCAACTTCACCCCTGATTCAATGAGCGAATTCGAATGAGCTTCGTGGGGTTGAACGGATAAAGAGAACGAAGGTGCGAAAACAAGTAGAAGGTCCGGTTTTCGACGGTGGGGGGAACCGGTTGAGGATGCGCGCCGCTGATTGCGACAGAAATATGGTTTTGGAACCTGCGCCGTAGAAGATGTCGCTTTGGCTTTTGCAGTTGAAGTTGTCTACGAGGAGAGGTCGAAGGGAGGGACTGAAGCGACGAGAATAAGTGGTAGGCGGGTACTCCGTGCTTGTTTGGCAGAAACGAGGCGAGCGCTGTAAATGCTTCGTAATGGTTGGCAGCAGGTGGGATTTCAACAGGATAGCCGAGTTGAAATGACGAGGATCTTTGACTGTTTGGTTGACTGCAATCTGATGAATCGCGATTGAGAGCGAGGGGTCAAATTTCGAGAGGGAGAGAGGTTCTTGGATGGCAGTTGACTCAAATACTGTCGACTCGTCAGATCGACGGACCCTTGTACCGCAGAGAATTTTTTCCTTTTGGCAACAGTAGATGTGTATGGCGAACGGTTCGCGACCGGCCGAGTGGGAAGGGAAAGGAAAGGAAAATGATGAAGACGGGTTCGTATGGTTGTGAACCGGGCCAGTGGTTGAGGGTTACGGGCAATGGAGATGGTGACGGTATTCGAGTGGAGCAGTAGCTGCGAGGAGAAGTCGAGTGGCTCAGGTAGACAGGCCCGTGCTGAACGTACTAATAAAAGGGTCCTGCTCTTGGGTACAACCTGGCTGGTGGATTCTGCTGGAAATGGGTTTGTGTTTGTGGTTTGGCAGTGGGACTCGACTGGGCTTGACTTGTTTTCCTAAGGGTACGCCGCAACCAGTGCGTTGCTCTGGTTCGATGGAATAGAGAGAGGTGATGAAAGAGGAAAAGAGGCGCAGGCAAACCGAATCGTGATACGCAATTGGGATCGGAGACTGGGGGGAGGAAAAAGAGGCAGGTTCAAGAGGCCCTGGAAGCCACCCAGCAGCTAGGAGCTAGGAGCTGCACGAAGCTGGACGTGGATTCGTTTTAACTTGTCTCTCGTTAGGCGTGGTGGCCACAGGCGGCTCGAAGATCGCAAAGGAAGAAGATAAACAGGTGGCGTCTAGGACGAGGAGTGGGCGCGCAGGAGCGGGAGTACCGAGCAGGAGCAGGGGAACAGGATTACCCCGTAACAACCCCTGTGTCGCTTAGGCCTTTGAGCTACTGATTGACAGTTGCATCTTTGATTGACTTTTGACGGGCTTGGACGGGTTAGATGTGGCACATGAGCGAGAGGAAAGATCAGCAGGCAAATTTGGGGAGGATGAGGTATGGAATCGACGTGAAAGCCAAGTGTGGCAGCGAGGCAGGAGTGGCAGTGTTGAGGAGCTCCTAGCCAGTGACGCTGTTCTATGACGCGCCTCAGCCCCAGGAAGAGGTGCCCGCTCCAGGCTCAGGTCTAACTTCTATGTACCTAGTTAAGGGTGGCTCGGTGGTTCAGGCATCAATGAGGCTTGTGACTTGCCTGTTTGCTTTGGGGGCCGCTTCGTTACAACCCACCTCCCATTACATACTAAGTAGCCTGCCTAACTGGATTCGGGTGGTACCTAGGTACGCAAGTACGTGGTACTCCCACCAGCTCCCGGGCAGCACCTATTGTCAATTCTCTCTTCCCTCTCTCCTTCATCCTCTTGTTCTCTATTCATCCTTGCTCTCTTCTCTGCCAGGACCCTGATTGACATACCGAATATATCGTACATACTTGCATCCCAACTCCCGAATGACGCCATTTCATCGGTGGCTGGTACTTAGATTACCAACGTAGCACCCTTCATGCCTTTGGCACTGGTGCTTCTTCCACCAATCATCCTTCATTCAGCTCCAACCACATTCGCCCACCACCTCCTCCTCCTCCTCCTCCTCCTCCCTCACGGCCGCTAATCAATCTGGTGAGCCAGCCCTCGCGAACAACGTCGCACACTCTTGGACGTTCTTGGTTAGAAGCCATCCCTTCCCTATTTCGGCATCAACTGGTCTCTCCAAAATTGTCGAGGTGCCGTCCTATTTCGGTCGGGTTGTCTGCTCGACTCCGTCAAACTTCAGTTTTGCCTGGGTCCTGGTGGCGTCCACTACTCTGTAAAGAGGCTCCCCCCACGCCTCATGGCTGGAACTAATAGGAGGACAAGACTTCTCAGGTACCCAGTACAGCTCTCGAGCTTGATGGCTGGCATGTGGCTGACATTCTAATGCTGATCTTGCGCCCAGTCTCACGAAAATTCCCAAATCCCTCCCCTGTGGTTGTGATCTTCATGGCCCTCTTAGCGAGAAAATCATTGATTATTTCTGTCCTGTGCGAGTATGGAGTCCCGACGGATTGCTCTCCGGCGATAATGCACACACCCAGGCACACACCCAGGCACACACACGACGCGAGAGGGCAAGCACGAGCACAAGAGTTGCCCAGGTGTGTTTGGTGATTTCCCGCCATTCGGAGGTCACAAACGATGGAGGTCTGGTCGCTTGCTTGGATCAGAAAGGCGGTGTCGACTGAGTACGTTCGCATGTCCTTTCCTCAGAGGAAAGGCTTCGCTGTTCAATACCATTCCATACTGTGCAAAACTACCGACTACTCGGTACTTCGAGTGCAAGGAGTGCGATAGCAGCCCATGTCTTCAAATACGGGGTACCTATGCCAGACTCGTGGGGCGTGTTTGCCCTACTAGCGAGTGGAACAGGGAATATCCCCGTTGCACCCGCAGTCATTCTTCCCTTGTCTTGTGGCTTGTTATGTAGCTCTCCAACCTCCCCATGCTGGTTGTCTCCCTTCAGTATCTCCGCCACTGGAAGGCTGCCGGTTTCATCTAACTCCCAAACTCGCCGATTACCCCAAGCGAAGAACCCAAAAGCCGTTATCCAGATTGACGAGAAATGTGTCCAACAGAACCGGGAAAATAACAGTTGTTTAAACAGTCGATGCAGGTCTTCAATCAGACCCAACTGCGATTCCAGCGATGTCATCACAATGAATCTACTGACTGGGCCAGAAGGGTTCAATGGAGGTCCTCAGCCTAACATCCAACACCATTATGTCAGACAATTCGGTCGACAAAGGGAAAGTGCCACCGGCCCATGTCGTTCCACAGTGCGCCAAATCCTTCAAATTGTGTTTTTGGTCCAGAAACAGCAGACATGCCGGACTTGGTCCACTCCAAGGGGGTTTGTCGGTCGAGATCTCTTCTGCAAATACTCCGTCTACTCCATAATGTAATTGTGCCCATTGCATCACAACTTCCGCAGGGCTAGACAGATTAGGTCTGAAGACGAGATCCGAACCGCGATTTTACTTCTCGGGTCTCGTCCGCCAGGGAACACCAACACGAGATTACTTGGAGCCACTGTGTCAAACTTTCTGAAACTGGTGCCAGTTCAGCTCGCTGTCCATGGCGTAATCCGGTCCCCAATCTTAATGCTAACACGCGGCCGGCGAGAACAATCCTCTGGCATGCTACCAGACATCAAACACATGTGCATGCCAAACCAAACCCGGCCATCCTTTCGCCTTGTTTTCGCCAAGGTGCTGAAAGGCTCCTGTCTCCGTTGTGCGCTCTTCTGGTCCACGCAGACCATTTGACATCGTTGGCACGGCCCCAGGATTTCGAACACACTGTCCAGACCATCTCCAATCTGTAAACTCGTCCACTCATCCTCGATATATGGGTTTTCTATTAACCCCCGTCTAAGGTCCTCAGCAATGACTATATTGCCACGGAATGAGTCGGCAGTGACAGCTTTGCCGATGCCACCATTTTGCTTAATCTGCTCATTGAGACGGTTGACACTAGAACGTGAAACAAGCAAGATAGGGCTTTCGTTAGACAGAGCGATGGATTTTCCAACTTCAGTGGCCTGTTTTCCGTGACGCAAACCAGGCACTCGCACTTTGGCCTGTCTGATGGTGCCGTCATTTGGAAATCTCGCCAGCGTACAAGGGACTCCCAAGGCTTCGGTAAAGAATTCCACCACTTCGGATGAAGTGTAGACATGAACGTCGACATTCTCACCACACACGTTTGAAGATTTGTTTGTTGTGCGTTCACATTTAGTAATGGTTCCTGTGCGCATAAGCTTCGAGTCCAAATTGAGAACGAGCTTCTTGTTTTGCGAAGACCCAGAATCGAAGGAGACCCGAATTACGCCCATTTGCAAGTCAATCTCGGGACGAATAAGTGCCATTCGTGGGAAGCGCTTCTGACTCAGCGCAACGTTGGTGCCCTCGTGGACGAGACACCATTCTCGATCCCATGCAAGTCCTTTCGGTCCCACCTCCCACAGCACGTCGCAGGGAACTCTATATGCCGCGCAACTTTTGATGGGAAAAACCGACAAGCTCTCGACCACAAAACTCTGAGGCGTCGGGGGCGGCCCGGCCACTGATCCATGCTCTTGTGTTTGTGCCGGGGCACCGCGGTCCACGTAGAACTCTTTGATAAAATCAATGATTGACGCCACATCCTGTGTGTTGCTCATTGCACCCAAACTCAGCCGGATCGCACCCGTCGGTTTACCATTAACAATGTCATTCTCGCCTCCGCACCGCTGGCCTTCGGCGTAGTTCCGGCGCAACTCATCCACCGAAAGCCCAAGATGGCCTGCGATGCCGCCGGGATTGCATAGGCCACCCGTCCTGAATTGTATATTCTTCACAATCCCAAGTTTCTCTGCTTCCGAATTACTTACGTATTTGCCCCGGCTGTCTTTGAGGTTGAAGGCAACAGTAGGGCCTAGCGGGAGAGAATCCGAAAGCCCATCAGGGTAAATGGCGCAGACCTTGCTTCCATTGGCATGTTGAAGGCTGCGGAGTTGATTTCGGAGCGTAGACGCCAGGAAGTTCGTATGCTTCGAGACATTCCCCATCGACCCGTACAGTCTTCTGTGGATGTCCAGCGCCGCCTGTAACGCAATGATGCTGTGGAAGGCCACAGTCCCGTCCTCGAGACAGCTGTGCAACGAAGGAGTTTTCTTGGCGTGCCAACTTTCTCCTAACGTCGCGACCGAGTCTACCGTTCCTCCGCCGAAATACCTCCGCCGACGGAGGATATCGCCGGAGGACTTCCGCACAATTAGAGCTCCGAGATCTGGAAAGCCGAAGATCTTGTAGAAGCTCAGCGCTATGAAATCGGGTGCCGTGGAGTCGTCCGAAAGGTCGAGTGGCGCCGTCGATACCAGGGCGGCAGCATCGAGAAGAGTAAAGAAAGATTGCCCAGAGGTCCTTGTTGCCTTCCGTATCCTTCGGATCCATTTCAGCGGCAGCCGACGGCCTGTCATGTTTGATTGAGCGGGATAGGCAAAAAGTGACAGATCCCCTTCGACGGTGGAACGTTGATTCTCCAAATCTTTCAGCCACGCCTCGACGTCTCCGTCATTGGCAAAGCAGGTCGTTCCACCAGTCGCTAGTTCCCTCACTCCAACGAGACTGGTATGAGCCTCAGCATGATAGTAGTATCTGAACCCGGATGCATGATCTCTGAAGGCATCTCCAACAAGCTTAACGGCTGCTGTCGCATTGGGAACGAAGACTACGTCGAATTCATCAGGGACGGCGTTGAAGAATCGCAAGACTTGAAGCCGAGCATCGTCGATTCGACGAGAGGATAGTTGCGAAGACGCCGAAGCCGAATGTGGATTGCCGAACAAGCTCCCTGTGAGCTCTTCGGAATACCTCTGAATCAAGGACTTTGCATATAACGTTGTCCCCGCGTGATCGAGATAGGTCGTGTCTTTCAGCTGGGGATATTCTACCTCCCTAATATAGTCAATATTCGTGATGTAGCCGGTCTCTGGTGTGATTTCTGCCACAAATTGCGTTCCCCACGCAGAAAAAGCAAGATTGACATTGTCTCTCATGGTGGCCAGCGCTGAAATACCTGTCGATCTGGACGGATTGATGTCGGCGTTGTTGCACAGCCCATTGACCTCTTGAGGAGACAGAATGAATGTCGAATATATCAAGATCGCGGTAAGAGTTGGCGAGGCAGTCAAGGAAAGGAAAAGCAACTGTGGATGTACGAGTACGAAATAAAATGGTCAGAGGTGGGGGATGGCGGTAAAAGGGAAGACTGAAATCATAAAAATGAACACGAGGGCGAGTTCTCGGCCTTCTCCGATGGCCGCACACCCTGTCGTTTTATTGGTGCGGAGGCCCGCTCTTATCTCAGACTCAATCCTGTCAAAAATGGGTGAACAACACATCGACTCGGTCAGCTAGTAAGCCAGGAAGAACTCTGCAGCGTACTCGGTATACAGGAGCAAATTGCGGCGGAAAACTGGTGAGAAATCAGAGGCTGGTGGTATGCTTGCTCAGGCCCCTTCTGGGTCTTATTGTTTGAAATTGGTCACCAGGGAAGGGGACAAGTCTTTGGTTTTCCGGCAAATCCAGGTCGAATTTGATAAAGCCTTGTCTGGCTTCAAGTTGCAAAACAACGAGCTCTATGCGCAGCCGACCACTACTCTCACGACACGGCAGATCTTCCATGTCGCATTGGCGTTTGGCCTTCGGAGTGACGGGACTCATAAAGATGACCGAAATGGCCGCTTAAGAGACGAGATTTCTCGTGTGCCCTATGTCTAAGGACGATAGCGTATGTGATTCCTGGTATAGTCAAGCGTTTGTGGGTGGAATGCTCTTTTGACTTGTTCAAAAGGGAAACAAGAAATCGCTGACAGCGCTGAGCTATTCTCAATATGATTCCGAAGCTGCGCTATGCCGAGTTTGTCTTTCGCCCTTGAGTCGGAAATTTTCACCCTCATTCCTCTCCTTCGAGAGTTACTCAGCTCAACATCTCTCCATCCTGTGCCCTTTTATACCGAGATTCCGCGACAATGATGACAAAATGTTCGACACAGATGGGTCTGGAGTCTTCAGAATCACCACACGGCATTTAGGAGACTCTTCTCTGCCGACGCCATCCGCTTCCAGCACGGAGCTCGAGCAAGCGTGCCTTGGCTCGCCTTTTATCCTGCTTGGCTCGAGCATTGAGGCTAATTGCTCCTTTCTTTGAACCTTCTATCATCAGTCCAGGTCTTGCAGCCAAAAAAGCTTCCAGGGTCATGATCTGCCGCTTGGTATTTTCCTCGTTGGAGACTTGGAGTATGTGGCTTGAAGCGCCTCAGCTAACATCGGTCGCCATTCGACCACACAACAAGCCAAGGGATTCCGGGCTGACTGTCGACCTTGAGAGAAGTTTCCTGCGAGGCTGTCGCTTGTGGATGTAACCAAAACGGTTGGATGTGGTCGATCAACAACCGCTGCCTTGTCCAAAGCCTCCACGGCCAACCCCGGATTCCCATTTCTCCACTTTGAATGCTCCACCCTCTTAGAGATACGTATTTCCTCCTCCCGGTCCTCTTGTGCCACCCCCAGGGATTGCTGTATTGCTGAGGGGTTTTGACTAGGGTGATATTGTTTGCAAGCGAGGATAAATTTGCCTCCATTATGTCGCGGTCGCGGCTGTTCCTCGGACGTAGTCGACGAAGAAGAGAAATAAGAGGGAAGAGTTCCCTCAATCAGCTCCGGGAAAAGAGCATTCTGTTCTTGTTTTCAGTGCCGTTGATACCAACATTGTGCTCGTCATGGCTACTACTAAGATATTCAAGCCCGCCACACATGAGGTTGGGGCCTCCGATCCCATTCTCACTCGCATCGTCCAGGAAGACAAAGTGCCTTGGTATCGCAAACGGAACTTGCGATATCTCTACTTCATGCTCTTTCCGACATGCATGGGGATTGAGTTGACATCTGGCTTCGATTCGCAGATGATCAATGCCCTACAGATTGTCCCATCTTGGATTGAGTGTACAAATCCTGCCAGACTAATGTGCATCAAGAGGAATGCTAATCTGTTTGGCTGCAGACTTTGGTAACCCGGAAGGCTCTTTGAAAGGTATCATTGCCGCGGCATATTCGCTTGGAGCCATCTGCTCTCTCCCTTTTATTCCCATTGTCAACGAGAAACTCGGCAGAAGAGGGTCAATCTTTCTCGGTTCGCTGATCATGGTTGTCGGCGCCATCGTCCAAGGATTTGCGCGAAATGGTCAGTCCCGAGATCATAGCTTGGTGATTTTCGTGTTGACAATGAGCTGTAGTTGGAATGTACATCGCCGCACGTCTCATTCTGGGTTTCGGCATACCGACTTGCATCGTCTCTGGCTCTGCGCTGATCGGTGAACTCGGGTATCCCAAGGAACGCCCCGTTTTGACGTCTCTGTTCAACGTATCCTATTTCATCGGTAAATGACCCCACCAAACGAGAATGTTTAGCTGCGGTTGTCAATTAGGGTTCTCCATTCTATTTGCATTTGCTGACAAGTCGAACATGACAGGTCAAATCGCTGCCGCTGGCATCACTTTCGGAACGAATAGCATCGCAAGCAATTGGGCCTGGCGGATCCCATCTCTTCTGCAAATGGTTCCGTCAATGTTGCAAATTTGCTTCGTCTACTTTTTGCCCGAGAGTCCCCGTTGGTTGATCACCAAAGACCGCACTGAGGAAGCTTACGATATCCTTGTAAAATACCACGCCGAAGGTGACCGGGACTCTGAATTCGTGCGAGCTGAAATGGCTCAGATGCAAACCACCATCCGTCTGGAGCTGGAAGCATCGAGGAAATCTTGGTTGTCTGTCATCCATTCTCCGGGCATGCGTCGACGTGTCTTCATCTCGTCTTTCCTAGGGCTCTTCACCCAATGGTCGGGCAACACCTTGATCTCGTACTATCTCGGCGACCTGCTGGCCATGATCGGCCACACCGACAGTATCTTTAAACAGAAAATCAATCTCGGCAACTCATGTTGGTCCCTCGTTTGTGCGTTCACGGCCGCAATGTTGGTTACTCGCTTTAAACGCCGAACCATGTATCTCGCCTGCACATGCAGCTTACTCGTCGTCTACATCTGCTGGACTGTAACGATGCAGCAATCCATTGCCGCTGTTGAAGCCGATCGGACAAACACCGCGGCGGGCACCGCCACGATCTTCTTCATCTTCCTCTATGCGCCTTGCTACAATATCGGCTACAACGCTCTAACATACACTTATCTCGTGGAGCTCTGGCCGTATGCGGAACGATCTCGCGGCATCGCCGTTTTCCAGCTATTCGGCAGGATGGCCGGGTTTTTCACCACGTTTGTGAACCCCATCGGCCTGAAGAACATCAGCTGGAAATGGCTGATCACGTATTGCTGCTGGCTGGCCTTTGAGATCTGCTTCGTGTGGTTCTTCTTCCCTGAGACGGCAGGGAGGACACTGGAGGAGTTGGCCTTTTGTAAGTGTCACACCCCCTCCTTTCCAACTGACACTTCCCCATCCTTTCCCTGCTCTCCGCTTCCATACTCTGGTTTATTCTTGCAGCATGAGGGAAGTCATGAGCAGATTTTCTCATGCTAACACCGTTCGAATAGTGTTCGAGGACAAAGCTCTCGCCGACAAAGCCGTCGTGGCCGTCGAAAAGGTCGTGCATCACGAAGATATGGATCCCGTGGCGATGGACGTGAAGCGCTCTGAAATTGGGCACGCGGAGGTCATAGAGGCGATTGAGGAGAAGCTGGGTAAGGTGTAGTCGGACAACGTAGGCATGGTACGTTGACTGGCAAGCCTAATATACTCGTCACTTGAGTCGCTTTGATCATAGGAGGGAAAGATATCCGTGTGAGAGGCAAGAATGTTCGTCGAGGCCATAAGACAATATCGAAAACAGGAAACGCATGAGTTATGATGGGACTTGAGATACATGTGAGAGCAACTTGTCTAGGACGACGGTCTCCGTAAGTCTATGAAGGTTGATCACAGAGGGAGAGGGACAGGGGATACTAACGTAGCATACGTTCTGTAGTACTAGGTTCGAAGTACGTATGTATGTATGTATGCCGCGCGTTCTTTGCACCATTCATCCTTCATTCTTCCCGAGGATGAGAATCAGATCCTTTACGACTGTCAGTGGTTGGTCTCAACCTCTGAAAGGCGAAAGTCTTGCGGGATATGGACTGCTCCGCGCATAGCGCTCAATGACGAGACGAATGGCATGTTGTAGAAACCTCCTATATGACAGATTCTTGACCCTGTTGTTTATATTAAACCATTTCGTCTCGCGAGAGAGGAATATTGTGCACTTTCCTGACTCCTCTGCTCCGTCAATGTTCGTCATCAATATCCTCGTCAATAGCGTTCTCCGAGCAACTGAGAGATCCGCCGGTAAAATCAGCTCGCTACTCACTAACACATTGACATAATCCAAGAGGCCGAATCCTCGCGGCCTACATTCACAACATGAATAAGGAAATTCGTCCAGTGTAATTTTTCGGAGTCGGCCCACCTCTTCTGGCGAGTCACGTTCATGTTCATCCAGTGCATAATGGTTGGAACTTAGTCATTCCGCTTAAACGACGTATCGGTGGCGGCTGGTGCTCCTCCTCGATCCAGAACGAGAGTGACCTCGTCGACTGCTGTGTCTCGACCGCCTGACTTCCTTGGTGACGACCACTCTTTCGTGACGATGGAGGAAGAGGGCTAGGATGAAGGTGAAGAAGAACAAGATGGTATTCATTATCCCCAAGGCCCAGGAAGCCTTTAGCATAGAACAATTCTTGTTGAGATGTGCCGCCCATGATGAACCGCTGGTCCGTCCATAGTAGCCAAAGGGGCCCAAGTTGATGAATATGGACCCGCTAGTGAAGTTGCCGCAGTCGGCGTCATCGATAGCTCTGAGTTCGACGTCGGCGGCGATGAAAGCGCCCACGAAGCAAAGGTCGATGAATGCGACGAAGAGAGCAGAGCGACGGGTCGAGCCGAGACGGAGGAGGGTCACCACAGCCCAAGCGCAGGCGAGAACGGAGACGATGAACAAGGTCAGGATGAAGGCTGGAGTCAGTTGATTGTTTTCATCGAAGCCGTCGACGAACCATGCCTGGGGTGCGGGTGTCAGTAGTGGTGTGCCTTCGGGAAAGGATAGGGCGTACCAGCATGCCAATGACGGGGATTAACGTGACAATCTCCACGAATCTCCAGAAGCAGAAGAGCAACCCGCCGAGCATCTTGTTTAGCGGTAGTGTTTCGAATTAACGCAGGCTGTGTGGTTTGGGAGCCGACTCTCTTTTGCCGTGATGAGGCTTGAGGGAATCGTACAGACGGTCAGGGTTTCGTCGCCTAATGTCAATGCGGGCGGGGTGCAGTTCATGCAGAAGCAGGTTTGACGGAAGAAGTCTGGAAAAAGACGAGAGGATGCGGAATCATTGGGGTAGATAGGAGGAGCACAGAGAGAGAGGAGGGGAGGGGGAGAATGAGAAAGAGAGAAAGAGAGAAGAGAGAGAGAGGAGGCTGGGCAAGCCGTCAAGATCAATCGGGTTCGCCGACGAGGTGAGGTGAGGTGCAGGCGTTGGGTAGCTGACTTGCTGGCGAGGGCTGCGAGGGGGTAGCTAGCTCGGTACCACGTAAATACCTACTTGGTACCCCAATATGCACCGAGTCCGTCGTAAGCGGGCTCCCTCGTACTTTGTAGAATGGCAGTGGCTGGGCGAGGCGGCGGCAGTGGTGCCCGTCTCACCGTCTCGCCGTCTCATCACGTCGTCATCGCACATGCGAAACTCTGTATTAGTGTTCAGCGAAGTGTTTCCTCCTCTCTTTGATTGGTGCTTTCTTCCACAGCCAGAGGTTCCTTTTTTGCTGCCGTCTTCCTGCTTTTTTCATGCCTCAAATCTGGGAACGCAGCTTGAGACAACACGACCACCCAAGACACCCATCCTACGGGATCGGCATATCGCCTATTCTTGCATCTGCGTCACCGACAGCACGGGGTTCCTGCGCCTTTGAATCATGTATGGCATGCTCGCCCATTGTCCTTCGATCGTCCAACGTCGTCTGGCTCCCTGGTACACGCGCCTACCCGGCCCTATATCCTTCCATATATTCACCCAAGTTGGTCAATTTGGCGTGAAGTGATTGTGATCACAGTCCGCTCACTCGAATGGCGGGCGAGGCCAGAGAGGAAGAGGGTAATCAACAGCATGGCGAACTCCCCACCGCAGCACAGATACTCGCAAATCCCTCAGATCAAGAAGCCCTGGAGCTTGCCCCGCGATTGTCGGCAACGACCACGAACCAAAGCGCCTCAAGGCCCTATCGATGGTGGAGGAGGCATATCTCTATGGGCGTCCCTCATGTTGCTTGCCGCGACCACTTGGGTAAGGATACGTGCTTGGAGCGGCTGCCGAGATCATCCGTCTTCCTTTACTTCTCCGACTTTCACGACTGACTCAGCCGTTTTAATAGCAAATGAAAGGACTTTTCTTGGTTACCTACGAACTGCTCAGGCATTTGCTATGGTGGGCGTGATTATCGCCCAGTTCTTCCGATTAAACCACAGTCTTGAACCGAACCCACACCTGGGCTTCTTCCTCGTTGGCGTACCGTTATCTTGTGTCTGCCATGCTTCTGCCATCCTTATATCTGGTCTCGGAGCCCTCCGGTTCATTCGATATCAAAAGGCCATGGCCCGTGGTGATGCTCTATCCGGTGGGTGGGAGATGACATGTATTGGCGTGCTTACTACTCTGGTCAGTCCGATGACCGTTCCGCTTCCTCCCTGCTAACACGGCCCAGATTCTTGTCACCACTTTTCTCCTCACGCTGATTATAAGCGTCAAGAACGGCTGATTGGAATCAGAATGATCACAGTCACGGTTTGCGACATTGTCCGGGAGCCCCAATCAAAAAACTCACCATGAGAACAAGGGGTTCAGGTCTGCTGCATTGGTCCAGAATAGAAAGGCCTTCCGGTAAGATTCCCTTCACAGGGTATCGACGCCTTTTGACGCTGGAGCCGCCATGGCTTCTTTGGTCACTCCTGCAAGCGACGGCTCTTCTCTGGACCGTGCGTGTATTTGCTTTGGCCGCGGAGGAAGCACGGAGCCAAAGCTATTGCTCGGTCTACAAATCACACCACTCTGTGCATCAACCACCGAACTTTGCGGCAGCGGAAGACTTAACGACTACTCCCGGTACACAAGCTCCTCGGCTGAAAAAGGGATTGCGGCAGCATCGCGCATAACCCTGGATTCCTGAAAGGCCACTCAAAGGAAGATATCCTTCCGAAGTGGGTGCAAAACAGAGCTTGTGGTGATAACGTACATAAGTGGGCTTTGCTTAGCTCTATAGTTCTGGACCCAAGTTCCACACCCCCCAGGCCAACATACTCTGGAAATCAAGCAGAGGCATGAGAACTACTCAGTAGATGCCCACTCGTGCCAGATTGAGCAACTGCAACCCTAATGCAGTGAACATGTGCCTCCTCTGCAATGTGGGGGAAGATGGCACTAACGACGTCTACCCACATTCCAGAGCGCAAAATGCCCGAAACAGTGTCTAACAAATCGCTGCTATCGCCATGACCACTCTACCGACGTTCTTTTGTCGATCAAGGATCAGAATCCATCACCTCTTCCGCATTCGGTCTATCACTCTTGAACCGACTATTGCACTATATCCACTCCTCCCCCCTCAATGGAGTCTGCCTCGCTATCGGCAAAATGCCTAACGTCTTGGAAGGTGGTTCCGGAAGCGGTCGCTAAGGCCCTTTGGGCAACGCCAACCAACAGAAGGCCAGATAATATCATCTGCGACCACAAACCTAACCCGTTAACTCCCTGCAATTGGGCCTGCCAATGACTGTTTCCGGGCATAAGCTGCCTCGCTAATCCCCTCCATGGCCCTGCGGCATACCATTCTGCGCCCAATAGGTGGCCGACAGAAGCGCCGGGCAGGGTCGTCACGTGATTTTAGCTGCTTCCATGGCCCCATGTTGGTTTTCTCCGCCATAGGTTACCTTTGCGTTCTCAATCGTGGTACCTAGGTCGATGGAGGACATCGAGTACACTAGAGCAACCTTGAAGGTTTGTTTGTGGCTCGGAGTGTGGTAAGTGGCCTTGCCGGGGAGTTGGACAGGCCCGAAAAGTTTGCCTTTCACGATGGCGGAGCATCGAAATGCTGCGTCGAGATGTGTACAATACTCCAACTTCATTCGTGTCCGTCCATGGACGGCAGTGCTTTTACCTTATCATCAAGGCAATAGTTCAACAGTCACTAATGACCACTGCACCCTTGTGTGACCTGGTGGTCCCTCCATTGCCCCGTTCAGCCCAATGCCGACATCATATATAAGACAGACTTGCTCTTAAAGTCACAGACTTTCGATCTCCAGCTTCTTTCCTCCAAAATGTCTATTCCCACTGAACAGTTTTCGCATCTTGCTTTTGTCGACGAGGATCCCGAGAACCAGTTGCCGGAAGAGATGCGGTTCGACGAGACAACCTTGGAGGAGAGGAAGATCCTAGTCAGGGATATCATTTCATCCTTTGACACCTCGGTCCTGCCGACGGAATTCAAACCTGACGTCTATGAGAGAATAACGGAAGAACAATCCAGAAGAGCAACCACTGAATGGACCATTCGAGATGACTTGCATGCGACTTTGATGCAGTGGGGGTCTCACGATGAGATTGCATGGACACTGCTCCGTAGAATTGCACCCAGAGATCGGGCTCTTGGGTTTGGACAAAAGTTGCGCAGGCGATTCAACGAGCAGTTCGACCGGTATGATGGCAAAGTGAACAATGCCCGCCGTATGACAGGGACAGAACTACGGACCGAGATCGCTGAGATACGCAGCCAACTTCAAAGACTTGCAGGTGCAGCTACCGCCGAGGCCAGCCGATATAACATTACGATGGTGTTGCTCGAGGCTTTGGAGAAGGTCTGCGATAGGGACGATGAGGTTGAACCAGCTCGACGCAGCGGACGTCTGTCGATGGAAGGTGCGGCTGGTGGCGCTGAAGCGGTACCAACTCTTTACCGCAGCCTAATCGAGGATGACTCGACAGATTTCATGCTCGATGCGCTTGACGTTATTCGGGACAAGTGGCCGAGGACGCTGACAACTCGTGAGGCAAAGGACCAACTGTCAAGGATTAATGCGGCTCTGCACGAGAAGGTTGCTCCACACGATTATCAAACCCGGCTGCAGGCCCTTCTTGCAGGGTAGGGAGCCTCTGGTATGCCACATTGCCTTCAACGCGAGAGGGGGACCTGTGCCTCGGATGAGCCCCAGCCCTGACTCGAGCGTCTAAATGGACAAGGCTCGGGTGGAAGGGGATGAGATTCTCAATTCCCGGGTCTCTCTCTTGTCTTTCCACATGCTAATTGTGGATGGCATTGGCATGCATTGGCTTTTCTTTCTCTTTCCCTCTTTCATTCAGCATTTGAGCAGCCTGCATATTGGCACGGGTGCGGTAATGCTGCTGATACGGTGGTGTTTGCTTCAGTTTTCTGTCCTTGCTCGACTCTGTGAGGCTGACAGTGCACTTGGAAAGCGGTCGATTCGACTATTGATGGGATAATTTTGCTAGGTAATGTAGCGATATAGGGAGGATAGTTACAGACACGACGTCTGATTGCATGTTTGCCACCTTCTCGGCGTATCTTCGCCCCGGACTGAGTCGTGCTTCGCTTCTTGCCTGACTGCGTCGCTGCCCACTCGGCTGATGATCCTACAAGGTCCTCCGTACATGCAGTGGGCATCCCACCCCCACAAAATTCCGAGCTTTCTATGCCTCGGCCGGAGCTTGGAGCTTGGAGCCTCCTGAGAACATCCATCGGATTTTCGCGGCGTCGAGACAATAAGTCCTGGGCGAGCTGGCGACCTCGCGGCAGCGGAAGGAGGCCCGCTGACTCGACAGAGTCGAAGACGACAATCAAAGCGATCAGATTCAGAAAAGGAACAAGGACGAGAGCGAGATGAAGGATCTGCCTCGATGATGCCCCGCAAGAGTTCCGCACAGACATGGCTTCAAAGTGGAAGATGGTCCAGACACTCCAAATACACACTGTTACCCCTCTTCATGGAAGACGCGTCCGCTCAATCCTTTATCTAGGGCCAGGACCGCAGTCGAAATCCCCCTCTCTTTCTTCCTGCGCGTGTTTACTGTGTAACCTCTCTTAAATCTTCTTCCAATTCACCTTAGCAACTCGTATTCTTGTGCATCTTCTCAAAATGGCGGCGGTTCAAGTTCCTTCTAGGCACAAGGCCTTGGTGTACGACAATCCTGGCAGTATTTCCACCAAGATCGAGGAGATCGAAACCCCCAAGCCTGGTGTTGGCGAGGTACTGGTGAATTTGACACATTCTGGAGGCGAGCCTATCCTTCTCATTGACGCATAGGGGAAGAATGACACTGACTCGGCCGTATAGTCTGCCACTCGGTAAGCACTTGGTATTGATGAATTGACAGATGAAAGACGACAGAGTTGACCCTGATGCCTTTCTTCTGCCAAACAGGACATGGGAGTTATGTGCAATGCGTGGGCATGGCTTCCGGCCCCAACACAAAAAGGTCAAGTGGGTGGCCACGAAGGAGTCGGCACTGTGGCTGCCCTGGGACCCGGCACTGAAACTTCTGGCCTGAAGACTGGCGACCGTGTGGGTATCAAATGGATTGCCTCTGCTTGCGGGAACTGTGTCCCTTGTCTCGTTGGCGCAGATGCCTCCTGTACCTCAGCAAAGATCTCGGGGTATGTTTGTTCATTTCACACCACAAGGGAAGATCCCGTTGTTAACTCACCGGCTTAGATATTATTTCCCAGGAACATTCCAGCAATATGCCATTGCACCAGCCCACTATGTCACTCCTATCCCCGACGGTCTTCCCAGCGATATGGCAGCACCAATGCTGTGCGGCGGCGTCACTGTCTACGTAGCTCTGAAGAAGCTCATAGACCAGGGGGTTCGTCCTGGCGACTGGGTAGTCATCCCTGGCGGTGGCGGCGGGCTCGGTCATCTGGCCCTGCAAATCGGAGCTCGGGGAATGGGATTCCGCATGATTGGCATTGACATGGGCGCAAAAGAAAAACTGGTCAAGGATTGCGGCGCAGAAGTGTTCCTGGATTTGTCCAAATACAGTCGGGACGACGAAGGAACCAAGAAATTGGTGGAAGATGTCAAGGCTGCTACACGGGGTGGTGCTGCGGGCGTGGTGGTCTGCACAGCTAGCAACGTCGCTTATGCCCAAGGGCTGAGCTTCCTCAAGTTCAGAGGCACGTTGGTCTGTGTGGGTGTGCCCGAGGGTGCTCCGGTGCCCATTGCCACAGCGAACCCAGCCGCGCTTTTGGTTTCGGAGTTGAAGATTGTGGGCAGCGCAGTAGGCAACAGGAAGGAGGCAATTGAGACCTTGGAGCTGGCGGCTAGGTGAGTCCATATGCTTATTCCCCGTCCCATACAAGCCATGTGTGCTGACAGCCAGGATAGGGGTATTGTCAAAACGCATTTCGAACTTCAGCCGATGAGCAAGTTGACCGAGACGTTTGAGAGGATGGACAAGGGTGAGCTACAGGGCAGAGTCGTTCTCGACCTGAGTGGGTGATTCAACATGAAAGATTGGAGACATGAAAATAGCAATCTGTCGTATGGGAACAAATACAACTTCCCACAGGCTTTATAGGTCCTTTTTAAGAGTGTTTAGTGCTCGTGTTCTTCTCGCTGCTTCTGCACGGTGAGACTGTCTTGCGCAAGGCTGGGCTTTTAGCCCACCAGCCTCGCCCGCCATCTGCCCCAAGAATCTACCACTGCGCCTCCCAGCCTGCGAAGATATGTCCGCCTAGGCGAACAATGTTCACGGCAAGCTCGATTCCCACGTACCCCCGGAGACCCTAAACACAGTGGCATGACCAGCGGCTGTGAGCCTCTTGATGGCCGTGATATGCCATTGTGATTTGAAATTGAGGCAATGAATCCATACAATCAACAGCCGTACGGGTTTTCGCAGCAGACACCAGGCCCGCCACAGCCTCCGTGGCAAGCACCTCCTCGAAGACAAGGATGGGGAGACCCGAGACTTCACGGGCAGCAGCAACAACAACAGCAGCAAGCACAGTCACCGGGGTCTCCTTATCATACTGCCATTCCCTCCTCGCATGCGTTTGGACCTCCCCTCCCGCCTCCGCCGACTCAATACCCCTCGCAGCAGTTTGATACACATCAGTGGGGAGTCAGATATAACCAGGGACTGGGTGCTCAAAATCAGAATCAAAATCAACATCAGGAAGCCAAACCTGCGTTACCGCCGCGTCCTTCCTCCGCCGCAGGTAGAATAAGCCCGCAGCCTCATCAGCCAGGCTATTCGCAGCAGCCAGCACCAGTGCCAGCACCATCACAACAGCAATATCCGACATCGTGGAACGACCCCTATCACACAAGTCCGACTGTGCCACCACCACCTCCTCCTCCCCGACCAGTTGAGTATCAGGCCCAGATACAGGCGGCCCATCACAATCGAGCCGGTACTCCGCATCAAGAATACTCTCTTCAACCTCCTTCACATCACTACGATCCTCCTCAACCACAGCAGAACGCATGGGCCACACAAAATTCACTGCCAACAGGACCATCGTATCACCCAACACCACATCCGCCGCCGCAACAGGTTTCAGGCGCAGTGGACGGTCCATTGGTGTCGCCGATAGATTCCACTAGTAGCTACTGGGGCAGTGGTCATCAAGCCCATTCAAGTACAAGCCAGGGCCCGAACAACTATGATCCTTCTTCTGCTGCTCAAAATCCAGATGTCAAGCCTGCACGCTCTCAGGCGCTGGGTTTCGGCGGACCCTCTGATTGGGAACATTACGATCCTAATGCGCCTCCCCCTGAACAAACACCTACGAGTCCTCCTCCGAATACTCTGTATCAAGCTCACGGCCCTATCTCGCCTCCTCAGACACGCGCAACCCTACCTGCTACTTACCAGATTCCAAAGCCGGAGCCTGCACTCCCGACCCATGCCGTTGAGATTGGCGTTGCTAGCACAGTGTCACCCCGAAAGGGTTCCCGCACTCAACCGCCTCCGACAGTGGACAATGTTCCATCTGCGCCATCACAGCCTGCTGACGACAGGCCCTCATCTGCTGGCCAATATAGCGGTGACATTTCCGCCCGGTCTGACAGTAGTCTCAATGGAACAGGGAATATTGACAGCGTCATTCAGGCTTGGAATGCTCCCTTAAAATTACACTCTGCTCAAGATTCAACACCGAGACCCGAATCTCGTGCATCTGCTCCAGCGATTGCATCGCCAGACCCAGGCCCGTCTCCAGTCAATGTGAAAACAGTTGACCCCTATGACGATCTCGAACCGGAATTCAAAGCATCACTCAAGAGGTACGCGGCGATGCTACGGAAGGAGGCAGAAGCCGAGGCTGATGATGAGAAATTCGAGATCTTCCAGAGCTTTGTCAACAAGGAGCTGAGGCTGAGGAGTCTTCTTTACGGGGTCGAACTCAAGAAGGATGCAGTCAAGGAAGTTAATAAGGCGGCTAGTCTAGCCGACATTCAGGCTATTTTGCCCAACTCCACCATCTCCTCTGGCAGGACGAGTAAAGACCTTGATCGAGTGAACGAATTAGTTGATATGTCTTCTGGATCGGCATCAGTACCGGCACCACCGCCAGCTCAACAATCACAAACCCAACCATCGATTAATGCAGTAGTAACAACCGACCAAGCGAATGTCGTGCAGAAAGAACAACGGAAGCTCGACATTTCCAAGCACAAAGAAGCTGCACCTCCTCCTGCTGCACAGCCCGTAGCCGAACCAGTCGTCGAAGACCGGCCGAAGCCGAAGGATGCCCTTCATGTCATGGTCTCAGTGCCAGGCCAAGAAGAAGATTATAGTCCCGGTGGTCGGCCGTTAATGAAAAAAGTTGCGGCCGATGGTGAGGATGAAGACTATAGTCCCGGTGGTCGTCCAATCACTGCCAAATCCGTGGCAACTTCGTCAACGAAAGCTTCGTCTATTAGCACAATCATTCAACAGCAGCTTCGCCAACAATCAGAGGATATTCTGTCCCCCAGCATTGATGCGCCAATGGTCATCGGAGACTATGCAACGCCTGAACCAGCTTCACCAGGCATGAACGCCCCAATAGTTGTGCTACCCGAGGCTCCGAAGGCTCAAGCGTCACCGGGACGACTGTCTCAAGATAACAGCAGCAAGCCGATCATTCCTATCAAGTTTGAACCTCCTCGCCCTGCATACACGCCATTTCGCTACAGTACAGGTGTCCAGGAAGAGAAGACAAAGACCCTAAAACCGGCAGACCAAGCATACTCATCGTTGCGAAACTCGGTAGCCGATTCGGGTCGTTTAATGGCCCAGGATGCGGCATTACTGGCACCCGTCAGACCATCTTCCACCAGCGGCAAAAAGGAACATGAAGAGGCATTCATCGGCTTGATTAGAAAGCAGAGCATGGCTGTGAGACAGAAAAATCTTGGACCAGGCCTGGGACTGCCGCCTCCAGCTATCAGGCCTGGCAGCGAACCCAATACCACTACCACCTCTACCCAACCTAAGCCGCCCATGGTCATGCGTATAGGAACTCCAGCCACAGCAACGATCAAGCGCCAACAGGCGCCGGCGGATGCCCTCAAAGAGGCCGCGGCTGCCCTGCGATCCCTTTTACCGCCCGCGACAGACATATTTTCCCCCATAGAGGCCAATCCTGAACATCCAAAACTCCAACTCATCAATTCCAAAATCGACTCCATCCCTGACTCTTTCTCATTCATTCACGACACTGTGGTGGAGTGGGATCGTACCAACCGACTTGTCCGCAAAGAACAAGAAGCTGAACGGCAGGCCCGCCAAGAAGAATCGGAAGGACACATTGACGCCCTCTTCAATGACAACGAGATTGGATATGCAGATATCGGGGACTTAGAGGCGGAATTCAAACTCAAGGAAGCAGAGAGGAGGTACGACGAGGATCAAGCAGAGCTGGAAAGCTTTACGAGCCAGGTTTTTGTGGTTGTTACGGAGAGGCTGCAGAAAGAGATTACAGAGCTGATGACCGCGTATACCATGGCGATTGACTTGCTCGATATCGAGAGTTTGGCGGTGTCCCGCTGCTTCAAAGCCAATGATAGGAGGGCTGCGGTGAGGATGTCCGAAGTCATGTCGTACGTCCTCAACTTGTTTAACAAGATCGAGATACGGTACACCAAAGTGGCTGAAGCGCATGTGGAACGCGAAAGGCGCCGCAAACACCTCGAACTCACCGTACTATATACTAACGGCGATGTACAAGGGGTGAAGAAATTGGAGAAGGAGTTTGCAGTGGCAGAGAAGATGGCCGTTCTGCACGAAGCAAGGGGCAGAGATAACAGGGCCAACAAGCTGATGGATTCATTCGATCGTGTCACTGTCCGCGGGTTGGGCGATAACCAGGTCTTTACGGACGAGATCTTTGGCAGACTTCAGGATGTTAAACAGGCAATCGACTCTGGAGCAATCCAGAATGAGAAAGAGAAGTTATACGAACAAGACGGCGCAAGGGATATACTCTCACTCGCTCAAAACGCATTGGACACCGTCATGGCCGATTCTCGGCGGTTACTCGCTCTCTCGAACGAGGCGGACGTGTTGCTCAACGATGCGGACTACAATGTGTCGGTGGCGGAGGCACAGGTAGCCGATGCAGACAAACCGACGTATGCGAACCTGGAAAAGGAGAAGGCTAAAGAGGACGCAAAGTTGGTCGAAGAGATGAATGTGCGGATCAGCAGTGTCACCAAAGGGCCGCAGGAGGGGATTGCCATGATCCGAGAGTTGATTGATCGGATTGGGGATGATCCGGCACACCAGGAACGAATTAAGAAGGCTTTGGAGGCGGCGAAGATAAGAAATGCGAATGGAGTGAGTGAAGGTCGATGATGTTGGGCGTGGAGGAGCAACTGGAGAGGGTTGTTTTGATATCCTGTGGTTGTGTATTTTCGCTCGTGGGTGGAGATGTTGCATGTATCAAGTCACGATTCTTAGGTTGTATTTGGTTGTATTGTCTATTTTGCAGACAACAGAAGTCCTCTTATAGCCTCTTGCAGGAGTAGTCTGGAGGATCAGAGGGTGGCACTGCGTGTGGCTTTAGCCTTGTCAGATGTTGGTTTTTGATAAGACGCTCAGCTGGCACGAATCTCGTTTTGCCAACGCAGACATCGTTGCTGCCTGGTGCGACGTAGAGAGTCGTTGTCCAATAAAGCAGTTCTTTACCAAGATATCGTCTGGTTGGGATATCTTACCATTATCTTAGATGAATATCTGAGGACACATCCCACACGAGGGAAGATGAACTGGCAGGAAAACAGTGTCAGTCATGGCTGGACACGCAACGCATGTGCATTATTGACAACCCAGCACCCACGATCCGGGCAATTGACTGCTTCCTGCTTCCTGTCCTGCGTCCTCATTCCATGTCACCCGAGGACCCTGAACTTTGACTTCTAGCCTCCTCTTCTTCCTCTTTCTATCATCTCTACCGAATGACACTTGGCCCTTGTCCTGGCTACAGTCTTCAGGATAAGACTCGCAAGTTTCGATTATGCGCACTCTCTCGGTGAACCTCGACTTCGATTCGATACACGGAGATCGCTTATCTTGCGGAAAAGACTGCACACAGCATGAAAATCTCAAGTTGGGATCAAAAAGATACAGACATGTTGGGCGGGAACCAGGAAGAGAACTCCGGGTATATTCGACCAAATGAATGTTCTATACTTCTCAATCACTAGAAATATGTATCGGTTTCGACATTTCTTCAAGATGAACATAGTACACACAACTCCGCAGGCAGGTCCTTAAAGAAGGGGCTCTCACCTATTGCGACAACGACAACAGCGACAACAACTAAAACGAGGCCTTATCGAAAAATACCTTGTCACACCAACTCATTCCCATTCAGCACAGTGTTGGAAACGAAATCCGCGTCCCGTTTGTTGTTGCTTGGAATCCTTCTACAACACTTTTGATGCTCCATCGTCCATTTACAGCCTGGGTTTCTTGCGATATTTCACAATCAACTCATCGCTGAACAAGTGGCTTTCACTGTCCAAGATACCGGCAGTGACCATTTCGTCATCAACAAGCTCATGCAGCATCGAGTCCAGAAAGCTCCTCTGTTCCTTAATGAATGCCTTGGTGGCCTTGGTGTCGAAGCGACGAGCTCGCTTGCCCTCCCTGATCTCCTTCAAGTGTGCTCGAACGCGCTCCTCAAGCATCTCAAACCGGTATTCAGCATACTGCGAGTACAGCTCCCTGAGATCTGAGATGGGACGCACGGTGGTCAGCACAGTGTCGTCCTTGATGAATGCCGACTTGGGCCGGAATGAGGTCACCATCGAGATGCGTTCCGTGGTTCCCAGAGCACGCAGAGCTTGGTGCTCGATGTATCGACCTTGAAGGACGATGGCATTACCCTGCAATATGGTCAGTCGACGAGAATATAGCGTGGTGTCTCATTTGGCGGCTTACCATCGCAGGACCACGGACTTTCATGATCTGTCCAGTGCCCGTTCTCAATGCTGTCTCACCACCAATCATGTTGGCGCAGTCACTGAGCATGGTAACACAAACAAAAGGATAGCTGTCGGTGTGCCAGTCGACTATGGGCTGATCGTCTTCATAGGGACACCCAGAAACGCCTTCGTCTGCTTCTCGATGAGACTTCTCTTCTAACGCCTGCTTGACTGCTTCGATTTGTTCCTGGGTGTTGCCCGAGATGTTAATATGAGCAATTTCAAGGTCCATGGCAGGGACAAGCTCGACACCAGCGATCTTGGACACAATTGAGAGGACCGCAGGGCTTCGCCAGGCATCGTACACGAATGGTGCATATCTGTTCTCATCAGTCTGCCGTTGTCGGACAGCGCCAAAGATTGAACTCACTCGGGAGCAAATCCTCGGAGCTGGCAGTGGGCAAGTTCGCTGGAGTACTTGCAGTTGTCCCAAACTGGCTTGCTGAGAACCTCAGCTCTCATCTGCTGAATAGCCTCTTCAGTGAAAAGGGGGAAAGGCTCTGATACGGCATTGGGTGACACTCCCTTCTCAGCAAACCCAATCTCCTTCATGGTCCAGATCTTGCTGGGCGGCTGGTAATTGAGATGCTTCTCAGGATCGAAGGTAGGTCCTTTGAGGGCTTTGGGAGCCATGTTGCTGTGTGAACTTGATCTTTTCCTCTTAACGGTACCAAAAGCGGATGATTGAGGAGTAAGTACGTCTGCTGAAGCCATCGCACTTGAGGTTGACTATATACCCTGGGAAAGATGGACAACGAAGTAGGTAAGTGCAGTGAAGACGGTACAAGGCTAACAGATCAAGCAAGGTAATCAGAAGTTTATCGTTTCGTGAAGAGAAGACAAAGGTTGCAAAGCAATTGAGGGCAATGGGGCGTGTATTCACGCAAACAAAGGAACAACCTTATATCAAAGCCCTTTTAGTCACTCTTCAGCAAACGTCAACCATCCTAGGTAAGGTGTATGTGGCTCCAAGCAGCTTCGAAATGACCAGGCCAACGTCAGATACTCCCGTGAATCCGGATGAGGGTTGAATGGGGGAAATCCTTCGCACAGGCGATTGCTAGCTCATAGCATCGATCCTGCAAGCAAGTACAGAATACTCCACTAGATAAGAGGATTGACGGAGGGACACTGTTCTGGATCGAGGGAAGCAAGACATCCAACTGCAGGGCTACAACTGTCCGCAGTGTCACAATTCGCTCAGCACTTTGGGCTTCTTATCAGCCGGCAAGCTGTCCTTATCATTTACCTACCTATCGGGAAGGCCTTGACCTGAAATTGGTCAACATGTGTGGACCGTGGATAGCTCCCACCAGCCAGGTTATTGAAGGCGACTTTGGCGAAAGCTGGGGGATGTCCGCGAAACAGCCTGTGGAGACTGTCAGAACGCAATCACCGCAGACGACACCTTTTTTCTCTCTCGTGAATGGAAATTGTTGCTGTGTTTGGATTAAAATCACTGCCTGTTGCCCCATCCATTTTCTCCCGCAACAGCAGCGATGGGCCTGGATCCTATCAACTTTGACATGTGCGGATATGCACCTGTTGATTTTTCTCTCTGGCCACACCGATTCCACCCCGGATGGTCCTCCATCCAACGGTCTCGAAACGGTGTGAGCAAAAAAGCATACGACATGTTGACATGACCTTGGCTACGTGTATCGTGGAGCACGAAGGTGAAGAAGATGGCGGATAGCTGTCAATTTATGGGACCATAGCCGTCAACATGTCTGGTGAGGAAACCCAGTTTTATGTCGGTGTGACCGGTGAATATGCCTAACATGACTCCCATTATTCATGCCGCAGCCAACAGGACACGCATAAGGGGCCCGACAATGCATCATCGCTTATTGAAGTTTGTGGTTGTGGACAAACCCCGCCGTAAGGTGGTGGATGGATCTATTGACCAAAAATGGCAACGGGCCGGGCTGTCTCAGGAGCTGCAAGAGCTGTGCTGTCCCTGGAGACTGCTTGGGACCTATTTGGCCACTCATAAGATTCGACCCCCGCGAGCTATCTGTGACCTTTGAATCAACCTTGCTGGTCATGTTGATGTTGTAGATTAGAGAGTCCGGCCTTTCTGAGGAATAGGGGGTCCATCGATGTTGATTGCGCATCGATATCCTTCGGCCGAGGGATCGACGCAAATGTCCTTTGTGCTTTGTGCTCAATATTTGGTGATGACGTTAGGCAAGAGTAGATGTCAAGGGCTCATGTAGAACGGTCAAGGTGTGTTGCTTCCCAATCCGGTACTATTCGACAGGAAACTATTAGTATGGAACAGTCAAAATTGGCGATTCGCAGTGAGGTTGCTTGCTGATTGGGTGATGGTTAAGCAGAGAAGGTTGTTCTCAACCTGAGAAGAGTTCATCTCTGGTCTCCTCGAGCTAAATATTAGCTGAGCCGTGCGGCAGCGAGACATGGAGCAGCATAGAGTCTCAGGCTCAGGCTCATTGAGGCTGGCGGGACATGTGAGGGCACGAGGGCGAGGAGCGGTAGAGACAGACTCAACGGAGCACCATTTTCATACATTCTGTGCGAGGCACTGTCGAGCTGTGTAAGGGGGTCCCCTAGGCCCCCCTATGTAGCACTTCACTCCCTAGCCAGGAGGGCTGGTGGGCTTATCGATAACGCACGCCTGCCGCAGCCCGGCAAGAGCTTCCCTGTTAAGCGAAACAAGGTTAGCGCCGCCTGTGTCCTCAAGCTCAGGCTCGCAGCCATCAGTCATGATTGCCGCTCTGCATCCACCACCTGCAGCTCCTGCAGTACCACCAACCCATTAACCTAAGCAATATTTTCTCAGAGACCACCGACATGGCTGCTTCTGCGCAATCAGATCAGGCTGTGGCTTCAGATTCACAAGCTGGTGCCTGGGAAAAATCAAAAGCGACTTTTCAATCGTACGAGCATTCTGGTTTATTCACAACCGAGACATGGAAAGACTAACGCGTGGGTTCGTTTGTTGTGGCGGGCAGGAAACGAAGCTCCGAGTACTACGATCCCTGCCAGGAGTTTGCGAACAGAAGCATCAAATGCATGCACAGGAACAAAGGGGACCGGGAGATGTGTCAGGATTACTTCAAGTGTGTATTCCCTTTCCAAGAGAGCAGACGCCGCCTGGGCAGAGACCAGAATTGGCCAGTCTACATCAATTGCGCATCGTGGCTCAGAATCAGGCTGACATCAGGGCTGCACGCACAGGGCTTACCGCGACTGCAAGAAAGAATGGGTATGACAACTCCGATCCAACGGTTCCACGAAAAAAAGCTGACGAAAAGGGCCAGACTGCAAGGCGGAGAGCTGAGACGGGTTCGTGGTTTGGGTGAGGACCTGGACCATTGCTTGGTATCTTTGGGTGCTCTCGGGTGGAATGCAAAGAATGTACAAAAGCAGAATTGATACCCTCTGTCAAAGCATAGCGTCGGAATACATAACGGACAAACACAAAACAGGAATTTTAACAGGCTTGACTAGATACGAGCGCTGGACCAACGACTGAAGGCATTGTAAGAGCAGCTAAGAATGTTGAGACACCTGCCTGCCCACCCACTCAAACACGCTGGATTAGAGACTGCGAAAAAGCAAGCCTGATTGTGCGTTGGCTAATAGTACTCCGTACTCGGTACATGAAGCTCAGTTTTCCATTCATGGGGCCGCAATAATATCAAATTTCAGCCTTGTCCGCACTTTTCCCCGCATCATCCTTTCACTCTCATAATTTCTTCTCGAGGCATGGCCCTTAACCCGTGAACATGTCCGATCCAAGTGTCAGCGAGCGAAGAATACGTCCGATTCAAGACGCCATTGCGAGCGCAAACTGGAAGCAGGCGCTACAACTTTGCGACAAATGGTTCAAGAAGGGCGAACGATCTGACAGGTTTCTGGTGAGAGCCCTTGGTCTCACCCACTGCGTTGGCACCTCTCTAACTGTGGCAGGCCTTGAAAGCCTTCGTCCTTGTCAACCAACAAGACAAAGCCCAACACGACCGAGGCCGGGAAGAGGTCTTCGACCTGTGCAAGCGCACGCCTCCCATTACAGAACCGGAAGCTATCTACCAACTTCAACATGCGCTTAAAAGTCTGTCGCTACACGAAGAAGAGAGCCCCAAACTCTGGGAAAGAGCCCTCAGTGCCAACAAGGATGATAAGGATTTGTACATGAGATGGCTCAACCAAGCAGTGGCAGATAACAACTGGAGGAGTGCTCAAAAGGTGTGAAAATCAACATGGCCATCAACCCATAAAACAGCAAAGAAGGGCTGGCTGACATGGGGCCATCCGACAGGCCACCATGGGTTTGCGGAATTCCTTCTCCAAGGAAAGAGACTACGACTTCTGGAATATCCTCATGTGCTATCTGATACACATGCAACAAGACCTTCCTGACAAGGACCGCACCTTGTTTGGGACGCTCGCATACCGCATGATATCAAAACTCGCCGAAGCAGTACCTCAGAACGAGGTGCGTTGGGATTAGGTTTTGGTGGAGGCTTTTGAAGACTAACATGTCAGTAGGAGCAAACCTCGTCTTCCCGAAAGGCGATCTCGGTCCCGGAGGAGATTGCGTTACTGGTACAGGTTCTTAATTCCACAGGCCATGTTCAGGAGTCTGTCAAGCTTTTGCAGGGACCATCCTTGAACATGGAATCTCGGATCGGCAAGCAGGACCCTCAGTTGATACTAACTTTGCTGCTCGAATCCCTAGAAGCTTCGGAACAATGGGACGAGGCTCTCAACGTATGTCAGAATCTGTTGTCGAAATCTGAACACCAGTCGGATGACCGGATATGGAACCTTTGGGCGACATCACAATCCAAATCATCGTGCGACGAGTAAGCCAGCCAGAGGACAACACATGAATGAGGAGTGCTGACATTGATGCAGGCCAGGGACAAAATCCAAAGAGCTCCTTGATTCTGTTTGCGCTATCAGGCCGATTGTCCGAGCGGCTTACCTCGCAAAGCTGAATCTTCAGCGAACTCGGAACGACGAAGCAGAGCTAGACGCTCTACTTGAAACTTGCAAAGAGTATTTTGAAGCGTTTTCATCCAAAGGATTTTGTTTCGACGATTTGAAGGGACCTCTTCGACGGCTTGACCATCCTCATTTCGACCGATTCAAGCAAACAGTTTCTGACCACGAAGGGAATCTAGCACAGCTGTTCAACCTCAAGCTTTCGTACAGCTCACTTCCACCCGACGCTTCCCAATCGGACCTTCTCGCTTTCGCACGCAGGACGCTACAAAGATACCAGACTTCTCTGTCCGAAAGCCCTGCATGCCCTGAGGCTGCTCTTCTCGCAGTTCTGGCAATCCTCCGACTCGTTAGCAACGAAAGCTCACCGTCAGTCGCCATCTTCGCCGCAATTCTTCTTCAAATCACCCGCTCAAAGTTTGAGGATTATTATATTCTGACGATTCTACTTGTTCAGCTCCAATCTCATCTCGGACTGCTCTCTTTGGGTATGGAGAACTTTGTGAAACTCAGTGTTAAAAATCTCCAATGGGAAACGGTTGGTCATTTGATCCTCACAAGAATATCATCGTTGCACCCAGCCCCCACTGTGGTATTGCAGCAGGATTTTGAACCACTTTTGGCCCTCGAAACAGGATTGACAGTTCTCGAGAATGCGGACAGTGCCTTGGTGCGAGGAATCCGCGAAGGGTTGAGATTCAACAGCTACTCAAACATCTATAACAGCGTCAAGATGCGCTCAGACATCGAGGGCAGCATGAATAAACACATCTATGCCATCGAGGAACGAAAAATCCGACGCTGGCGAGAGGAGCCTGACGACCACACGATCTTGCCACTAACCAATTCTTCAAAGGCACTTGTGGACAAGCGGGATCTTGGGTATATGCCCAGTTATCGCGAAGATGATACTCAGTTACTGGCGAAGTTTCGATGTGGACCTCTCCCGAAAGAAAGATGGATTAACGCCATGGCGCTTTTTGACAGCGTGGCTACCTATTTGAAAGTAGAACTGGCGTCGCAAACTTCATTGGCAGCCACGGCGTACGACAATATGAAGCGGGCGCAACAACGCCTATCACGGTCTATTGCTGAACAGGACACATTGGCGGAAATGACAAAAATCGAACAAACCAACCTGGAATGCCACAGGATTCTCGCCCAAGTGATAGTTCTGTTCAAAGAAGGAAGTGTCAGCACCACTCCTGCATCTCAACAAGACAAAACCAAAACTCTTCCAGATCTCCTCTCGGATCTCAAAAGCTGGCTTTCATCCACCCTCACGGACCACAGGGACAATCCTGCCGGATCAAGCATCGCAGGGATCCGCGTGCCAACATGGGAAGATCTACACAGAAGCTTCACACAACTCGAGACGCTGCAGGCCATCGCCAACCTCATTTCCCTCGTATCTAAGAAACCACAAAAGCAGGCCAAATCCTCCAAGGCCGTTTCCGAACCGGTCTCCAAGGAGATGATATCTGAAATACAGTCGGCTGTGGTCGAACTCGAGGCCGAGATCCACAGAGAGGCCCGTGAATTGAAATCGGGCATCAACGAGCCCGGCGTGTTGGGGAAGCTTGTAGATCTGGGCATGGTTCGACGTGGCAGCGGGGACGATGGGAGTGGTGCCGAAGTAGACGGTTTGTTGCCTGGTGATGAGAAATGGGAGAGTTTGATGGAAAGTCTCAGCGACGAAGCCATGATGGAGACGATATGTGGGGGAATCAAAGATAGCTGGGATGAGGCTCTCGATGGGGTTTTGGGTGGGAAGGGGAAGATTAGAATTGGGAAGTAAGGAGGACAACGACGACTAGAAGAGAAAGAGCTGAACAGACAGGTCACGCACTATGAGGTACAGAAACAGACGCTATAAAGTAACTACTACTCTGGAGTCTGCAAGGCGGACCAGCAGTGCCGCCGACCAACGTGATCACGTAGACGAGCAAGACAGAGCCACGGGAGTTTATGCCTGTCATCATCGCCACTCTTATGCCGAACCAGAATTCGGTGAAGATGAACAAACACCCAGAACAGGCCAGCACGAGAAGTTCCTTCTTCGTAGGTCTTGGACGTTGCCAGTGCCTTGAGTTGTATGGTGAGGTGGCTATCCCCTTGCTCGCTGTCTAACGCCATGCTGGTGGTCCAGCGAAATGTGTTGCGGAGATATCTCAACCCTACCAAATAGTATGAAAGACAACGTTGGGACGAGTACGATTTGCAGATGCAAAAGCCCGCTGGCGAGCAGCGAGAATCACGACGCAACCAAAATGAAAGCTTAAAAATGCCTGTCTTATTAAACAGAGGTATCCTCTCGGCGGTGTTCCCCATATCAACACGAAGTCTGTTTTCAATCCACAATATAAACAAAATTCACGCTCACTTCTAGATTCATCAATCGAGCATGCATGAGTCTATAACACCTCTTTCCAGACGCCCAGTCTATCGTCGATAATTCATGCCTGAACGCCGCACCATGCCGTGTCATGTTCAGAAGTCGCATATCATTTTCCTTTTCGTTCTCAGTCCTCTGTGTCGGAATTCACAGGAGGAGGCGTGCCAGCGGGCGAATTGAGCCATTCGATACTTGATCCCAGATTGTTAGCATATATCAAATGCCTGGTTGGGAGAGTCAAACTTACTGTCTCAATCTTCTTCTCACTTCTCTTTCCTTCAACTGGGCTCTTGTCAGTTTCTTTTTTTTCTTCGCCTTGAATTTCATCTCGCTGTTATCCTCTACTCCCGAGTTGACCGCGGAAGCAGTTGCACTAGACACAGCGGAGCTGACATTGCTGGAACCTGGCCGTGAGTCTTCAAACCGGTTCAGGTCAATGGCAAGGTGGCCTTTGTGTGTCACTCTTCCATCAGCCACATGCCATTGTTCCGGACACAAGGCCCCAACAAATTCCTCGTTATGACTGATCATGACAACGCCGCCCTTGTAATCACGGATAGCAACGGCTAGGCCTCCCAGTGAGTCTCGGTCCAAGAAGTTGGTCGGCTCGTCCAGAACTAGCAAGTGAGGGTTGTTCCACATGGCACCTGCCAACACGACCTTGACCTTTTGACCACCACTCAATCCCGAGATTTCATTGTGGTTGGCGATCTCGGGATCTAATCCAACGTCCTCAAAATGCTTCGCAATCACCTTGGGCTCTAGGATACGATAACCTAGACCTTCGCGAGACGCTTCATGATCGTCAAACTCTTGAACTAGCTTCTGAAAGCCCCAGTCCAATAACGTCTCTCTCGAGATTTGCGTGTTGAATTTTGGAAGCATACCCCGCCATTTCACCTCGTATTGGAATGTCTTCTTGTACTTTTGTCGGCCGATCAAATTGTCAATCTGTCTGCCACCCTTTCCATCTCCGAGGTCGATCCATTTGTCTATCTGCGCCTTATCCTCGTCAGTAAGTTGCCGCGTGGCTTTCATCAACACTTCTCGATCGTCCCCATTGGCATATCTCCACTGTAAGTACTGATTCGGCGTTTTCTCCAAGTGCATCTCGACGTGTTCCAAAGCATGTTGCTTGATGTAGCCAATTCGCAGATTAGGATGCTTTTCCACCTTCCCCGACTGAGGAATGGTTTCGCCCGTCAACAGTTTGATCAAAGTAGATTTGCCGGCGCCGTTGGCCCCGATTATTGCCACTCGGGATGACAAACTGAGCTGGCACGAGACGTCGGTCAAACTGGGCTTCGATGCGCCGGGATATGTATAGCTAACATTGGTCATTCGGATGATCGATCGCGTGTTGGACTTGACACCGGAGAGGATGCCCGGAGGAGGGAATTTGAATTGTACTTGTGTAGCCGATAATGTGTAATAACTCTTGCCTTCGGGCTTGACTTTGACAAAAGCAGCTAGATTGCCAGGATAATGAACCAACTTCTTGTTCTCGTAATGGTAAATGTCCGTGCACACTGCGTCGAGGAAGCCAGAGTCGTGAGAGACGATCAATGAGGTGATTTCCGTATGCTTCTGGAGATACTCCTCGAGCCACTTGACGTTTGCCACATCGAGATGGTTGGTCGGTTCGTCGAGCAGGAGAACATCGGCTCGCATCAGCATAGCCCTTGCCAAAGCCAGCTTCATCTTCCACCCTCCAGACAAAGAGCCCACCTTGTGGGACTGTCTGCCTTCCGGACCGCCTGTAAACCCAACTTCGCTAAGAACCTCTGAGATTCGCTGCTGCCCTTCTTTGGCAATTTCGGGATCCTTCGACACATACTCAAGGATGCTGATATCGGCGTCTTCGCCCTGATTGTGCTCAACAAAACAGGTCTTCAGGACTTCCTTCGGCGGAAAGCCTTCCAGCTTGCCTTCTGAAATGCTTCGCATCAATGTGGACTTTCCGGCTCCGTTGCGGCCGCACAAACCATATCGGTGCCCTTTCAGAAGTCGTAGATTGGTGTGAGATAATAATAGCATGCCTCCATAGGCCAGGGAGAAGTCTGCATTCACAATTTCCACCTCGTTTGGATCCTCCACGATGGGAGTGCCAAATTTCCTGTGATCCTCTTCGACAAAGTACCTCTGCACAGCCTCGGCAACGGCTGTGCAATGCTCCTCTGGCATCATGTATTTGAGATATGGACCAACTCGAGAAGGGATGCGCGAGAACGCTCGGGCATTGACATCCTCTCTCACCATCTCCGAGATATAAATCTGTCCTCGTTTCCAGACTGCCATATCCTCCTTCTGTAGACCACCCCGTGCTCGGATACCGCTGTCGAGGACCTTGAGAACATCATCGGAAGTGGTTCTGGCAATCTGGCCGTTTGTCACACCATCTCTATCATCACCCATGGCCTTCTTCATGACATTCACGGCTCTGGTGGCCAGTTCCCTCACTTCAGGAAGTGATGCATTGTCTTTAACTCGCTGCACACCCGGCTGCAACTTAGGCAGGAAAGTTCTGGCCTCCACCGGGTCATGCACGAGCTTGGTCAGATTCTCCACGACGACCACTGTTTGGCGAAGAACTTCTTGAGACGTAGCTGGAGTGTTGAGAGATCGCTCCAGCAATGGGGTGAGAAGGGCAAGGACGGGGGAAGTGACAATGGCGACGAAGGTGGTTTGAGAAAGAGCGTGAATGGCTTTCTGAAGAGTTTGGGAGGACGGGTTCTTCATGGTATCGATGAGCAAGGGTATCCGAGGGGCAACATCGTCGTTCTGCAGTAGGCTGGTGAGCGAAGTCATGGTCTTTGTAGCGGCTTTAGCGACTTCGGCCTTCAGGTCATGCATTCCACCCTCAACAATCGGGATTAGCTCCTTGAGCGTCCTACCCATGGACTCCCGCAAAACGTCTTTGGCTTGTTCCTCTTCTTTCGTGCCTGTCCCCACCTGGGCTTTATCGGCCATCTTTCCCATGAGTTTATATGCCCCCACAGTTCCTTGCCATTTTCCCGTTGGCTTCGAGAGATAAGACTGCAAAGCTGGGAGGAGACCTATAACCATTGCCTCCGGAGCAAGGTTCTTGAATAGTTCGTCGACTGCATACTGCGCCGACTCACGGACAGAAGAGCCTTTATCGGCTAACCCATCAAGGACGAGATTGAAGAGGCCGCCGTCCTGGACCAGGAAGATCACTTCGCTGAGCGGCTGTTCGCGGGGAAAGCGCTCAAACAAGGCCCCGAGGATGAACATAGCACTTTCCCGTTTGGCGCCATTCTTCTTATCTGTCGCAGCCTTCTTAATCTCCGGTACAAGATTATAGGAAAGAAGGCCTCGAATCCCCACAGACTGAACAAGGAGGTTCGTGAGCGCGTAGGAGGCGTCGAGGGAAGTCTGGGCGGAGTTAGTGTCGACGATGGTTTTCAAAATGCTGCTGACTTCATCGGGCGCTGGAGCGATACCGGAAAAGTTCGACTTCGAAGGGACGACGGTGGTGGCCATGGCGGGCGGCGAAGGAGGGCTTTCGAGGTGTGGCATTACTTTGCGCTCACAATACCGTGGAAGGCGGAATTCCCAGGTCTAACGAAAGCGAACAGATAAAACAAGACAAGCGGCCTCGACTCTGAAAAAGTAAAGAAAAGGAGAGGTAAAAAGCACGGTGGTGTCCCTATCTATGCCACCGCAGCCCGAGAATGAGTGGAGAGTGAATCAAGGGGGACGACACAAAACAACAAAAAAAGATTATATCGCTGAACGGAGGAGGGGTTTGTTGGCGGAGAACGGCAGCCTATGAGAGAAATCTGAATCAGCCTGCGCCCGCCAGCCTCTGACTTCACTGGCTGTTCTGGAGGCAATTTTTCCTCAGCCTCGTCGAATTTTTTTCGGATCCTAATCGATAAGAAGAGATGGGCGTTTTCAGCATGTTGGCACCCTGGGACCCTAATCTTCTCGGCTGTAACTCCGGGCCGCATGGCGGATGACTGACTAAGCAAGGCTGGATTTTTCTGCCGCTTTTTCAATGTTAGTCTCGATTCCTCACCATTACGGAGTCCTATGTAGGATGCAGCTTTTGAATATAAATATATTTACAGATGAATTCTCCTTGGGATAAACATTTTGCAATCCAGATTTATGTCATCATATGGCGTCCAGACGCCTTTGCATGGCCGCGGCAAAAACGAGGATGTGTCATGTCGAGTTTCGTGAGAAGCACTCAAAAGCCTGCTTCGGTATTGCCTTCCCCCATACTCTTGCTGGAACTGCTGCCACTTTGAATGGCACCAATGATCCCATCTATGTATGGAGCACCGCTCCATTTCTGATGGGTTAGCACATCAACACCAAGCTCCTTCTCCCGGCTCTGGACTAGCTTGACATAGGCAAGCATGCCGTCTTTCTTAAAGCCCCGTGATAGCTCCGCGGTAATCGTGGCTGTCGAATGGAGACCGGCAAGGGAGATCAGCTGAAGCACGAAGCCTTCTTTGGCAAGGTCCCAGACAAATGACTTCAGTGAAGCATCGTCGAAGCCTTGACCCATCCAGTTGAACGACGGGCTCAAATTGTAGACCAGTTTCTTACCCGGGTGCGCCTCACGGATCTCTCTGGCGAAACCGGCCGCTTTCGACACACTAGGATCTGCAGTCTCCAGCCACAGAAGATCTGCATAGGGCGCAAATTCAATAGCACGCTTGGTTGCCGCAGGGAGGCCCGCGCGGTAATGGTAGTATCCTTCTCGAGTTCGAGGGATGTCGCAAGACCAGACCACTGGAGATTTCGTGTACTGAGAAGAGAGATGGCGGCGTTTGGAAAGGGACATGTTGCGGTCTGCTTTGGTTTTGGCGAGATATTCAGAAACATCTCCGCCCTCGGCTTTGATGTGAGCTCCTACGGCCTCGTCAAACGTGACCAACTTGTGATTCTTGACCCATTCAGACTCGAACTTGTCCACTTCAGCTCCATCGGCACCATTTAGTTCCATCTCTTGAAGAACCTCGGCCAAGGGTTCCGTGTCCTCGGTCACGCCAAGAATGTACTCATGATCTCGGACGTCAATGGCGCTGGAGAGTAGCTTGCCGCTTTCAGAATCAGTTCGAGCAATGACAAGGTTTTCGCTGCCCATCATATCCCATTGAAACCTTGCTGCGACTAAGCGGTTGATGTGGTCGCCCATAGGGACCAATACTTTGCCGGCCAGATGTCCACATTTCTTGCCTCCATGGAGCTGATCCTCAAAATGCACTGCGGCAGCACCATTCTCAGCGAAGAGCTTGGCCAGTTTAATGACGGCGGACAGTCCACCGTGTCCGGTGTCGCCGTCTGCGACAATGGGTCTCAGGTAATCGATGTAGGGCGTATTCTTGCGTTCCTCGACAGTCATCTTCCGCCGCGCATCGAAATGTTTGCGATCATGGAGTTGCTGAGCTTTAAACAGCCTCTGAACTTGGTTGGGAACTGTGTTGTAAGGATAATCGCCGAAGTCGGCGGAAACTTCGTTTGTGGTTGTAAGGACGGATGAACAGGCCCAACCTGATACATAGAGGATCTCTTGGTTGGGTGCCTGCTGCGTCATCTGGACGGGATCAATTGCTCCCATTGTGTGGACTGGTTTTCCCTCTGCTGCTCTTTCGGCAAGAAGATTGAAGAGTTTTCTCGCCATGAGTGAGCTGGGGTACACCTGTTGCAGTGTCCCTCGTTTGCTCACGACATCCTCTGGTCTGTAAGGTCTTTTGATGCCTTCGTATCTCGGCGATGCCCACCATTTCTTTACATCTTCTACTTGTTGTTTGAACAAAATATCTTCAGCGTCACCGACTTTTTCCTCCGTTGAGAGAAGTTGGAATGAGTCGGAGGATAACGAAGTGGACACGGGAGGTTCGACTGAGGGTAAAGAGGATATATACCGGGGCATAGTTGCAAAAAGCGGTTTCAATGCTGGTGTTCTTATCGTAGGTCTTCCTGCGAGCCTCTCAAGGCTCCTGGGAAGTCGTCGAAGCATCGTTGGTCTTATTCTACTGATCTGTCATGGACATTGCAGACTGTCGTGAGTGGGAGACGATCAAGGTGCCCTTTCCTGGGGTTTAGCATTAGAAAAGTCGTTTCTCTATGAGCTCGGCGGACACAAGCCCGACTGTGCTTTGTCAGGAATTAACGCCTCAATGGTGTAGAAAGAACGATGTAGAGGGCACTCAGACATGCTGGGGGTCAGTAGCCTCTTGCGACTTCGGGCCGTCAAGCGATACGTTCCGGAAGGGACGCTTTCGAGGAGAAATGGAAGGCTGGCAAGAGCCTCGGGAGTCGGTTAGGCTCGGCGGGTTTTGGTCTTGGGGAGAGCTGGTGAAAGCTACCCCCCGAAAATGCGCCTTTCGCTCGTGACTGGTCGCTAACAGCAGACTCGGACTTCACATTTTTGGCTCAAAGCTCAAAGATCTTGCATGCTGCACTCTCGCAGACCCTGGTATCTTTCTACTTCACTTTCTCCAGCAGTCCGCGATTCCTGCTTCTTTCCGGCGTCGATATCTCTCTTGCGTCCATTGAAATCAACGGACCCCGCACAGGAAGACCTGTCTCAGTGTTAATCGAGCCAGAAGTGCGAACAGGAGGTCACCGATCGCAATGGCTACTACAACGAGGACGACCCAACATGCTCTGAGAAGCCTTCGTGCTGCCTCGTCAACCCGCCCTTACGGCTCCTTCATCCTCCGGACGTACACCTCTGCCGCCGAGCCCGACCTCAAGGCCACGCTACAGTCTGTGATTCCCGAGAAGAGAGAATTGCTCAAGCAAGTCAAGAGCCATGCCGACAAGAAGATTGGAGACATCACCATCGGCCAAGTCATTGGCGGTATGAGAACAATGAAGTCCATGGTCTGGGAGGGCAGTGTGTTGGACGCCAACGAAGGAATCCGTTTCCACGGCCGAACCATCGCCGACTGTCAAAAAGAGCTTCCCAAGGGCACCTCTGGGACAGAGATGTTGCCTGAGGCGATGTTCTGGCTCCTTTTGACCGGCAAAATCCCGTCTACCTCTCAGGTCCGAGCCCTCTCGCGCGAATTAGCCCAGCAATCGGATCTCCCACCCCATGTCATCTCCATGCTACGCTCCTTCGACAAGAACGTCCACCCAATGACCCAGCTATCCTGTGCTGTTGCCGCGCTAAATAGCGAGTCCACGTTCGCCAAGAAGTATGCTGAGGGCATGAACAAGGCAGACTACTGGGAGTCTACCTTTGATGACAGCATCGGCCTTCTCGCCAAGCTGCCTCGTGTCGCTGCCGCCATCTTTGACAAGTCTGCGCTCGACATGCCTTTGGACATGGATCAAGACTGGGCCTACAATTTCGCCAAGCTCCTTGGGAAGCCAGGGAAGGAAAATGAAGGGTTCCAGGATCTGCTTCGTCTATACCTTGCCCTCCACGGAGATCATGAGGGTGGTAATGTCTCGGCTCACGCAACGCACCTAGTCGGCTCCGCACTTTCTGATCCGTTCTTGTCGTACTCTGCTGGCTTGTTAGGTTTGGCTGGACCTTTGCATGGCCTTGCAGCCCAGGAGGTGCTTCGATGGATCCTGAAGATGCAATCTCAAATTGGTGAGAATTTCTCTGACCAGGACGTCAAAGACTACCTTTGGTCTACTCTTCGCTCTGGTCAGGTCGTCCCCGGTTATGGTCACGGTGTGCTCCGCAAGCCTGATCCACGGTTCAAGGCCTTGATCGACTTCGGCGATGCCCGTGAGGATATCGCAAAGAATCCAGTATACCGACTGGTCAAGAAGAACAGTGAAATTGCACCAGGTGTGCTCACCGAACACGGCAAGACCAAGAACCCTCACCCTAATGTCGACAGTGCCTCAGGTGTCCTCTTCTACCACTATGGCTTCAAGAACCCCCTGTACTACACTGTTACTTTTGGAGTGAGCAGAGGCCTAGGCCCGTTGGCGCAACTGATCTGGGATCGTGCTCTGGGCATGCCGATTGAAAGACCCAAGAGTATTAACCTTGAAGGCCTCATGAAGTTGGTGTAACTTTGTCTGTCTAGCAGGAATTGTTGTACATAAAACTTGCCTGGTCTACGTGGATGGAACGGCGTCCTTTTTCTGTGCTGTTCAGACAGTAGGGTACTGACAGTAGGGTACTTCTCAAAATGATTTTGGTATACTATCTCGAGTACCTCGTATTGCCTTGCGATGTTTATTGCAACCTGTGACGGAGCAAAATGAATTTGACCCGCCCTGCAAGTCTTGTCCTCCTGAGCCTCATGGTGAGGTTACTTGAATGTCGTTTTGCTTCACTGCATGACCTTCATCAACCGGGCTAGTCAGACTCCAACGGAGACATCAAACGGTTCCTTGGGCTCCTTCAACGTCCGGCATGTGGCACCTGTAAACAAGAGCCAGGGCGCTTGTGAATAAGATCTAGCTTCTACCATTGCAGCCAAGGACTTTCCAAGCTCCCCTTTTGACTCTGAAAACCGATCATTGACATCCGTTGTATCCCTGCTGCTGCCATATTTTGACGCTCTTAACTACCATCTGACCGCCGTCCTTCCACGTCGGGTACCACGTGTCGCGCGCATTCCAAAAATCCATCTTCGCGCTCTCACCCGCGTCGACCCAAGGCTTGCCGTTTTTACCGTCTTCAAACCACCCATTCGTACCGCCTACTGCGACGTTCAGAATGAGATAAAAGTCTTGGTCGAAGGGTGTTGATTTATGGTTGTACTTCGACCATGGATCGACAATACGAGTGCCGTTTTCGCCAGCCTGGGGAAAGTGGCCGCGGCCCCAGAGTGGCTTGTCGAAGTTGGTGTAGAGCACCTGAAGCAGACGAGTGTCGATGTACGTGAAGATATACTTCTCCGACCATTCGAGTCCGAATGTGTGAAACCTCTTTGCGAATGTCGTGTGCAGTGCGTTCCTCTTGACATTAGTTCGCCACCAGGCATCATTGGCAGCGTCTGGGCCCCAATGCAGAGCGCTCGAAACAATATTGTTGCCTCCCTGTGGATAGGTATGGTTGTTGCCACGAGACTCGACAATATCAATCTCCCCAGATTGGGGCCACACGCCGTATTTGGAATCGACAGGGAGCAACCAGATTGCCGGCCACAACCAATCACCTTTGGGTAGCTTGGCTTCGACCTCTACTCGACCATATTTGATCACCGCCCCTTTCTTCGTGTTGATGCGCCCTGACTTGACAGGGTTGACAATAGTTCCATTGGTCGTATTTGTGCCTGTGATGCAGTTGCTCCAAACTGATGATGTGCATACACCGCCAGCCTGCAGATCGATGACGTTGTTTGTCTCGATAAGTCTAGAATCTTGAAGGGTCGGCTTGATATGGAGCATTCCTTCTTGAATAAAAACGTTTTCCTCGGTGATAGTGGTCTCCTCGAACTGGCCGTTACCAAAGCCCCCGACCTCGGCTTCTTTAGTCCAGACTTTGGTGTTGAAGCCATTTGAGAAATCCTCCAAATAAACTGGACAGTATTTGTGATTGACAACGGTTCGAAGGCCATCCCAGACGAGCAAACCGGCAAGCCCCAAACCAATCGCAAGTCCAATTAGTGGAATGATTGTCACCCACTTCTCTCGAGGATCTTTGACCTTTGTCCACGGCCGTTCAACCTCTCCTTTCTTGACTCTGCGAGAGCGGAAGTACTTCTGATTGAGGATTGGCTGAGGAAGTGCTGTCGATGATGCTGCTCTGGAGGGATCTCCGGAAGCATAAGGGGTGAGAAAGGGGTTTACAGGCTTTTCCTGCTGGGATCCGGCACTCGCTATCGCCGAGTCTGGCGAGCCAGCCAGAGGCGTTGCGTCTCGACTCATTGTGGAGTCCGCTCGAGAATAGCTTGGACGAGAGAAATTTGTCACGACAAAGATGGCCACTTGTAAAGGCAGTAGTGTTGTTCAAAGTTCTCGACGTGTGAGAGTAAGAAGACTGACGGCGAAGGCTTTACACATTCTCTGATAGTAATTGGGCAACAGAAAGACAAAAATGTGCCGAAAATTGTCATGGATCGAGTCGAGCGATCAAAACAAATTTAGCACGAACCTCGGAAACTGGGAGATGCTGATGAAGGCGAGCTTCCATGTCGGCGTAGAAAATTGAACCTGTCTCGGTCCGTTTGCTCATATGTCTCACGCGTTCATCAACCGAGATCGAGAGGCGGGTCGACCGTGTCGCTTATTGCCAGTCTCCAAATATCTTGATACAGATAGAGAGATTTCTTTTTTAGCAACAAACAGCCGCTTCTCAGCGGGGCGGGAAAAGGATTGTCGTTATGGGCGATGGGAGGAAATTGTGAAGTCACCGCCAGAAATAGCGACCTTGTGTAAGACGGTGAGTCTCTATAATTACCCAAAATTGGCTCTTGGCCTGTCGGACATGACACAACGTCCTGCATGATGCATAGCCCGAATATGTCCAGGTGGGGTAATTTTGTTTGCAGCCCTTGCTCGTGGTTTGAGACGAGGCTGACCTAAACCATAGTAGGAATAGTTCATTGGGTCTATGTTTGAGAAGACCTTAGGGAAAATGATCCGTCAATCCTTTGCATAACATCCCTTCTGCTCTGTTGTCCCTGTTCCAGACACACCCAGCACCCTTACGTGCTGTATCAAACCAGTCTGGTGCAGCTCACAACCCTTTTCCTTTCTTGACTTTGGGCCTCCCTCCTGGGCTAGAAAGACTTCCTATCGGTATCGAACTTTGACTCTGGTAGGGACTGCTGTGCCGCAAACGCGCCGAGTTCTCATCCGCACGCCATGACCCAAGTGCGAAAGTGCCCAGATAACCTCAGGATGGGCAAGGGCACTCGTGAATCGAAACCCAACGTTGTGAAAAGCTTGAAGGGTAGTCATCTCAGTTTTACGATGCCACTCTCCTGGAGCTAATGCAGCCACATCTCCGCCGCACTATTTGGATGTCTCTGATTGTTACTAGTCCATCTTCGGGCCCATATATTGCCCATCATAAAGTTTCAAAGTAAGCAAGTGTATTGTTGGTCTTCAAAGCCGTCCGTGGGTCTCTGTTTCTTTCTTTGTTAACGAAGTCCATCTCTTCTCTTTTCCCTTTCACTTGCTCCATTGCTCCAAGAGCAAAGGTTCAAAAGGTTTCCTCGATTCACGCATTTCCATACGTGGGCTTCGTGCTTGATGCCATGAATCCAAATCAGAAAGCAACTCAGTGGACCAACTCGCCGGGCACATACTCCCCTGAAGATATTTCTGCCTCGACATCACCACCGACAGGCGGCTCATCCTTTCACGGCTCCGTCCATTTTAATGACTCTCACTCGCAAAGCGACGTCGCATCTATTGGCGGTAGGTCAATACGCAGCATCCGAATTGCCCTCGAGGACATCAAACATGAGGTTATGGTGAACCATCTCTACCAGCAACAGTGTTCACGCCTTTGGGTCAGCGACGGCAGCGGAGAAGTAGAAGGCGTGGTGATACGAAAATCTCGTGGCATCTACTTGTCGTGTCCTCCCGAGCTTCGAGATTCACAATTTGGACAAGCTTGTGCCGACCTCAATGTGCAGGTAAGCCATACACTATCAAAACCCCAAGAATGAACTCATTCGAAGATAGGTTGCCATGACGGTGAATTCAAGAGTCATCAAAACCTTCTTGGCCTGGGCTCCTGATGCGACAGACGTTCCTCTCATGAATGGCCTTCGAGTCCAGATCCTACCTTCAATTGCTCACCTTCCTCGTGCACGAAAATATCAATTTGCTGCCTTTATTACTGCCAACTCTTTGTTGGTGGTATGGGACGATGATCCTTGGAATGTAATGAGGAGAGCAGCTTCCATCGAGTCCGAGTTGATGGAGCTTATCTGGCATACCGGCGATGCCGGCGATGATGAAGAAGTCACCAACGAAAAGAATGGAGTTTGTGCGGCCTCTGTTGATTCCGAGTCTGGAGAGCTACCACCTCAGGACCGTCCTACCAACTTGATGAATACTATCCTTGTCGGGTTTACACTAATCATTGTTGTCACATTACTTGGCTTGGCGTGCCGGTCTTTGGCAACTGAAATTGCTGTCGATGGTTCATACATTCGTCTTGCTTTTCTCTCCTTGGTCCCTGTACAGATCTTCTTCACGTTGGCGAGTCATCTACTCCTTGGTCCTTTGGTATTACTAATGATTCTTCAGTTCTTCGCACAAGTTATTGTTGGCTGTGTTGCACAATGCCTTGGACCTATACAGCAAATTCAAGTCAACTCAAAATACTTCTCAGCAAAATGCTCTCCTCGCTTACGTACGCTCACGCTGCCACATGTCACTGTTCAATGCCCTGTCTACAAGGAAGGACTTGCCTCCGTGATCGCACCAACAGTCAAATCTATCAAGCAAGCTATCTCAACGTACGAGTTACAGGGCGGCACTGCAAATATGTTCGTCAACGACGATGGCCTCCAGATCATTGATGAAGAGCAACGCAAAGCACGAATTGAGTTCTACCAGGACCACAATATCGGCTGGACTGCTCGCCCGAAGCATGGTAGCGAAGGCTTCATTCGCAAGGGCAAGTTCAAAAAGGCCTCTAATATGAACTACGGGTTGATGTTGTCATGCAAAGTCGAGGAGAAACTACAAAGATACCACCGCAACTCCGTCTGGACCCAAAATGACGAATCCGAAGCCTACGCCCATTGCTTGCGAGAGGTTCTAGAGGAGACCCCACGTGCTTGGGCTGATGGCAACATCCGGGTAGGAGACTATATTTTGTTGATCGACAGCGATACTAGAGTGCCAGCTGACTGCCTGCTCGATGCCGTGAGCGAGATGGAACAGTCTCCGAATGTCGGAATCATGCAATTTGCATCTGGCGTGATGCAAGTTGTCCATACATTTTTCGAAAACGGCATTACCTTCTTCACCAATCTCATCTACACGGCTATCGAATATACTGTCGCCAACGGCGATGTCGCACCATTCGTCGGTCACAATGCCATCCTCCGATGGAGTGCCATCCAGCAGGTTTCTTACATCGACGAAGACGGCTATGAGAAATTCTGGTCTGAATCGCATGTTAGCGAAGATTTTGACATGTCATTACGACTTCAGTGCGACGGATATATCATCAGACTTGCGTCTTGGGCCCATGGAGGATTCAAAGAAGGCGTCAGTCTCACCGTGTATGACGAACTTGCTCGATGGGAAAAGTACGCTTATGGATGCAACGAGCTTCTTTTTCATCCAGTGAGGAAGTGGATCTATAAAGGGCCTTTTACAGAACTTTTCCGACAATTCCTCTTCTCAAACATTCGATTCACTTCCAAGATCACCATCATTAGCTATATCGGCACATACTATGCAATCGGTGCTGCCTGGATGATGACAGTAGCCAACTACTTCGCCATTGGCTGGTTTAACGGTTACCTAGACAAATACTACATCGACAGTTGGAAAGTGTGGTTTAGTATTGTCATTGTTTTCAACGGTCTAGGGAATATTGCTCTTGCAGTCATGCGGTACCGCATTGGTCAGAAATCATTCATCCCGGCTTTGGCGGAGAACTTCAAGTGGATCGTCATGCTCTCGATCTTCCTGGGCGGGCTCTCCCTCCATGTTTCCCAAGCGCTACTGGCGCACATGTTCGAAATCGATATGACCTGGGGCGCCACATCCAAAGAAGCCGAGTTTTCAAACTTCTTCATCGAGGTTCCTAAAGTGGTACGGAAGTTCAAATTCAGCATCGCCTTTGCACTGGTCGGCATTGTCGGCATGATCGTCCTCGCCACGAATCCAGGAGGGTATATTCCATTTGACTGGTTAGTTGTGGACTTCATCGCAATTCTGCCAATGAGCACAATTGCTGCAAGCCATTTGCTGTTACCAATTGTGTTGAATCCTGCGCTGATGACGTTCTCCTGGTGATATGAAAGATCCATAGTCCCAGGATTGAGCCATCACTCTCTCGTCGACGATCATGGTCGAAGGTGGCTTTGTCGGGATTGGTGAACATGTTCGACGATCGGGCATATAAAAAGGATAGAACAACTATATCTGCTTGGGGTGTTGGCACTATCGTATTATCGTCATGATCTTCTTTTCCTGCGACGGTGCTTCGAGTACTCTTCGGCGCACAGTATCTGTTCGTTAATCGTCCCCTCATTTCGACATAGTCGCAGATCAATGATAAATTGCAACGTTCAGACAATCCCTCCCAAAATGAGACACAGACCTGGTGTAGCTCCCATAGACTTCTCACTTTCATGCAAAAGACGAAAAGAAAGGGTACCGGAACCCATGGTTGAGAGTAGCAGCGGAAGACACAAACCGGATAGTTTCTTGCTAGCCCGGGCGCATTTTGTATGTATTCCCATTCATTCAGTTGCATTCAGTTGCATTCAGTTGCGGAATCGGGGGAGCAAATCATTCTATCCACCTCTCACGACACCTTGAGCACTGCCCTGCCTGCGAGCTTACCAGCGACCATGAGGTCGATATACTTGTCCAGGTCCTCCAGAGTTCCCTTGGTCAGGATGGGCTGAAAAGAGAGACAAAAGTTAGCAATCTTGGACCCGTCGTTCTTGTGAAGAGGCTTCTGGTTTGCTTACATGTACCAAACCCCGAGCTGTGAAGTCAAGGGCTTCTTCAACATCCTTCAATGTGCCAACAACACTGCCCACAACATTCAATTTCTTCAAGCACATCATGAGAGGAGGTGCACCTGCGATGATTGTTGGATCCTTGGGCAGACCAACAGCAACTACTGTACCACCTGGACGAAGCAATCCAGGTGCTGATGCGTAGGCTTCCTTTGTAGCCGCTGTCACAATGACTCCGTGAGCTCCATACTTGGTGATCCGCATGACTTCGGCGGCAATATCCTGGGTCTTGGTGAAGTCAATAAACTCCTCAGCGCCCAGCCGTTTGCAAAGGTCACGCTTTTCGTCTCCGCCGTCAATGGCGATGATCCTCATGCCCTAAATGTCTTGGTGAGCAAATGTGACCACAGTTGCATCCATATGCATCCATATGTGCTAGATCATACCATGGCTTTGGCATACTGTACTGCGAAGTGGCCAAGACCGCCACCAGCTCCCGGAAGCACCTAGATCGGCTGGTGAGTGAGTTTTGAAGACGCCTCGGCCGATCAACACCTACAATCCACTGCCCGGGCTTCACAGCACTTCGTTTGCAAGCCGTATATGCTGTAACTCCTCCGCACATGATAGGCCCGGCCTCCTCGTCGCTAACACCTTCTGGAATGCGAGTGGTGTATCTTCCGTCGCTCAGAGCGTATTCTTGGAATGTCCCAGCCTGGCTGAAGCCCGAGTTCTTCTGGTTCGGGCAATGGAGCTCATCGACACCGTTCGTACAGAACTCACACTCGCCACAAGTACCCCAGACCCATTTAATACCGGCACGATCTCCAACCTTCCACTTATGGTGCATGTTGTCTCCAACCGCAACAACGACGCCAGCACCCTCGTGGCCGGCAATGCCTTTTGTGGCTGGTAGCATGGATAGCCCAAACGAAGCCCACTCATCCTTGATTAAGGACTTGTCCGAAGCACAAAGACCGGTCCTGCTTGATTGTCAGACATTGAAGTTACCTTGCAGGAGGAAAAAAACATGCCAGTTGATCTTGACGAGAATTTCCCCAGGTCCCGGAGTCGGTACGTCGACCTGTTGGACGGGAGCTTTGGCGTCAGCTCCCTCGCCGACTTTGACCGCAGCCTTTTGTTGTTTGGGGATCGATACTGTAGTCATGGTGATTGATGTTGAAGTGGAATGATTCGGTACAGTAATGAGGTTGAAAATAAAACGAAGCGAAGGTTGGTCTCTTGTCAAGTAAGAAGGACGCACCGAGAAAAGCAGCAAGGCCAGCAACGGAGTAGACGAGACGAGGTTTTATAGAGTCAGGCCAACCCATGTTACATAGGCACAATACAAAAAATATCCTTTGGTCCTCGGGACGTGCCCCTGCATATCGAGTCGATGGGATAGAGTCACGCCCCGCAGATACCGCAGATGTGAAGGGTCCTTATTCGGTCGAAGGCTGTCGAAAGGCGGGGTACCAGGTCAGAAGACGTGGAGAACTTGAGCATGGGGGACGCCAGAAACACTCGACCAAAGCATCGTCGAAAGGTATAGCACTTGTACTTCCCTTGGCCGAGCAAGTTGATTGGCTTCCCCGTCATTGGCGTCCTCTAATCGCTTGCCGGCTACATGAGCCGAACTGAAATCTATGAGCTGGCGCCAGACGCAAAGTCCATGACGGGAAGAGGAACGCGCTTCGGGACCCGAAAGCGGCTTGACATTTTGGCACTAGACATTGATGGATGAAAAAAAACACAGTCAGTTGGCGATATCGCCTTTAGAGAGATGGAGGGTGATTCTGTGTACCGAGGAGAGGCGAGTAAACAGGGTGCGAGAGGAACATCTCAGTGGGGGAGGCTGGGGAGGACAAGGAGGGTAGAGGAGGGGCAAGGCGACGAGGCCTGGTATCGAGCAAGGAAAGTAGGCCGCGAGATGCGATACGTCGACTCTACGTACCGTGTCGGACTGGACGTGGGTCTTGCTCACTGCGCAATCCGCAATCACAAGCTGTTAAACTAAAAAGGTTGAGAAGTCACGTGATCCAGCCCAGCCACCCAGTACTGTCTATATAGTCTACCGTAGTCCCCGTACTGAATAACGGTGGACAACCTTTGATCACTCAACACAAACTCCTCCTCCTCAATCTTCCTCTTGTCGGTTGAACGGGTGAACGGAGGACATTTCAAAGTGTACCGTTCCGCCCTCCTAAAATCTTGCTTCCTGCCTCGCTGTGCGCCTTCAGCAGAGCCCAAAGAGAGCTTCCCAACCTATCCTGTCACCAACCATGGTGCTCGCTGTATGCACCTCGAGACCTCTATTGTCCTGAAACCTCACGGTTAGCTGACACCCTCGCCCTCAGGCTATTGGCCAGATATGTTCGAATGCATCTATGTCCCATAATCTTGCGCAATGCCAGAAGCTTGTGCAGAAGGCCGTGGCGGCTGGAGCCAAGGTGGGTGGGTTGGTCGTATTCTTTCTCAGGCTCTCCGGTTCTCCATCTCGACGAGGCCATTGACCTGTTCCTCACCAGCGAAACCATCTTTCTAGGCCCTCTTCCTCCCCGAGGCCTCTGACTATATCGCCGCCTCCGCCGCGGAATCGGTAGAGCTCTGTCAAGATGTCTCTAAGAGTCACTTTGTTCGCGGTCTTCAACAAGCTGCCAGAGCTCATTCCTTGCCCATAAATGTCGGGATCCACGAGCCAACAAATCCACCCTCCAAGAGAATCCGGAACACGCTGATCTGGATCGATCAAGAGGGGGATATTGTACACAGATACCAGAAACTGCACCTATTTGACCTTGATCTTCGTCCAAACGGGCCGAGGTTGAAGGAGAGTGACTCAACCGAGCCCGGCCATGAGATCGTTCCACCATATTCCACATCACTGGGCGAGATCGGCAGCCTGATCTGCTTTGACCTGCGATTTCCCGAGCCTGCACTTAGATTGCGTAGGCAGGGAGCTGATGTATTGCTCTATCCGTCTGCGTTCACGGTTCCAACCGGAAAACTTCACTGGGAGGTCCTGCTGAGATGCCGAGCTGTTGAGACTCAATGCTGGGTCATAGCTTCAGCGCAATGTGGCAGGCACAACGGGAAGCGCGTGAGTTATGGTGATACCATTGTAATTTCACCCAATGGCCAGATTGCTGGGCGGCTGGACCATGTTGACGATATAGAGAAGGAGGAGGAACAAGCACGAGAGCCGGATATCCTCACGGTCGACATTGATCTTGGTTCGCTTCGAGACGTCAGGCGAAGCATTCCTTTGCTCAGAAGAACTGACGTTTACCCGGAGATATAGCAAAGTCGAAAGCGATGCATGCATGCTTTAAAGACCCGTACCACGGCGTATCGAACTGACGCACACATCTTTTCGAGGTTGAATATGCTCGTTCATGGCAGGATTAATGGGATTTCCGAGGACACAGTGAGAACCTTTGAGTCTACGTCTTCTAAATATTTGGCCGTTTAGCATGGGGACAGGGTACTCTGGGTGCAAAACGGCCTAATGTAACAAGCCTCTTTCCAGTATGTTGGCGTTTTCCCTCTGGATTCCGGCAATGGCTAGACATAGAAAAGGACGGGTCCGTTATTGAAGGAAATGCCGATGTCACTATCCGTTCGCTTTGCATTTCCCACAAATCGGACGCTTGTTCAACAGCCTCCTACGATTTTAGCAGACGTTGAAATCTCTCTTCTGAGTATACGAAGCCTTCACCTCACAAGCTATATATCTGTATGGGTATTGTGCGAGGTACCCTCAAGCACAGAGGGGCGGAGTTAGTGCCTCGGAGTACGTTGTACGTCAGGCGCCCTTCGGAAACTTCGTACAAAGATCTCAACTGCACTTGCTACATAATCCCCGCGCTGCTTGATGGCATTCAACAAAGGCCCTCAACACGACCAATGACGACTACGTCTTTCTCGGGAAAAGAAAACACAGAGTTTTGCTCTGTACGAGTGTTCTGCCACATGACTTATAGGACCAGCCCAGAGACCACGAAGGTGTGCCGACATCGCGATCCGAAGATCCGGCAAGAGACGATCGACCGGATCTGGCTGGGCGCTTTACCAGGCGAGCCGAGACGACGAGCAAATGACAGTCCCCCACTGAAATGAACAGTGTGCTTTACGAAGAGTACGCTAAACGACGATGAACTGGCAGCTCAGCTGCTCGACTTGGTCCTATTCATCTAGCTGCAGGTCAAGGAGCCGCTACTGTGCACAATTTTGACCCTCTACTAGCAATGAAAGAAGGTAGCCTTTATCTTCATCACGGAAACATCTCACTTCGAAGCTGAGGAGGAGCTATTGCCAAACTGTCCTACCCTTGTTTGGGCTAGGAACCTAGAATCTCAAGAGTCTCTCAACCCTGCGGAGAAAGCTGGAGGGCGAGTTAGCCTTCTGAACAAGATTTCATTGAGGGGCCCTTCCCGGGGAAGGTTATCGCACTCCTTAACGGCCCCTGGATGATCCCCTCTTTGATCTTCGTACGTGGCCTTTGCCGTATATCCGACACCGGACCTTTAAATCCAGCGCCATGCGGCTGCTCGTGACAAAGCAGGGCATTTCTGGCAAAACAACCACATTTAACGCTTTCAAGATATTTGAATAGTCTATTTCTGCCAATATTCATCATGGCAGTGAGCGACCTACGAACGACTTGACATTAGCATTGATGGCAGCGGGATGCAGGGATCCAAATTAGCAACAACCCAACTACCATTTGCTTCGGCTTCCTCGTCCACTCTAGATGACATTCCGGAGATCGAGAAGGAAGCGATGCCTCCCGGTTCGGCGTCCGACGTCTTATCGGTCCAGGACCTCGAGAAGGGCGAAGAAGCTGTGGTTCCAGAACGTGCGTGTCCAACTCATAATTCGCGCGATGATCTCGTCGAGTTCGAGGGTCCACACGATCCGGAAAACCCCAAGAGTTGGTCAAAGGCAAAAAGATGGGGAATCACCGCTTCAATGGGTCTAATGGTATGTCCTTTAAAATGGCAATCGCTTTGAGTTCTCTTTTCTGCAAAGAGCAAATTGCTAATATCCTCTGGGAAGACCCTGGTCGTAACTTTCGCGAGCTCAGTCTACGCCGTTGCTATCTCACCCGTAGCAAAAGAATTCCATATCGGAGAAGTTCCTTCAACTCTCGGAGTATCGCTTTTCCTGCTTGGCTTTGTGTTTGGCCCTGTCCTCTTTGGTCCGGCATCCGAAGTTTTTGGCCGGCGTGTACCACTCTTCGCAGGTTATATCATTTTCGCCGTCTTTCAAATTCCGGTGGCCGTGGCTCAGAATGTTGAAACAATCATGCTCGGTCGTTTCTTCGGAGGATTTGCGGCTTCAGCCCCATTGGCCGTCGTGGGAGGTGCCATGGCTGATATCTGGGGACCCGTTGAAAGGGCGTATGGGATTTGTGTGTTCGCAGCCTCTGCCTTCACAGGGCCGGTTGCTGGGCCTATCATCGGCGGTTTCGTTACCCAATCTTATCTTGGCTGGCGATGGACCGCTTGGATTACCTTGATCATGGCTGCACTGTTCGGGTGCATCGGACTAGTTCTGATCCCTGAGACCTCCGCCGCGAGGATATTGCAAACGAAAGCCAAGCGATTACGATATGAAACGCAAAACTGGGCACTCCATGCGAAAGCCGATGAAAGTCGAGTCAACATACAGACATTGACGACCATATATCTTGTTCGGCCGTTTGTCATGTTCGTCCAGGAACCAATCCTGGCCCTTATGACTGCATACATGAGCTTCATTTACGGCATCTTGTATCTCCTATTCGAAGCCTATCCAATCTCATTCCAGGAACAACGGGGCTGGAATCCTGGCGTTGGATCCCTTCCGTTTGCCGCTTTCATCGTCGGCATTGCGATGGGGACAGGATTGATTGCATTTTCAACGAGGACCAACTTCACAAAGGCCTTCAAAACACACGGCAAGGTCATTCCAGAAGAGAGATTGCCTCCTATGATCGTCGGAGCGGCCGTCCTCCCAATCGGCCTCTTCTTATTTGCTTGGTAAGACTACGTTTACTAACTAGTCTTGACGCCGACTTTATGGTTAGGATTGTCTGCTGATCCAGTACAGGACGTCCGATCCTCATACTACTTGGGTCCCTCAAGTGCTTGCTACGGCCCTCCTCGGCATGGGCTGCCTGGTAACCTTCTGGCAGGGAGTTAACTATATCATCGATTGCTACGGTTTCTATTCCAACAGTGCCATCGCTATCAACACTTTTGTCCGATCTATAGCTGGTGCAGGCTTCCCCCTGTTCGCCCCGGCTATGTATCACAACTTGGGTGTAGCATGGGCAACCTCGCTACTGGCGTTCCTTTGCGTGGTCTTCTTCCCGGTGCCAGTTCTCTTCTACATTTACGGGGAGAAGATCAGAAAGAGATCAGGGTTCAGGCCAATTGGTTGACAGGGGCTCAGCTAGAGCAAACACATATGCTTTCTCTGGCAAAAGCAAGTATAATACGACTGTCTGCCGGAGACCTGTCCCTTTGGTCACGACTTTTCCTGTCTCTCTCCAAGCCCCGTCGAGGAAGGGGCTTCGTAAGGACATAGTGCGAGAAATTCCACGATTGGTGTCGATCAGACCGTGGGAGCAAAGGCTAAACTTATGGCAAGAGGAAATGAAGCAGTAACGGACCAAAATGCAAGCCCAAGAGAGGCACTTGTCACCGAGTTCCCCAATAAAAACACCAGAAAATCGGGGTCCTGACAAGCAAAACCATGAACTGGATAATATAGAAAATCAGCAACCGTATACACAACCTAACTGTATTGCTTTTGAGTTATTGATGGACCTCACTAATATTAGAGGTTAAATTTGGGTTTCTAAAACTGCCTGTATCTCCACGACTCCTTTTGTACAGATGGAATCCCTCCCTTATCACGATTTGCCGAGGTTCATCGGCCAACTGCAGAGTCAGTAGCGGCGAGACGGTCGTCCGCCATTCCCCGTGCCATTATTATGGCTTTATCTACCTACATTTATATTTGTGATTCTTTGATCAGTGCTTGCCCTTTGGCCCCTCAATTATTTTGTTCCGGTTCTGGGGCTTTGGAGCGATGCGTATGGAATAGAGCAAATTTCCGGAGTTTCGGCAGCGGTTTACGAAAGCTACCGGAGGAAGAATCAGAGTTCACTCAGACAAGATCCATTCAGCATCATGGAGTCCAACTTTCATCGAGATTTCGATCTTCCGTGGTGCAAGAACCTTCTACGTTCCGACATATCAATCGTCGAAGTCCCTTTTCAGCACCCGCTCCGCAATGACACGCCCTTGAACAAAGGTGTCTCGAATACCATGTTCAGACAAACCCTCTATACCCCCGACGCCATCCGGGCTCAGATAAACTTCAAGCGACCTACAACTGAGGCCGACTCCATCATTCCGTGGGAATACTGCTATCTCTTGTCCCTCGGCTCTGGGATCGACGGCAAGGCAGGTCGCGCGCACGGGGGTTTCAATGCGTTGATCTTGGATCAGATGACTGGCACCGTGGCGTCAATGGTGTCGGGGAGCTTTGCGCCGGCGACAGCCACTATGACGGTGGACTACAAAGCCCCGATTGACACGCCTGGGGTTGTACTATGTCGCTCGTGGGCGGTCGAGCGACAGGGTAGGAAAACGTGGGTCAAGGCGAGGATCGAGGACGGAAGGGGAAATCTGCTCGCCAGCGCTAAGTCGTTGTTCGTTGATCCGAGACTAGAGAGAATATAGAACTCCGCAGCCCTTTTTGGAAACTCTCTCGAGTGTGAAAACACCAGCTTACATTCATTCCTTTCGCCACACAACGACTGCAAGGAGATTTAGCGCGCCACTATACGATATCTTTCTGCTCTCGGTCTTTGGGTGCCAGCGAGCCGAATCGAACAATAAGTGACATAGTTGGACAAGCGTGACTCGAAGTCCACGCCGGATCCCATGTAGCTAAACGATAAAGGGGTTGCTATATCTAACGTGGCTGACGATGTAGGTGGAGGATAGAGCACCTCTGTTTCCAAGGTTAATGGAATACTTGTTGCCAGCGAAGGACACCCCTGTTCTAACAGCAATGGACTGAGCGTGTCATTCTGATTCGGCTTCTTTGGGCTCCCGAGCTCGGCTTGGTGTTCAGCAGCTTTTCAATCTAGGAAGGTATTCCGATTATTTTCAGAATCATCTTGATCACCCAATTGCCACCAAGTCCTTGCCGAGTCCTGGTCCTCGATGCATGTAACTTTCAAGACGTCCATTCACGTATGAAGAGGTAAACAACAGGGTGAGTAGGAAGAATTCACGAATTGAGTCGCATAGTCAATATGCCTCACTATGCTTGTTCACGGAAATGTTGTGTACTGGATCGAAGTGTTACCACCTTCCTCTTCGTTCGACAATAATATGTCTCCAGCTTGCTTGATCCTTGGGACACTCTCTTTCTTGAAAAAGTAGCACCATTTCGCCTTGGACTCTATCACCCTGAAGTTGCAGATGCCGCCGATCTAAGCTCTTTTCTCTCTCTAACCTCTGGAGACTGATCACCATTGATCCTCATTTACCTGCGCCAACCCCCTATCTAGTTTCAAATCTCATACCGCTTCCAATTTCGACACGGCACTCTCAATTCCCCGACTGTTCGTTGAACAAGAAAGTGAGGCGGAAGCAAAGAGACGACCGGGAGATTTTGATACGGCCACATCGGTGCACCTGGGAGAATCGTCCCGACGTGGTGACAAATACCAAAACGATCTAGAATGGATGAGCATGAAGCAAGTTTTCTACTTCCTGGAAAGTCGCATGGCATTCCAACTTCCATACCCATTGTATCTTTGCGCCCGTGCCCATCACCTCATCCCATATGTTTCTTTCCCAGCGTGCTACTGCACTGTTTCACTGGTAGATCCACAGATCCCCCAACAGCGACTGCGAAGAAGCACAGCCCCTGAAACAACTGTTCAGTCCCACCCGTCTGCTTTCGCCCACAATGATTTGCCTAATGGCCACGATAATCCATCACTCAGCATCGGCGATAATTCCCCCTTAAGCACCGCCGATCCCCCTAGCGCTTCAAAGACCGGCAATGACATATGCCTATTTTTGAATAAGGACAGCAGCAGCAGTTCCAACACTCCAGGTGGCGTTGACAATTCCAACCCCGGCACAAAGGACTGGGATATCATTAAGAACTTATCCTTCATTCGTGATAGCAAGTTTCCCCGAGACCTCTATGTGGCTTGCAAATCCCACGGACATCTTGTCGCGATGGATCTGCCACATCGACTACGCCACTGAAACTCCCCAGGCTGCCAAACTTCCACAGACCGAGGTACCCAGGGACATTTCGTTATTTTTGGCAGGACTACAAGTGGGCACCGCGTTTCTAAGTCTGTTGCCTACTTCTGCACACCATCTTGGTTCACAGTCGTTTTCGAGCTTTCAGACCCGGCTAAGCCTATATGGTTGATTCACGACTTTTGGTATCTAGGCTAGCGCAACGAGAATGCGATGTCGGATGGTGAAGACAATCTCAAAACCGAGAAAGATAAGCTTGAAGACACTATTGTACCTACAGAGCTTCCCAGTTTAGGATGCGCAGAATGAGGCCATCACGAAGCATTCTTCGATCAATTACCCTGAAACGATGTGGACTTGATTTGTATGTTGTCATTTTGGGACCAGTCGAATTCGGGCGCTGTGACGCTGGAGATCATGCATGAGGCTCTATTTAATGCAAGCGATCGGTTCTATGGCTGACATGATATTATAACAGAGCACTTCAGGGTTCGGCATGCACGTGCAACAACGCACAGAGGCCTGTCCAGCAGGTCGAGAATCGAGAACGCGTTTCTGGTTGACGCTGACAGGGCAACACCACCACCAACACCACCCCCAGAGAGGCAGCGGCTAGGGCAGCGAGCGCCTAGCACGACGACGGCATCAAGAAGTAGGAAAGGGCCGACGAAACACTCAGAAATAGGTAGACGACAGTAAAAACATGAAATACTCTATTAAACTGTAAAGAATGGCACTCTACCAGCACTGTAAACTGTTCAGCACTTCCCCTTACCCCATTTTAGTTTGACATGTGACTAGACAACTCCCCTTTCTACTACCCCCTACCAGCCCAGCCAGCCACTTTGCCTTGTTACAATATCACTAAATATTGAGCGAATACTTCAGGACCTCCGGAACAGGAATATGATTCTTTTCATCTTCACTTGTTCGATAACGAGTGTGGTTCATCCAAAGGGTTTGAATACCAGCAGCCCAGCATTGACATATTCTGGACGAGTAATTCAATGGTTACCCTAAATTTTTGCATGATGATACTCACAGCTTGAATTAGGGGTTTCATTGTGCTAGACACACCCAGGAGGTTGGTATGGCAGACTGCAATATTGTCCATGTCAACAAATGCCGACGCATCGGACCAACCCGATGTTGGTATGTGACACAATCGGCGACTTCAGGACTAGGCTGAAGCCCCCTTTTTATCTTGCTTGTTCGGGTCACGTAGTCTCTTCAATATCCAGCAAAGGCTTTGCCACCGGTCCGCTCCTTGTGGTCACTTCTCTCCTCGCTTGCTGGCCACATATGCCATCTGGGGAGCTGCCACTCCATGTCACAGACTTGGAACCCAAGCTAATAATTGACCAGGCGCGAAAGATCGACAAAGTCAACACTGCAAATGAGCATCTACCGCAAGCCTGATGCCTGGAGGAAGTCAAACGCGAAGGAATGACATCTGTATCTTCCTCCAAACTCCCACAGGGTCATAGCTACAGGATAGCCGAATGTTTATCGGGCCTTCTCTTAGGTTCGCTTTCGATCACTCTTGATTTTTTCACATCCATGCTGGACAGCACGAAAACAAGATCGTCCCCTTGGGTAAGGTGGATCAAGAAATGTGGCAAAGGGTAACTGCCTATTTGCCCTGGATCACCAGAGTCGCTTCCGACCGGTCCACTTGCTCTTTAGTCACCTTCTTGTCACCTTTGCCGAAGATCTCGCAGCACTTTTAAGCAAATTGTGGAATTTCAGTCTCCTGCCAACGCCTTCGTACCTGAATCCAAGTGTAATAGCCTTGTAATTACAAAATTCCGGCTTCTACCGGTCAAGAGTTTGCAAATGTCATCGCCTCGTTAAATGGGAGGACTGGAGGGAAGCGCCGTGGCGTTATTTGACCCTCTTTCTCCACCCCAATTGTTACAAAGAGCTGCGGAAGGAGTTACGGCCTATTCTGCTAGCAACTGTTCAGTAATTATATTCCGTGGGGTAATGGGAACCTTGCTTACCCCTCCAGCTGTTGTGATGAAGAAGCCCCAGGTTTCCAGTCGGCTTCTCTCAGGACAGCTGAAACAAGCACCTGCTAGCAGACAGCACTTTGAAGTTCGAAACTTTGTGTATCTACTTACTTAGGTACGACAAATGTCTCATCTCTTTCCATGTCGTCCAGGATGGTGTGCCATTTATTGTTAACAGCTCCGCGGGACATGTGATTTCATCGGTTAGCGGAGTGACAGTCTTTCCATCTACACTCGCTCTTCAACAGTGAGGACGGATATCCGAGGCATCTTGCATCCACTGTATGTCACTGGCCAGCTGTGTAGTATCTTAGCTTGGCGGTCCACAAGCCTGCATAGACGCTACGGGCGCTGTTCAGCTCCTCCGATGCGGGGCATGATTTTCAATGTCTTGCTTTCGAGACCAAGGGATCGTCGATGCGATGCCATGTCGGGCTAGTGGGCTGCTTCTCTTGGATGCCTCTTCTCCTTGCATAGATAGATGATTCAGGCCAGAAGGCGGGGTCTGAGAGTTGTGGCCCGTGGGTGGGTGGGTGGGTGTGATAATCTGGATAGCTCGAAAAGGGCCATCATCGCAGCACACCATCGCAGCACACCATCGCAGCACACCATCGCAGTACACCATCGCAGTACACCATCACAGTACACCAAACTCTACGCATCGAGTGGTGCTGTCTATATGCTGATGACCGGGGGGCAGTCATTCGCGCATGCTCATTGCTGTTGGCCTCCTGGTGGACCTGGACTAACTAACTACAAGTAGCCCCCCGGGGGTGAAAGGAATCCGATCGGCGAATGTGGGATCTTTTCTACTCAAAAAGGACGGCGACAGGCTTTGGCCGAAGATTTAACATGGACTCTCATTGGCGATTGATGTAATGCAAGCCAGCAGCCAATTGACCAACAAAAGCGCTCGCTGAACAAAAGGATCCAGGACTCCACTGCTTCGACTGATGGACATGATAAACCAAAAGCACTTCAGTACACTGCCATCGAGCAGTCCTAACACATATTCAGAGAGATTTCATTGAATGAAAAGATGCTAAAAGCCATTCTCTCATGATATTTACAGACTGAAATTTTCTCCCCCTCATCGGCCTGTAAAAGATGGCACCAGATTGGAAGATGCTCGCGCACGTCCCGGCGGTCTAGACTTTGAGATTGCGCGGAAACAAGGATTTAATACTAGGATACCCTGCTCCACTTGGCGGAGCAGTTGATGGTGGTGTAGGTGGATTGGAAGGGAGCGATACATCGTTTCTGACAGACGGGCAAATCCCAGACCCAGACTTTCGTTCTGTTCCTTTCCACAGTCTCTCCGTTGAACGACGTCAACCCTGCATGAATGGAAAAGAACTGCACCTCGCGCGACAAGGGCTGTGGAGTCAAGATATCTAGAATGCTTCGCTCTCAGAATCCGTGCCAGGCTTGCGTCTGACAAAGATTGGTGGGCCTTGTGAAGATTGGCGACGCCTCTGCCAAGAGTGATTTGGATGCAAACTGTGGCAGAGCTGCCGAATTTATCGAGCTGTGCCGTGAAAGAATCGAAAGGTATGTTGTCCAATTCTTTGGCGTCAAAAGCCATCATGTCTTTCGAGTACTGAGTCTGGTTGATATGAAATCTTCATTGTAGTAGTCACAAATGTCAATTCTTTGTCCTCGGATGAAAAACATTCCTCTTTGCCCATATTCGAGTTGACTAATTGTCGGATCCTGTAACTCCGCAAAGATGTCAAGCCATCTTTTTATTCTCAAGGTCGTTGATCTGAGTCCTGAGGCTTTGGATTTCGTCTGCCATGTGCCGAAAGTTGATTTCAGACTCGTGAATGTAGTTGATAGCATCGTTGATCACGTCGGACTTCTTGCTAGTGGATGGCTCGCTCATCACAACACAGTCCGAGGCCTCAGTCCGCGAGCGTATCCGATGCTTCGCCTCGAGCAGTGTAAAATACAACTCCTTCAATTTGTTATTTACCTTGTCACGATATCTTCGTTCAATGATAGAATGAGCTTGTCTTTTGTCGCTGATTCTTTTCCTTTCCTGATTATGTGCTTTGGGACCAGTTCTAGACTCTGCTCGTCCACTTGCACCAGAATTTGAGGATCTGATGCGTATTTGCCGACTATGAATCGTGCAGAGAGGGGTTGTATCAGTATTGTCATTATGAACAGTCGATTGCTTGGAATGCCGGGTAGTGTGACCAACATCCTCGCACTTAGGTGACATTGGCAAACAACTGGTACTGTTCAGTAAATCGATTTGTGTGTTCTGTGCTTCCACGAAGTCGAAGCCATTTCCTTTGTATGGATATTCATAGAGCTCGACAGGAATAAAACTTGAAGCGGCATCAGGTGTCGCACAAGGAATAATATTTTCGCCAGCTGGGGTTAAGTAGGTCCCGTGATCGATGAGTTTGGAGTCCCAGCAGTTGGCTAAAAGAATATCACTGACATCGAAAGACATATTTGAGTCGTAAGATCTCGCTTGATCTATCCAGTCGTTGGCCTTTCAGAGAGGTCTCACCGGTGTGGGCAGTCTTTGTCATGCGAAATCTCGTGTGACACTGTTGATATCTTCAAAAGATCCAAATTAAATCCAAGGTTTAGTTGATAAGCTCGGCCGTACGCGACGCAATCTATGACTTCGACGTATCTTCTTCACATGTAGTTGAAGGGCCGCTGTCCTAGCAGCACTCACCATCAGGCATTGGACCAATGCTAGTATGCTGGAATAGCCAGTCCGATTGGCAAGCAGGGGAAGAGGATGCGGATTGCTGTTTGGTGTTGCGGGGAGGTTGGGTGCCTTCCAAGTTGTCCAATAACACGCTGCCTGAACTCAATCCACCTGCCCGCTTTGCATTCCCTGGATTCTCTGAACCAACTTCCGGCTGGCCATTTGCGCTCGGCGAGGTAGAGCTCTCGGCGACACAAGCCAACCCCGTCCTGCGCTCTTCAGGTTGGCAAGAGCCGTCGTCCGATGATGGACGTTTCCTTATGCAACACGGCGTTGTGGTGACTTGCCATACCATATCAGGAATTTCGTGCGCAACATGCTATTTGGCGTCGTCGGAGTTGAAGCTGATCCAATCATCGCTTCATCTCTCTCAGACAAAGCCAAACTTCAGCCTCCATGCTAAGTTTGGCAAGGGGGCCTCGATTAAGTCGCTTGAAGAACCAGTGGTACGTTGGATAGCAGCGGAGCTGAAGTCACCAGAATACTGTAAGCCTGTAGAACTATTTCTTGAAGCGCGTCATGTGAGATGAACGCCAACCAGACACCTTGATAGATCAACAGACAGTTAGAATGGCCAAGGGAAATGGGTGACATTTCTCCGGAACACTATCGCATCGAGTCTGGAACTGAGCACCAAGGAGTTTGCCTTGGGGATTTCGTGATGTCCAAGCAATGCAGGATGTCTTAACAAAGATCACGACCTAAGAATCTCATTTGTCGCCATGCATGGGGGCCCCCGTAATTTGTTGACTAGGAGTTGTAAGCGTGGATTTTCATAGGTGAAAGCAAACGGTACCCCTCTTCCCACGATGAAGACCTCGCCTGTCGGCAAGAGGTTTAAACGAGGCGAATTCGTAAGACTGGAGTGGCCATGGATTGCGACCAGGAGCTGTCCGAGCTTCCCCAGACGCAATCATGTGGTCATTACGTACAGATCGGTGTGACAAGTGGCCCATACATGAAAAGGCAAGAGTCGGAGAACGCCAGCTGGCGAAAGGCCCATATGATGGAGAACTTTTTCAGATTACCACCGAAACCTATTCCGTCCACCACTCCACCTTCATGATCCAATGCAGTAGTCCGAGCCCTGAGATGGTGACAACAATTCGTCGCTGAAACAATTCCAGAGCGGAACCTCTAAACAAAGCGCAGAATGATCGTATACAGCAAATGGGGCTGAAATAGCCAGGATTCGCGAAAACCTCGCTTCAGCGATGGCGCCACTAAACCCAACTCCCAAGCAGTTAGGCGGAGGCCGCCACCACACAAGCGAAGTTCGGTTGTACCTTACGTTCCTGCCGGTGTCAGACCATACCCAAGCTAATTCCAGGCTAGCGCAGGTGAATCGGCGGGCAGCTCTAGGCGTTGACGGCCCAAGGTGCGCCTAGTGGCCTTAACTATAGGTGATCGCCAGTTAAACCTCTGGGGCCACAACAGCCAGCTGTAGGTGGGTATGTGATCATGTCACATCACTGCAAAAACTCAAATGGAGGGCACCTCGAAAACTGCTTCAGCTGTCATAGTTGGCCACGCTGATAAGAGAACGAAACAAGATGAGGTTAGCACCGTTGGCACGAGAAGTATCACGCAACATTTACCTTTTGCCCCGTACTGAGCTCTGAAATAACAATTCTCTACAGAGTACGTGCACGAAGTTTCGACACATGTTTTCTTGTGCAGCCGCTTACTCCAGAGGCTACAGGAGAGAAGGTATGTTTTCAAATAGGATGTGGTAGCATTGTAGTATACAAGATCTATATAACGTCTCTTGCTTTTAGGTCTGATTAGAGATAATGAATCCGGTCAGATGAAACTTTCGCTATCTCTTAACAGCAAGATTTATATCAAGTCATGCTCAAAACAAAGGACGAGGCAAATAGTTGCCGTCCATGTGAAACTCTAAGCAAACCGAGAAAGATACGAGCAAGCACAGTTTTCCTCTCAGAGGTTTCGAATCAGGCTTGCATTCACTCCAGGACCCCCTATGGAGTGTCCATTCTTCTAATCCCTGCAGAGGTTGGAGGCTCAACCCCTCCCACACGGAGTCTAGGCCTGCTGAAGTGGCGCATTCTCCTAAGTAGATAATGTCATCTTGGTCGTAGGTTCTTGAGTTCTTCGTTGTTCAATTTCGACGCTGCCCCCCCCGGGTTCTCGATATCCGGGATTGTTACCTTAATTTTGCATTTCCAAATCTGCCCTTTCAAGATGAACAACAAGTCAAGGTTCCCGTATTCACCTGGGTATCTCAAACCGTCACAGACCTCTCCGAGTCGTGTGCTCAAAGCATGCGATAGGTGTAGATTGAAGAAGACCAAGGTGAGACGTCGGCCATTTGTAGACTCTGCCAAAACTGATATTCGAGCCAGTGCGATGGCAAAAGACCGTGCAGCCGATGTGAAGCTGAAGACACGGTTTGTTCGTTTGCGATGCCCAAGAAGTTTCGCAATGTTGTGCATCCCAAAGGGTCTGCCATGTCCGTTTTAAATGAAGATGTGACTGATGAATCTCCAGATCTGTGGAGATGCTCTTGCAACAGCAGGAATGGCTCGTATCCGGCCTTCTTGAGCTTTACAGGCGTACGCAGCTCGCCTGCGGCCCATCAAACGAATTACAACTTGAGAGCAAGAGTGGCCTTCCTTCTGTCCACCACATTTTGGAGCAGCTAGGTATTTTGGAAGAGAATCATAGCTATGCTGCTCCTGAGTCCGCAATGGCAGCGAGTCCTAGGCAACGCATCTGTGAGCCACCTGGTGATACATATAAGACGACACTTTATTCCGCAAACAATGATACTGCTGATGGTCACTTCGGTATATTTGACAACGACAACGGACCATCCTATCAGGCTTCTGCGCCTCCAGGAACCGGTAATATGGATCAGTATGCTACATTCTTCGAATTCCACGGCACGGTTCAGAAAGCTCAGTCCGTGCTGTCGAGTCAACATTCTGACCCAGGGCCCTCGTGGGATTTTGATCTTACATCAGGGCTGGATCAGTCTATTGGAGAAGTCCTGTCCCCCGAGGTTCAAGCGGCCTTCGAAATTCCTCTGCCACCGGCGATCTATAATGATAGGGGGTGTATCATTCCCTCAGAGACCTTTCATCAGCAGCTTTCGAGATCTCCATTAGCGCAAAATATGCCAACGGCAAAATGCACGAATTCAACTCATCGCGTCGCTGAGACACTCACTTTTCCAACGTCAAATGGTCTGGGCCGACTCCACAGGTAGAGTTATATGTATCTATAGCAGCAATGAAAGGGATATAGCAAGATCCCTTCAAGATATCTGAAACTATTAGTTCGACGTAGAGAGAATATTGTAAAAGGGATGTATATCCGAAATTCAAAGCAAAATCATTGAGAAGTAACACAAAAGCCATTACTGTGCATGAAGGATATATAGTAGGGAATACTTTTCGCCATTTCCGAAGAGTATGTGTATTACAATGGAAAAAGCATAATATAGGACACTCACTCGTAGTATAATTAAATTATTAAACTAACTGCATCTTCTTATACACCTGGTAAGCCACTTCAAGGTAGTTGAGGATCATACCCCATATCCACCATCAGTTTACCTTCGTTCCAATCCATAATCGATTTACTCCTTGGCAAAGAGGAGAAAATTCAGACGAGGCCAGTCGTCGTTGTGGAATAAGATTTGTCAATCTCGATCGATCTGTTGATATAGAGAACCGAATCTGCCGAATAGAGAAGCCTCTTCGTCACGGAGCCCGTATGCGATGGTTTTCGTGGGATATTGTGCTGCCATAATCGAGGTCTGCGCCTCGATGTAATCCAATCCAAGGCCTTCCATATTTCACAAAAGATGCAAAACCCCAAGCAGATACTGCAATAAACCCTCTCAGGCCGCTTGTTCTGGATCAAAGACAGGATAGCTCGCTTGGATCTGCACTGTACGCGCTCTGTACCGGCTGCCATTGGCATGCTGTCCCTGTCGCTGCCACACTTCTTCTCGGGGACTGTTGAACTCAGGATATCAATAGAGAAAGCCGGAGTAGTACGTAGTATCGGAGCTGTTTAGATGATGCTGCTCTTTTTCGAAATCTTTGATTTATAACCAGTGTGAGTCTAGTACATAGATTCTTAGTTTTGGCAGGATTATTAGTCGGAGCCTGGATACCGCCCTTTTTTTCAAAGAAGAAGAAGAAGCTGAAGAAGGAGCAGGAGGGACGCAATCTTCTAACTTCCCTACGCCATCATCACTTCTCAATGGTCGAAATGTCCGCTAAGAGATCGCCTTTGTGATGTGGGATTCTTATGTGGTGTACAAGGTATGTCGGTGAACTTTTGCCGGAAAATGACCTAGTGCATATCTATGCTTCGATTTATGTGCTTACCATGTCGTTCCGTGAATGATTTCTACAGATTTTCCACGCCGGACAAGCTACTAGGTAGCTTGAGGTCCCATGCGTCATCTGGAGTTCTTGTATAACCCGCGTAGAGTAAAGTCAATATCTCTGCCTCGGGCCAATCGGCTCTCCGTAGAACTTTCACATGGCACTTGGACGAACAAATCTGCTCACATGGAATGTCTTGTAAGCTAGATCTGCCTCATGCCGACGAATTTTCTACCCCTGCTCGTCTTTAGACGAGGTGCGGCCGGTAACATAAGCCAATGGACCGGAGAAGCTGGAGGAGCTGGGCAGACCGTGCCATCCGCACTTCGCTGCTCCAGCTCAGGGTTCTCAAAAGGCGTTGGCGGTACTCCTAGTATATGGCGGGGGCAGGGGTTTGGCCCCGCGCCCCTCGGAAAGTCTCTTTATTTTGACGTAAGAATACGAAGCGAACGGCAAGGAGGAGAGCGCACTAAGTCAGTGTTTTTTTCGAGCGATGTTTTGCAGTCACTTCTGCGCACTTAGCCAGAATGGGCCGCCTGATGCAAAGTCCTTATACGCCAAACAAGGATTTTCGACCCACAGTACGTCCTCCTGACCTGTTGGTCCTCCGAATATATTACTGAAGAAATCCGGCCTTACCGGCGCCGATTTAAAGTATTTTGTACGACCCGTTTCCGTCATGTAAATTTCAAACTTATTCTTTTATAGTCCTGGTATTCAAAAATGACAATAAATAAATACCCATATTTCTGAATTTCCAAATAGGCGATGCTTTCTCCTGTTAGCCTCTTCCAACGCACTCTCCAACAAGCGCACGCCGCTATCTAGGCAAGCTACCTCAATGACGATACCAGGCCACATAAAGTTCAGAACAAGCCTGATGGTAGTAGGTTTTAGCCATTAAAGGATAGTTCACTTATAGTTCTAAGAAGTAGCATAGGCGGGACTGACGGTATCTGCCTCAGCAGATCGGTTTCCTTCCTGCAGCCGTCGAATTTCCCCATAGATTGAGACTGAACATGCTGTAAGAATTTCTTATCATAGAGCCACCTCTCTTAAATGTCGACAGTTTGCCTTGGAGGCTGATTAAGAACAGGCTGTTTCCCTTTTTTTCCCACATACCGTCTTGTGCAAATCCATTGCTCCCGTAATTTCGTCTTCCGAAACTTAAGTACAAAGAAAGTTGGGGTTCTTCTCGGAGATTGGTCTTTTCATAGTGATCTATCTCATACGCACGTTATTCGTTGTTAATTTCAATAGTCTTTTATTGATGCTGGATTTACTTCTTGATATCTCAGTATTGTTAGGGATTCCTTGGCAAGTAGGCAGAATCTAACGATAAGCGTATATTTAAGATATCCCTATAGTATATGGTCGATACTGTACACGACTCAAGCGTAAGAGAGGAAAGAGTGCGCCTCCTATGCGGGGAGTGTGCTAGTAATAAGGATGCGCTCCTCGAGTCGCATCTCTTGGCTGGTGGCCTGATTGTATCAGGCGTCCGTCCTTCCGATGTTTAGCCGAATCCGTAACAAATATTTTTGTCTTTCTCCCACCCAAGGCGCTCGAATACTCTGCACTGAAGACATATTAGAGGAATATGATAGAGCATAGTGGATACTCCTTAAGGAGCCGCTAATAGAGCATTTCTCGTCGTCGAGGTATTGTAGTTTTTTATCGTTCCCTTGATATGCGTAGGGGTTAATTATAGAACATATTAGCTATAAAAGGATGAAGTATTTAATTACCCCTTCTGTATAGATATATAGTATGACTTTAATAATTGTAAATGAACCGAAGTCAACGTAGAAGCTAGCCAGAATTAATATATACCTAATCTTCGAAGCTACTTAGATGTTATAGCCCTCGAGAAGAATAGCCCGAATACTTATATTGACTCTGAAGAAATAGGAGTTCAGATATAGTCCTCGTTCCCTTATTTGCTTTCACGCTTCTGTTGTTCTATTCCTCGATTAGCAGGGAATATCTATCAGCGTTGATACGTTAATGCAACTTACCGGACTTCAGGTCCGCTGACCTTTTCCTTATGGACATGACGGTCCCTTGTGCATACGTAAAGCCCCTATTCACCGGTCAGAACACTCCCTCGGGTAAAGAAAATCACAAACCTACGCAAAGGCCGTTTCCAAGCCATAGGAAAGCTCCTATGAAGATGAAAGCATTGCTAGTCCTCCAAGTCGAACAATTGACGGTGCCAATAAGAGTTTGATTTGCGTTGGTGATGGGAATTGTGCGATACCAGCCTCCCCAATAGTAGCCCCAGCTAGTCCAATACCAGCGTGAATGGCATCCTCCTGATGATGTGAGCTGTCAAGAGATCAGCACGACCAGGCAACAAATTATATTCGGTGGGTGTAATATTAGTAGCTCACATCAACTAACAATCCAAAAGAGACGATCCAACATATGAACAGGGCGAAATCGAGGGGAAATGCCCAGAAAGAGTATTTCAATGGAGGCATAAAGACAAGAGCAGCAAGTATACTAATGCCTGCAATGACTTGTGTATATATAATACGGCCATTTGCGTGGGCGTTCGCGTCATCCAGGAGGTGAAGATAATAGCCTAGTATACCGGCCACAATTGCAGCACAGATGACCTCGCCAATGCGAAGACAGAAAGAGGCGACCTGAGATCCAACTCCCATGGTGCAGAGCAGCAGGATATAATGAAGTCGAGTTTATGTTGGAATTGAGTGGTCGCCCGTGTGGGAATTTCTGAGAATAAAAAGATCGAGCTAGAAGGAGGATATGAAGAGGAAAAGTAGTTATTTAACATTCACCCCCCTTTGACTTTGTAAATAGATATCATACGGGATGTATTCTGCATCTCAAGAGTTACGCCTCGTCCTTTAACTCAACCCCCTGCACGAAGGCCGTACAACAACTAGGGCATCTGCAGACTGCTCAAGCTGATCACCATTGGTTAATTGGATTTTAGCCGATCCATTCCGGCCCGGGGGAAGTAAAATCAACGCTTTCTCTTCTGGGCCAAATGTTATTAAGAAATTCGTCGAACCTATCAGCGAGCAGCTTCGGAAGAGTCAGATAAAGCATGGACGTCAAACAAGGCTTTTTGGATGCAAACCTCCCGCCAGGCTCCGGCGAATTGAAGCTGAAACGCGAAAATGGAAGCCAAAGAGCTCTGGCCCGTGGGCTGCTCGTCGTCTCTCACCCAAGTCTTCGATTCTTGTTCTAATATTACTCCCAAGGCACTCTTGAGACGTGGTCACCAACAGTTAACCTCAACCGTAGGATGACTTTTATATGTATCGTTTACCTTAGTTCGTGCCTCATCAATGAAAGCATTATCATTACTATTGAAGTGATAATCTTGACATATTTGTCTGTCGCATCTAAACTAGCCTTCGATGGCGCCGATTTTTTTTTTAAGGTATGGGACTTATACTAGGCGAGACGGAGATTCACCTAGCACCAATTCTGTACAAAGCGCTTCAACAAGTCTTCCCCAAGCAGGCAGTCTGGCCCCAGTATACGTTAGTGCAGCCTTGGTTTTATTGCTCCTAGCAATCGGGTAAGCTCAACGACAAATACCTATGACTTCTATTGTTCGATATCTCGAGCACTGAAGGGCTGAATGCCGATATATTTTTGTTACTGATCTGGTTTAAGACTAATTACATTTAGGGTGAGGGAGTATTTGAGAAGCAGACATGAAAAGCAGCTACAAGTCCAGCTATCTATTGAGCAGAGGCAAATGGAGGACGAATTTCTCACCACCCTTCCTTGTGTCGTGACTCTGGGAGTGCATCGTGGTTCCCAGGGCTTAGCTGGCTATCTTGTCGTTGAGTCCGACTGTTCATCAATCACCGAAGAGGACACAACCTGGTACGTTGAACAGATGCAAAGAGTTATTTGCTATAGCTCATCCAAGTTGCTAATGCCGTGGCGGTTCCGCGCAGTCCATTTTGCCTGGACACGATTCACTCAGCAGACATGATTAGAAAACTACCTCAGTGTAGGCATTTCTTTCACCAGAGTTGTTGCGATGAGTGGATTCGAAAAGAACTTCAAGCTCAAGGGAAGCCCAAGCTTAGAGCGACGAACTTTGATCAGCTGGGTCTACCTTTCAACTATTTTAAACTGTTTTGTCCTGTCTGCCGTATGAGTTTTACTTCAGCCATGAGCTGTAATCTTGCAGAACCAGAAGCTGTACATGTATGCAATCGATGATCCTGCCACAGAGTCATTAGGCCCAGTTTATCGTGACCAATATTTGTAGGGTCGAGCTGAAATGGAATGCCGCCTGGGGCTAGATGTTGAATGGGCTGGTGGCGTTCTCGCCCCGCCTACAAGGACTGCTGGATCAGAAACCTGGCTAGTGCTTGTTGAACGAGAGACCAAAGAATCGAGAGTATCTGAATGATGCTCAAATTCTTATTTGAAGTCCTTTGTATGGAGCTACTCTACCTAGATTCTTGAAAAGAAAGATCCAATTAGTTGAGTCTGTCTATCAGCCGGCATTGGCATACAAATATTTCCACCCCAGTTTGAGGCCAGATGCAGATGCGAGAACAGAAGTCACCTAAATCCTGTTTCGAATGTTGGATCTGTGAAGGCAACATACAATAATCTCCGGAGCCAGACTGGCAAACCTCAGCCCGAGAAATTCACCTCCGTAAGCACCACCCGCGCCTGAGGCGGTTTCTCAACAAGCAAACTTTGGATAATGAGACAGAGCATAGAGACATGCCATTGTTAACCAGCCAATGTCTATACGTTGCAATTTAGTGGAAGAGAATGTTAACGAGCGAGTCCAGCTGGAGAAGAAGGTAGCGGACGGGCCCGGGCGGCATTATTTTTAAACTATCCAGGGCGAGCCGGAGTGCTGCCCCGTCAACGGAATTTATTTTGTCCCTCCCAGGACCTTTCCCGCCCTGATAGCAAGACAGATAACACGGAACGCAAATTGCATTGAAATGAGACGTCAGTCCATTATATGGTTATACCCTATTCATGGGATCGTCAAAACCCACCGCAAAAACTTCGGAGAAGAAAATCCAACAAAAGAATGACAAAATCAAAAGGGTCGCCTTTTCGGACGCTAGCCTTGTCCCTTCGCTTTTTGCGCCCTCCTGTGCTTGGATCATCTGCGGTTCGTAGAGCGGAGGTGATGTGTCGTTGATAGTTCCATTCCAACAATACCTCACGAAGCAGTCCTGGCAAGCAACTGGGACTGCCACACCAGTTCTTTCGAGGCTTCTAGAGAGGATAGCGCATCCTACACATACTGGCCATTCTGAATCAATCGTGCCATTTGCCATCGTTGCGACGTCAAAACCGTTCTGAACAATCGCATTGCGCTCTGTGTTGTTGTATTGGAGGTCAAACGTCGAGACATTAGAGGCATAAGAATAGGGAAAGTTCGGGAGGTAAACAATGAGTGGTGCATCCCCAGTCATATTTGCCAAGTTGCAACCGAAAAAGGTAGGCCTCGAATTTAATCCCAAGTTGACGAATGTGTTCTGGTCTGGTATAGAGGGAAAGGTCGTACCATTTGCGAACATAGAGTTAACGCTGCGCCGGTAAGTCGCAACTAAGCTTGTACCGTTTGGCCAGTTTGTTTTGGTGTCCGCGGAACTATCAATAGCAAATATCACATCGACTTTTCTAGCCGGCTGGATGAGTGGGTGTAAGGGTATATTCTGGAGATCTTCGCCTCCATCAACTAAGAATAGAGTCTGCGATTCCGCATTAGGATTGGTGTCGATGTTATAGCGGTAAAACGGATTCGGCGAATAGAGTGACACGTCGTTGTTATCTTCGTTGATTTCAGCGAGCACTTTGGTGATTGCATTTGCCAGTATAGAAGTGTCGTTCGTCCCGTTAAGTATTAGGAAAGCCTGATTGAAGAGCGATGAAGAAGTCCCCATGACGAACCCGGAGTTGTCGAATCCTCGGACACAGGTTGCGTTCTGTTGTAGCTTTCCTGAGGAAAAATTTGACCCAACATACCTTAATGGAACGAAGCCATAGCCAGTCGGATCAAATGTTCCAAGCTCCCATGGATTGAATTCGAAAATGGTGGTATTTGAACCTCAGGGTAATATGTGAGCCCTTGAAAAGATCAGATTTCCAGGTATTTCGCGATACTTACTTATCAGTAGCTCTCCTGGTGCTCGCTCATCCGCTATAACAATCGGCATCGGAATTGCCCCATCCATAAAATCTGGCATCACAGCTAGAGACGACCACGTATAGCTAATGCCCCCATCCACAGCATTAATGAGCTGATATGACAATGCTCGACCCCTGTACAATGTCAGCCTTCGTTAACAGAACATAGACTGAGCCAAACCAATAGTCGGTAATTGAGGTATTGAAACCTGCGTTTTCCTTGTCACTCACAGCATCCACTAGTGTTTTGTAATAATTAGACACTGTGGGTGGTCCTTCAAAGATAGTATTTTCCAAATTCCACACAGATCCCATGTCACCACTCAATAACGCTGGTATCGTCGTGAAGTTGTTCATATACAGAGATCCTACTAGCCAAGAGCCACCACTGAGCCCAGAGAGGTATGTAGCGGATTGCAAAAGGCCCCCGAGATAGCCAGTATCAGCTGAGGCTCCTCCTGTTCGTGAGTCAAAAGCAGCGATTGCTCCAGCGCCGTTTAGCATAGCCCTGTAACCCCCTCCTGAAGCAGCAATTGCTATATTGGGCCACGCTGAAATGTTTGCTGTCTGGTTGCGAAGATAATCGGGGGCGTTAAAGTCGGATATATTGATCCTGCTGAGCAACCCAACTAAAGCTTCATTGGCCTTTGGGCGCCGTTTCAAGAGCCATGATGTTTCGTTTGGCGACAATGTATTCGCACTGCGCACAGAAGGTTCGGGGGATGGGCAATCACCTCCCTCTGGTGCATATCCATTGGGTGCATCTGGCAAAGCTCGCCGAACAAAGGCATTGATGAGGCCAAGCGTAGTCAAGCCTCCTGGACGATCCCAACTCAAGCCTATCTAGGTTGTTAGTAACAAATTTTCGGTTCCGTTAGAGGGACAAAGCTTCTTCACTTTGAGAGAATAAAACGCCCGCAAGCCAAACAATGCTCCTAAGTATAAGATATTTCATTATGGAGTCTAACTACTGCATTATAGTAGTATTATGGGAGAGAATGCACTCCCTGACACTCGGCTTAGTTCCAGATATATAAATGCTAAAGTATTTAACGTTTTCTGCCCCTGGGAATATATAGTACCTTTTCTAACTAGTGTTTGTGAAAACCTTATTCAAGCTTGCATGTCTATCATATAAAAAATTCTACTCATTGATCCCTTCGAAAGACCTAAGAGCCCGGGAATCGCGGAGGTCTCCTCTTCCAGCTAGGGATCTGTACCGCTGGGAGAGAGCCATAACTCTTGTATTGTCGGTTCTGAGCTTGAATACTACTGGCGTAGGGATATATCTGGATAACCTTCATCCGGCGGATATCCGGCGGATCCGCTTCCTTAACTTCTGAAAGGTTAACTTGAAGAACCTTGGTTTATAAAACAATATTGGTATGTAAAATAAACGATTGTTAATCTAGTAGTATTGAGAGTCACTAGTACTAAGATGGTCTGTTCTGAAGCAATTCAGTGGGAGAATTGAGGAGAGAGGAAACTTCATAAGGGTAATGTAATAGATACGAACAGTCAACATCGCCTTTTTGGGCATTTTACTCAACCAACTCCGCAGGACTGGTCTCCATAAGCATAACTCACCAAATACTGCGAGGGCGCTTACGTTAGCGCAGCCGTCGAGGGGGTTTAGATTTTTAGAAACTCCCTGGCAGAGTATTTAATGTTCTATACTTTCAGCCTGGTGCCTAGGGTGTACGATTTCAAACCCCAAACCCCTAAATTCGGCTTTAGGAGCATACGACCGGCAGACTTGCTTATCTCAGCCATTTCAATTTACCTGACTTATCCTCTCGAGTCTCGAACGTGAGAACACATCTTCGCTATGTCATCTAGAGATTCACTTCCCACAATACATCGTTATATTACAACACACTCGACCTTAGGCGAATCCATCCTCGAAACGACGATCCCATCAAAAGCTCTCTGGCGCGAGGCTCCAGAAGCGTCGTTCTTCCTCGCCTATACCACCAAAACTTTTCCAGTTGTGCTGAAAGACGACGTAGACCTTGACGAGTATACGAGCACATTCGCATCTATACCAAAATTAACCATATCTGGAGGCACAGTACTCCGTGTGATGGACCTCGGCCCCGGTATCTCCTCACCCATGCACCGAACAGTAAGCGTTGATTATACTATTGTGTTGGAAGGCGAGGTAGAACTTGAGCTGGATTCCACAGCTACACAGGTCATGAAGAGGGGAGATATATGTGTACAGAGAGCCACCAACCATGCGTGGAGGAACATGAGTGAGACAGAGTGGGCGCGCATACTCCTTGTTCATATCGACTCCGAGAAACCTGTGGGAAATGGGAAAGAGCTTGGAGCGAGCATACAGGGTATGGATGTTTTCCCAGACTATTCATGATGCATCTTTCCTTATGGCACAGATGCTTCAAAATAGTTTCCGTCTTGGCGAGACTGATCTACGTAGCCCGTCTCCAGGAAAGGATCAAGGTGTGAGAGTGTAGGATTTTTGAATTTGGTCCAGGTGTTGAGCTGAGAATGGATATACTCGAGTTATATTCCTTGACTTCGTCTCTTAACATTCTAGCTTTATTCACTAAAGAAATGCAGCTCGTTAACCCAGTTTCGCATCCATCCATCTTCAGGGAAATTACTACCAAGCAATTCAAAATCTGGAGTGCCCTCTAGCATGGGTTGGTCACCTATGTTGTTTCGCGTGAGCGCGAACGATTGTGTTTGAGCATAAAACATCTGTGACGTATTTCCGTTCCCATGATGCACATTTTCGATGTTCTGGGGGCCCAGAAGCGCCCTATCTACCGAGCATTCAAGCGCTGCGGTAATACGGTCGTAATTTCTCGGGACATCCACTCCATAGGGACCGAAGAGTTCAAGAGGGGAAAACGAGAAGGCATCCATCGACGCGTTAGCACTGAGCCTAGCTTTAGGAAGTGGCTCTTTGGATTCCAGCGCTCTGTGGATCTCTTGGATGTTGCGCAAGTTGTTCGCTGCAGACGGCCTGGTCGACGCAAGTGTTCGGAAACAACCCTCGAGCGTGTCGAGGTTGCTCTTGCATTCTTCTCGCAACGATGGAATCACGAGGCAAGAAAGCTGCGGGATAGCCGTGACGAGCAAATGCCACGCGAAGCCAGAGCTAAGAGAGCAGGTGTGCCCTCGAAGTTCCATTGCTTCAAAAATACGAAAGCTGAGGTTCGATGCCACAATAGCTGGCGAGCTAGCTGATGGGATACAAAAGATTGATTGTGGCCGATAAAGGATAATAATCGTCGTCAGTAAGTGTACATGTAACTGAGCCAAGTCGAACGAGTAGGGTCTTGGGATTCCATTTGGTTGAACAAGTAGGAGGGCGGGGGGTAACGATCGCACATAGTCCAAAAGCCGGAGGCCCACTTCGTTCTTTTCCACAGATGGAGGATCGTTCTGGCGAGTAAGCAACTGGCATAGATCACACATGATGCCTGTGATAGAGACATAGGAAACAAAGATCTGCGCGCGAATATCACTAGGATCTGGAAAGTCGTAAATCGACGGCGGCTCGATGCCGCAGTCTGCGGGGTTGACGATCCGAGGGCGTCCATGTGCAGATGACATGATACTATCCCTTGCCTGTGCAAGGTAGGTTAGGTTGCATTAGCTCCTCAAGATCCTGTTCTCGTCATCAGAACTCACATATAAAGTCCACCAAACCCTTCGTCTAAGCCCTTCATGGCTGCTGCGTTTGGTTGACTTTATATTAAGGCCCATCTGCTGGGCCAAACCAAGAGCGTAGCTGCCCCAGAATCTTGGGTGGTCGGTGGAGATGTCATTTGGCGCGGCTGGTGCATAGAATTGCATTAAACACAACGCCGCAAGTAAGTTGAGCAGGTTTCGTTCAGCACCTGTGTCGATTATTGCTTTGATGCGGCGGTACTGGGGATGGGCTGGCAGCGTCATATCACATTCTGGCTTGGTTGAGGTGGCAGCAAGGAGAACGGCTTGCAGAACCAGCAACGAGATCTCCCTCAAAGATATGTCTCCAGAGACCATTCCATCGTCCACTACCGGCATCCAAGTCCAGCACTTCTCATAGAAGATTTCAGAAAGTGCTTGACGGACGGGAATTGATGGAAGTTCGAAGGCCTTGTAAAGGTGAAGAACTTTCACATCGCTGTCGGTCAAAGTATGTTCGTGTGACTGACGACCCCCATGAGAGTGGTCAATCCCAGGGAAGTCATCTCCTAAAACGGCGCGCCGCGACAGGTAGGACGAATTGTAGAACTCGTCAACTCTAGGAGACGAGGCTGCTGCGACGAGGTCAATTGGACTCGCAGCAGCTGCAACACAATGGTGGACAAAGAGGAGCGATGTCGTGGGCCTTTCGGCTCGAAATTGGACTGGTGACGGGGCAATCGTGTTCCAATTCTGCTGCTGGTGCTGGTGGTGGTTGACTTGTTGGTAAGGGGGATCTGGAATAATACTCTGGGTATGATACAGAGTTCTGGCTCTCTCCCCTGGCTGTGGTCGCGGTTGGGTGTGGTCTCTCCGCCGTCGTAAACGGGGTCTGAAGAGCGTTATATTCTAGACCCTCTGGACAAAGCTGTAGCACTGACTTGCAAGTGAAGTCATGCTCGGCGCAGTTGGAACATGTAACAGAAGCGCCATTTATATCACATCGCACTGTCAGCGTCAGCGCTGGGATCGTTCGAACTTTTCTTTCCAAACTTAAGATATAAAACCCTTTGTACCTTTTCGAGCATAACACGCTTCGCATGCACGGGTGTGTTGCGACCGAGTATATATACTACTTGGGTTGAAGCTTTTGAATGTAGCCATACCTTAAATTGAAAATTTTGTCACTACGGAGCTGCACATTGACAAAACAACGTACATTAGTTTGAAAGGAAAAAGAAAACCCTTAATTTGGCTTAAGAAGAGTGCGGGGAAAGGGGATCGATTCAGCCTCGTGCGGAGTATTTTAGGCGGGGTCAGTCTCACCTCGGTTGTTGTGCGCACCAACCCACAGCGTACTGGGTACCCAGTAGTCAGCGTCACCTTCCTCCTGGCAAAGACAGGCCAGTCATAGTGGTTTGGTACTCTGGCACCCCATAGATAGGCGAGAGCCATTGCTCTCTGGATAGGAATAGCAAGCATTCACAGAGTCTTTGATCATGCCCCCGACATCGGTAACCTCTAATTACCCCTATCTTCCTGATCTATGCTTCGCCGTTGCTAACCGTGCACGTATCCGGGGTCAGCTCGCGGATGTGATTTAACTGGCGAATAAACTAGCTGCATCTCTACCAACCCGGGAAGCTATATATACTTATCATCCTCTATTAAATACAGAAATCCTAGCGAAGCACTATTATTTAGATAAATATCCTTATAGCTTTGATTTGACCCCACCTTTCTGTATGTCCCGTTGAGCCCGCCTCCACATCTTTCGTGTGTCCACCATCATGGGCCACAGATGTTGCATGTGGTTCATCTCACTCTTCTGGGCACCTTCTAGAAGGGCCTCGTATGGGGACTGGTCGCTTCTCGCTAGTGCGCTGTCGAGCTCAAACTCTGTGAAGCCATACGCGTTGATGACATTCTGGGCGTGTTTTCCTGCCACTTCAACAATAACCGCGTCGTACGCCAAGCGTAGCGAGGCACGCTGAGCAGCTGTCAATGTGAGAGGTAGACATAGCACGATATGAGCTGAGGTCATGATGGAGAGGGAGAACTAACAGTGGGCCAGAAAGTTAATACCGCCATCATCTCATCTATCAGAATGGAACATACGAGTTGCGCCAATGCTACCATAGACCCTTTGTAGACCTCGCCACTGGGTATGTTGTCAACAACTTCCCACAATCCTTTCCAATATACGAAGTCGCCGTGTGCCATTGTCAATGCATGACAAGCATAGCTGGTATCCCGACCTGCCTTCGTGTCTTCCATGTGCTGTTGTACAAGGATGGCCACCTGCTGTTCGAGTATAAAACTCTGCGAATCACGCTTTAGCCAGTCTGAAGGCGATCTGATACCCAGTGGTTGTGGGGTAGTGGCGTTGCGCAGAACGGAAAGGTAGGAGAGCGAGGGAATAGATGATTCGGTCCCGCTATAAACTGGTTAGAGAAATCTTTCGAGATAATGGAAGTAACAAACGCTTTGAAATGTTTCAAAATGGCCCTAGGTACTTGTTGCGCCACAACAAAGTTATCGCCCTCATAGGTCACGGCGTTGATAGAATTAGCGTACATCCTGCCAAACCCTGAGAGAGCACTGTAACCATGACTGCCGCATGCAATTCGGCAAGTTTCAACCCCATATCCTGTAATTTCAGTTGAATAGACTTTAGCACCAACAGTTTGAAGGTGGAGATCTTCCAATTGAGATATATCGTCGGTCCGAAGGTATTTTGCGGTATATTCCTCATATGCACGTTTGATGGCTTGACTAACGATAACAAGCGCAGTTGCCTTCCGAGGATATCAGTGATAGGACACATTCAGTTTCTGATTCCGAATCTTACCTTGGCGAGGAGTGGAAGCAGTCGATATCGCACACTCGCATAATCGAAAACTGGACTTTCGTGGCCATTTCCACTCCTCGAGAATTGCTTTCGAAAGTTGGTGTAATGATAAGCAACAGTCACGGCTTTGAGCAGGTCCCAGCCCGTGATCTCTGCCATGAGAGCGCGGACCGTCACCATTGAACCGTATGAGTGCTTGAGATTCTTGGGTGGGATATAAGTACCGTCTCCGAGAACTTGTGCGTTTCTGGCTAGCATTTGGTCCCGGGGAATGCGGACATGGTGAAACGTAAGTGCACCGTTATCTGTTCCGAGCATGCCCTGGAATGCCTTTGGGCCGAGCTCGTAAATCTCACAACCTGGCATAATCTCCTGGCTATCAAGGTTGCGTAACTGAACCAGGAACAGATGGTTGCCATAGTCCTTTTCCTTGACAATCAAGCGAGCCACAACAATACCATGTGTAGCCCATACCCCAGTTGATCCGATCCAGTATTTCGTGCTACTGATCGTAGGTGAGTTGATCAAAAACTCATCAGTCTCCGCATCAAAAGTCGCAGTGGTTTCGATGCCTTTGACATTAGATCCATGGCCCAGCTCGGTCTGGCAATACGAGCCGAAGATTTCAAATCGTTCGGCCTTCGGGATCCAGATTTCTTTTTGTTCATCCGACATTTGCCGTTCCAGATTTGACAGGAATACTACAGACACAGGTTAATCTCTCAGGATGATCTGGCATTGGCCGCGGAGCATACTCCTAAATTGTGGTTGAATCGGCAGCATATTGTCCGTCATTCTGATTGCTTCCATGAAATGACGATGCGGCCAATTGTTCTCGAACTTGAGCCTGATGAGCTCGCGACTTTGCAACGCCGCGCGAGTCCACGCATCTTTGCTAGCCAATGATGGAGGAGTGACAATCTTCTTGTCGAAGAGAGGGTTGCCGATCAAGACTTTGAGCAAGGCTTTTCTTCGTAGTAATTTTTCTTCACCTCGCCACAAAAACAATGTGAAGGCTGATTCCTCCGGCTGCACGGGGATGTGTCGAGATATCGTGGGAGACTGAATATTTTTCGACTGCTAGCTACTGACATAATATTCCAAAATGATTTGTATATGATTTCCTTGGCCGCATTGCAACGGCTTCTCCAAGATCACGGGCCCTTTCTGGCTAGCGACGCATTATCTCCCCTGGCTCTGGCGCTGGACGCGAGGCCGGGAATTTCTGAATCGAGTAATCCCCAAGGACCCGCCCGGCATTTGTCCATTTCGACTTTCCCCTTCTCCGCATCCCCATCTGTGTCGGACCAACGAGAGAGCCGCGGATTATCTGTCAGCCATCTGAACGGCACTATGCTGCCTTCGCCGACGCAAAGCCAGAAATAACCCCATGGCCGTGGTAAAGTGAACTTGAACTTGCAGAAGATTTCCAGAGCGAAAGAACATGGGCTACCAATATCTCACAGTTGAGCGTAAAGGCGATGTCTTCATCATCACACTAAGGAAACCTCCTGAGAATCGTCTTAATATTGCTTGCTGTCAAGAACTTATCAGAGCATATCACTCCATTCGGGAAGCGCTGGGCCAGGATAGCGAAGGGGCAGTTGTATTGACTGCCAGCCGTGCCAAATTTTTCACTACGGTTAGCCTCTCGAGATGAATGATAGCTCATACCGCCTTCCACGGCTCTAACATTACTCGAGGGACTTGATCTTGACGAACGGGAAGGCAACATGTTTGCTTCTAGTGACGGCTTCTATCCCGTGAGTTGGCGAACCCATTGGCCAGAGACTATTCGTCTGATGGCAATACCAGCTTCTAGCAACCATACTTGACTTTCCATTCCCAACGATAGTATGCATAACGGGTCATGTCATGGGCGGTGCTTGCCTTCTTACCCTGGCTCACGATTACCGTGTCATGAACTCACAGCGCGGGTTCTGGCAAATGCCCCCTGTGAATGCTGGTCTTCACCATGATGGAATGGGGTCACTGATTCGACTGAAGCTAGCGCCACAGGTTGCGAGAAAGGTGATTCTGGAAGCGCACAGGTACACCGGAAAGGAGGCATTAGAGGATGGGATCGTGGATGTTATTGCCTCTCCTGATAAGATGCTCGAAGAAGCGATTAAGATTGCAGAGCAGTGGAAGGCAAAGGCGAAGATGGGAGTTTATGGTTTACTCAGAAACGAACTATGGGACCAAGCTCATTCTGCTTATCAGGCAGTGAGCTACGTCCACTCCAGACAGACATCGCGGGAGCCAAAAGTAAAGCTGTAGATATATCCTCAGCAGCATCCCAGTCTATGATATCGAATGTAGTGCGACAAGGATCCAATGATTCCGCCTCAAAAGCTGCAGGGGATATCATTCAAAGTCTATTCTCGTGGCTCTTAGAGTCCCATCGTTGCACATCGTGATGTCCTTCAGAGGGAAACAGCTCTTTGACAAGCACCTTCTTAACCACCTTTCCTGTGGCATTTTTCTTAAGTTCATTAACTACACGAAGAAGCGTCGGCATCTTGTAACCTGCCAGCGTCGTTCTCAGATCGTGTCTGAGCTTGTCCAAAGTCAAGCTCTGTGGTACCTAGACTCGTTAGTTGCTGAGAACGTGACTTGGAATTCGGCGCTTACATTTGGTTGTAAGACTACCGCGGCTGCGACCCTTTGACCAAATTCCTCATCCTCCACCCCGACCACCATGGCTTCCGCAACATACCCGAGACCTAAGATTTCTCGTTCGATATCCAGAGCTGAGATTTTGTAGCCGCCACTCTTGATAACTGAAAACCTGGTTAGTTCTGATACAGTGCATCAACAGGCATTTTTTTTTTACTGTCAATGGATGCTCGGCCCAGAATGAAGTAATACTTCCCTTCCCGGCGGGCAATATCTCCGGTCTTGAAATATCCATTGTCATCGAGAGCGTTTCTTGTCGCTTCCTGATCAAATAAATATCTGCATCTGTTAGTAGCGCACTGGGTGACACAAGGTGCCGCGTACTTGGAGAACAAGATGGGGCTTCGCATGAGCACTTCTCCTTCATCGCCGTTGGATAATTTAAGATCAATTCCAGGGGCTTTTTCTCCAACAGACCCATCTGGTACTCCTTCTAACCGTGGTGTAACAGTAAAGGCATTCCCGAACTCGGTACCACCGTACCTTGTTAAGATGGCCCTGCCTCCTCTTAATTTCGTCCACTTCTGCTGCAGAGGCCGTGGCAGTGCTGAAGTGCCACACAGGAGAGCCCTGAATTCATTTATGCCTTTGACGTATTCCTCTAAATCTCGCGGGGGTAACTTTGACAACCGCTGTTCATAGTATGCCATCAAGCGCATGTAGATGGTTGGCACTCCTGAAAAGAACGATAGCCCGCCTCGCCGGATTCGCTCCCATGTCCATTCGACATTGAAGCCACCGCTGCGGAACTCGATGCATCCTCCACAGTACAAGAAGGGAATCAAAGTGACAGTTACCCCAGTTGCATGATGCACAGGCAAGACATGCAATACTGCATCACCTTCCATGATCCCATGTTGGTCACTGAAAGAAGCCGCCACATCGTAAAAGAAGCCACGTCGCTTGACTCCACCTTTAGGCGGCCCACTGGTTCCCGAAGTGAAAATGACCAAGCCAGGCTTATTCAGGTCGAAGTACGGATCTGATGAAATTTGAATTTGACTTGGATCCAGCGGCTTCTGCATGATATGTGGTGTAATCTGAATGGCACGGAAGCCCTCATTCTGTAGTTTGTGGACTATAGATTCAAGGTCCTGTGCAAGGTGCACGCTGCGCTGTGCAACAAGAACAGCTGAAGAATTTGATTTGGTGGCGTAGTATGTTGCTTCTTTGGCAGGCAGATCAGGAGCTCCATTTATTAGCCCAAAGGAACGTCTAAAGCGAGAAAAGTCACTCACAAATAGGTACAATGACAGCACCCAATGCCATCAGGGCAAAGAAGCCCACCACAAACTCATAACCACCAGGTCCAAGTAGGTTAATGAAGACTTCCTCATCTCTATCAATTTTCCGGATAATCGTGGGTGGCAGCGTCTGTCTCAACACATTTCGGAGATGGAGGACGTCCGTCAGCAGTTGAGCGTAGTCGGCTGTATATCCATGGGTGAGATCCTTTATGGCTACGAGTTTGCGCCTATAAGACCAACGCAACAAGCGGCCAAACAAGAAAAAGTTAGGGAAGACGTTGGGGCCTTGGTGTTTTGGTACCCATTGCGCTCGATCATCCGCAAAATTAACGTTATCAATGGTCGTCGGCGAAAGATCAAAGGGAGACTCTGCTAGGTCATCCGGGCGTACTGACATGATGGCGATATAGCACCAAAACGTCCTCAGCCCAACTCTGAAGAAAAAATAGAAGAGCAGATCAGGGAAAACATCAAGTTTTACGTATCGCGAACAATGCAATAGTTGACTATCACCTGTCACTTGCAATTCAGCCTTGTCGCTTTAGAAACTGCCAAACGTCCCATGAGGGGTCGACATCCTTTGGAGATTTGAAAATTTACATTATTGGAAATTCCCGACGGTGTCAACGGATCGGGAAGTAACAACCGGTCAAATTCCGTAACTAACAATTCTGGACCTTGTGCATCTGGGGCCCCGTATGGGGACAGCAGACGTGCAATGCAGCCGCCCACACTTCCCTGGAGTCTTATATGAGGGGTTTGACCGACTGATCGGATGTGGTGTGACTGTCAGTTCTTGACTCCCTTCTGCGAAAGAGCGCGTTCTCGGTCCAAGTACACCGCCAGACGCGAACAGAATCTTTGCCAATGTTTAGCTGGCAAGCTGCGAAGGTAGCCGTCGAGGCTGAAGGTATCTACATTGGGGGGTGGGGTCTGCGAAACGTTTTCTGGCCGAAGCGTGTGGATGGTCACCACGGTGAGTTCGCCAGACAATCCAGAGTGAACTGTGATGGATATAAAGCTGATTCATCGATAGCAAGTGGTCAGGATAGAATCGAGCATGTCGCAGCTATCCAGGATTGGGACGCAGACGAAGAGCGTAAGCTTGTGAGGAAACTTGACGCACGAGTTCTGTTCCCTTGTTGCATTATATACTTCCTGGCATATCTTGATCGAGCAAATATGGGGTTTGTGAATGTGCTCCAAGCTGGTAAACCTAGCAGCTTCGGGGAGACCTTACAACTCAAAGGTGCAGACTTCAATTGGGTAATGGTTACCATCACTAGTTTCTTGCTATTGGACGCTGACTAGGACTCAGGCCGTATCCGTCACTTACTTCATGGTCACCGTCCTCTTGATTCCATCGAATCTCCTAATGAAGAAGTTCTCTGGAAAATTTTACTTTCCAGTGATAATGATTCTCTGGGGCACAATTGTCATGTGCATCGGCGCAGTTCATAGCAAAGCCGGCTTGCTTGCTGCGCGCTTCTTCCTTGGGGTGCCTGAGTCTGGCGTTGTACCGGCCTGCATTATGTACTTTTCTTTCTGGTATAAGCCACATGAACGAGCATGGCGGATTGGTATCTTCCATGCTGCAAACTCCCTTGCATCTGGCGTCGGAGGCTTCCTAGCCGTCGCGATCGACCATGTAGGTCATGAAGATACGGCCATATTGGAATACGTTGTTCTGACGCAAAAAGCTTAATGGAAAAGCCGGACTGGAAAGTTGGCGTTGGCTATTCATCATCGAGGGAGCAATGCCGTGAGTCCTACTTCTCTTTCCCTAAGATTACCTCTGGTTACTTGGACGTTAACTTTGTTGAAGAATCGTTTGCGCAGTGCCCGTTCACTTCCTCCTGCTTACTTTCCCCGAAGACTCGAAGGCATTGACGGAGAGAGGTAACTTGCAGAGCCCACCTGCTAATATTATTTGACTTGCTGAAGACTTTCAAGAACGTTACATTGCTGTCAATCGCTTCGGCCGAGGAGCCACCCGAAAGACAGACTTAACATGGGACTGGCCAGCATTTTTCAATGTCATGTCTCGCCCATCCACATACGTTTTCTTCGTGTCGTACCTATGTCTACTCATCGTTGCTGTCGCACTTGGGACCTTCTTACCAACCATCTTGAAAGTAGTAAGCGGCTTTCTACCCTCATTTCCTGGGTCCTTCTCACTGATTGCCTTAGTTTGCCAAATTTAGCAGTACTAAAGCCAACGAATACAGCTCATCTGTCTATTTCGTGGCGATTGTCGTGTATGCCTTCTGGAGTTGGCACTCTGACTGGACACGGGAGAGAATTTGGCATTATATTATTCCGGCTGCTATGGCTATTCCGTGCTTCGCGATCTGGACCCACGTAGCAACACAAAAGAGCTTTGGCAGCATGACACCAATCCAGCTTTATGGGTTGGCGTACCTCGGAAATATGGTCTCAATTGCGCAACCAGCAGCTCTAGCGTACCGAACGTCAACATTATACGGAGCGTCTGAGCAAGCTATCGGGGGAGCTACCGCTATAGCTTCGCTATCGATTGCAAGTATCATCGGACCTCAGGTAAACCGCAACCCGTTTCAAAACATCGACACAGGAGCTGACTCTCACAGATTTTCCCGAGCACAGACGCTCCTTGGTATTTGCCAGGCTTTGCTGCTGCGTCCTCCACCATTGCATTTACCATCATCAGCTTTGCAAGCTTACCATTGTGGCTACTATGGGAGGCAAAAAGACGTAAAGCAAAGACTGGGCATGCCATGCCTCTACGAGCTATGGAAGACGCAGAACATAGCACTATTTCGGCCGCCAACCTCGCCCGTCTTCATGAACAAAAGGCATTAGAGGAAAAGCGAGCACTGGATCCGGAAAATCCTCGCCACATTGAAGAGATCGCAGATACAAAGAGTTGAAAATGAACCTGCACCTAAGTACATAAGGAAGACGTGGCCAACGCAGTCGGCAAGTCATACCGGTCTGAAGAAAGGAGATTGCGTGGCGTCCTTTCCCGCCATCGCTTAGCAAAATGCCGACTTCTGGTCCCTAGAGAAATGAGGTACCGCATTATACTGGGGATAGTATTAAAGTTGTCTTTCTCAATCAATCTGTGTCAGCGACCAGCACACACTGTTTGCACTGAATAGATCAGGCACATATCGGGCACATCCCGGACTCCAAGACTTGCAGTCCTCAACGTCAGATTCGGACATTACCCGTTTTGTGCAATTGCCTCCAAGGACCCCATTAGGACAGGCTTCATTGAAAAATCGCGGAAGAAATCGTCAAATGCTCCACACCTTGTCACGTTCGGGGCCTGACAACAGCTGCCTCTAGACGAAACCTATACTACAATATCAGGTGAGCTCGACCCAGTATTCAAGAAGCGGACTATATTAGTGTTGCTATCGCTCCATTCACGTCAAAACTCTTTGCCAAGGTGACCTCTGCTACCCATCAGTTGACAGTGCCACAAAGAGACCAGATTACCAATAGTCAGTAACAGATCATGAGTTATCCTAGCGATTTCAGCACCAGGCTCAAGCCTGCTGCACCAGATGGTGCCACGGTTATTGCAAAAGAGCGAGAACGCTCAAACATCAACATCACACAGCTGTCGGAGCACTTGATGGGATCGGAATACCTTGAGCGACAACGAAAAGTATTGGCAATCTTGAGTCAAGAGAAGATATTTTCCAAGTCAACTCAAGCAAACCTTTCACGACCGGACAGGTACAAACTAGGCCTCGCCCGGGGAAAGCGTATGAGACAACTTCAAGACAAGCACAGCTGGGATGACGATGACTTCCTGATGGCTGAATACCTTGTGGATGACATTCAACCATACCATCTGCATATATCCCTTTTTACTGCCGCAGTCCGTGAACAGGCGAGTGATGAGCAGAGGGCGTACTGGATACCCAAGATCGCGGCGTGGGAGATCATCGGCGCCTATGCACAGACTGAACTCGGCCATGGTAGCGATGTGCGAGGTATAGAGACCGAAGCACGATGGGACCCGACTGCAAAAGAGTTCGTTCTTCACAGTCCCACCATCACAGCGAGCAAGTGGTGGAATGGCACACTTGGCCGAACTGCCAACTATGCGGTTGTTATTGCCCAGCTGATGCTACTAGAAGATGGAGGCTACAAGCCATACGGACCACACCCGTTCATCGTCCAGATAAGGGATCTAAAGACCCATCGACCTCCTCAAAGTATCGTTGTCGGCGATATCGGCCCGAAATATGGATACGCTCCGATGGACAACGCATATTGCCTGTTTAATCAACACCGGTAGGTAGTTATTTGAAACTCAACAGCACACCTATGACTAACCCCCACGAACAGCATCCCCCATAGTGCCATGTTGTCAAGGCATTCTCGCATCGACCCACAGACTGGAGTGTACACCAAGCCTAAAAATCCATCTTCTGTTTATGGCCAGCTTACTAGAGGGCGTTCAGTCATTGTCATGAACGCGCGGCTGGTTCTGGCTCGAGCCGTGACAGTGGCAGTGCGCTACCTATCAATTCGACGCCAATTTCACGATCAAGATAATCCAACCCAGCCGCTGGAGACATCTGTCCTCGACTACACAACGGTGCAGATACGAATTCTGCCCCTTCTTGCAACAACATTTGCCCTTCACTATTCGGGCGCGTATGTGCGGCAGCTATACGAACGTACACGCAAGAATGATACTACGATTGATGCAGTCGATGAAGCATCCCTCTCCGAACTCCATAGCACATCAGCTGGACTAAAGAGTCTAGCAACCACTCTCGCCGCAGACGGGATCGAGGTCTGTCGGCGCTCTATGGGTGGTCACGGATTCGGCGGAGGCACTGGCCTTGTGCAGTTGAACGCGGACTATTTGTCTAAGCCGACGGTTGAGGGGGACAACTGGATGATCACGCAGCAAGTCGCACGCTACCTGATCAAGAAGTTTAAGGAGCGCGCACATTCATTGAATAGCCACGCATTGAGTCAGACGGAGGAGCACTTCAAAATCTACATTTACGGCCAATCTCAGGAGCCTAAATTTGACGTATTGAAGAGGGATCAGGCGATCGTGGATGCTTTCAATTGGCGCATGGCCTGCATAGCATGCCGAGCCTATGATGCTCGAGAAATCGAGAAGAGATCGTGGAACAGCTTGCTCATCGATTTTCACAAACTTAGTAGAGCCTACTCGCAAGCAATGTTGGTGTCGAACTTCTACACCGCTACAGCCGACAACAGCGACGACATGGCTGCTCTGGATGCATCTACGCGGGCCGTTTTACTTGATCTCTTCCGATTGTTCGCCCTTTACACCATGGACTCCGAGGCTCGGGAGTTCCAAAATTCCGGGGCAGTCTCCTCGGAAGATCTGGATAAGTTGCCGGCAAAGGTGTTGGAGCTGATGGAAAGAATAAGGCCACACGCTGTTCGCCTTGTAGATGCATGGGCGATCCCGGATTATTTGCTTGATAGGTCAGTGTACATCCACAGTCAGGTGCAAGTCATCATACTAATAGCTGAACAGCGCATTGGGACGCTACGATGGTAAGGTCTATGAAGACCTCTTTTATCGCGCACACATGATGAACCCTCTGAACAGGTTGATATTCAACCCTGATTATCAGACCGATGAGATCGTGATGGGAAGCGGCGATGCAGGGCAAATATTGGCCAAGTTGTAGTGTCAAAGCCAAGGTTGGCTTCTGAAGATAGTGTACCGAGTAAGAACCTGTGAAACGGGTAATGGAGAGTGGCTGGGAGCAATTCTTTATCTTTCATGGAAACCCGAATATTTGGGCTCTCCACCGATGTACCCCAGTGTGCTTGTACTTAAACAGGGATACATGATCTAATAGGTACGTCTTTCATTGGCACCCTGAATGATAGGCATCCCAACCAGGTAGTCCGCCGTCGAGCCGCCGACGTCACTACGAAACATTACCCGATGTGGAGACTCGAAGGTTCTACTCCGTACATGTGCGATAGCGATATCCAACCATCGTGTATATATTCATTCGAAAACATGGCGGAGCGAAGTGCTCCCATAGCAATCTCCACTGACTACAGTATTTCTAAGTAAAAAATTAATTCCCATTGCCACAGCGAACGCTCAATAGTAAAAAGCAGGAACAACAGGCATCATGACATCGAATCAGCCACAACATTCCGACAATCCCTCTGTGAAGAAGGGTTATGTTGAGCCATCACCTTTAACACCGCTCGCCCTGCTGGCCCCCCAGGATGCGGCAAGTTCAACAACAGAACCATCCCAAACACTCAAACTCGACGCTCTCGGTCCGGTTGTCATTAATTCAGATGGTACTCTCTCGCGAATCGACAATTGGGCCCAGATGACCGAGATGGAGAGAGAACGGACACTGCGCATCTTGGGCAAACGCAATCAACTCCGAAGGGAAAATATCCTGGCTACTGAGGGCGAGAATATCAACACGGAATCCGGAAAGCAATGAGGGACGCGTAAATAGAACATGTTCGAAGTTTGGATGAGTCGAAGGAAACCATCTGGATCAGAACACAAACAGTGGAAGGCTCGGACGATGAGGAATGCGAAGGTGCCAGAATAGATAGCCGTTGGTGCATGAGTGCATGGAAGAACAGCGTCGCCACCGTCTTCAAGGCAGAAGGACTAGTACAGGTGCCTAACGAAGGAGCAGCACGCAGCAACGCTTCTCGGAATGAAGAGGCAGCGTATAGCAGCGAGAATGATGTGATCGGTAGCGCGATAGTATTAAAGGAGTTTATGATCATCAGAGACAGCGAAACCTTTCGCTGATGCCGTCAGATACAGAGCAATAGTAGCCGACAGAGCGTGACTATGCAGCATTCGCGATTAGCCAGACTTTTCAGTAAAGCACGGTTGGAGGTAGAGGGGTACGTGGACCTTTGGGAGCAGAAAGGTTAGTATTTCAATAGAACCAGTGCCTGGTGGTCCATTTGGAGTGTCTCCGAGTGACGAGTTTCAAAGTGAGAGAAAGAAGAGGCGGTTCTCTGGCATCATGAAAAATTCCTGTGGAGGCCTTTTACGGGATGAAAGACGATGCTCGGCCTGGTGACTAGCCTAGTCAGGCGTACCCAGTACTAGCCCGCGCCTAAGTCTGGCACGGAGCGCTATTAAGTAGAAGCCTACCAAGCATATCGGCTTTGCCGAGGACGGCTTTACGTGCTTGCAACAGTAACAATGTCCTAGTTCGGCTTCATCAAGGTAAGCGCAATTCCCAGGGTCTTCATGTCACACGCCCCTCCATGTGCAAGATCACTGGAGGATGTTCCTCATGTCCCTAAGGAACCTCTTCGGTCAACCCGACAATGCAGACACTCGCGGCAATTTTCATGGGACGGGTCAATATATCAGAAACTAGGGAGGCTGATTGGGAAATCTTCCACGGGGACTTGGATATCATTCGCCCTTTCCCTCCTCCTCGTTGTCAATTAGGCTAATTCAACACGGCTGCCATAACCTTGGCCTCTGGCGGAAGAGCGGCCAGTTTTTATATCTGCTACGCGCAATCTCTATCAACAAGATAGTTTGGTCTTGGGTGTTTGACCAAGTTTCCATTCTTGCGCAAGTCTTCTCCCAACTAGAATGCCTGGAAGGATCAGCGAGTGGTCGGACTATGCCCTGGCCGAGGAGCAGAAGAAGCATTGGATGGAACATGGGTTCATCAAGATTGAGAACTGTTTCTCGCCCGAACTCGCAGAGAAATGGACAAGCTCCATCTGGACGAGACTCGGTGCGTCTTCAGATGACAAATCTACCTGGCCAACAGAGAAGTTGAACATGCCTGGTCATACCGTTATATCAGTCCAGGAACATGCGCCCAAAGCATATGCAGTAATGTGTGAGTTAGTTGGGGGAGAAAATCGTATTGCCGACTGGTATGTCCAACCCACCTTTTCTGTTGGGCCAAGCGCATGGAATGAGTGAATGCGCGTCCAAGATTCTTCAGATGTGAGTGGGCGCATATTGATTTGCTCGCTTGTCGTAGGTGCAAGTACTGGAAAGATGGTTTCGTTGTCAATCTAGGCAAGCCCGAGTTCAAGGAAACGGATCGTTTAGATGTGAGGACGTTGGATAACTGGCATTGCGATGGAGATTGGTTCACTCATTTCCTCGACTCCCCGGAGCAAGCTCTTTTGGTGATTCCTCTATTCACAGAGATCAAACCCAAAGGGGGAGGCACTGTTATCTGCACGGATGGAATCAAGCTGGTGGCTGAAAGACTGGTACGTTTGAAGCTGTTCCCCTCCTCCACTTGCAGACTCGGTGCTCTTCTTCTCTTACAGCACTTCCTCGTAGTATTCGCTACCGCAAGGCGCGACCCCATATCTCGCGCCCCGAGGCTCGCCTGAGATCCCGAAATCCAATCCAGAGCGCCGCAAGCTCTGGAATTCTTGGGTGCAGAATCCTCGTCTCTGTCGCGATGAGTCCTTCCACGAAGCTACAGGTCAAGTCGGCGACGTTTATTTCTTGCATCCTTTTATGCTGCACTCAGCATCACGGAACCTACTTCGAAGTGTCAGGATTATTACGAATCCGCCTGTCGCCCTGAAAGAGCCCTTCAACTATGACTGTCCAGATGGCAACTACAGCCTAGTGGAGGCGAAAACATTAAAGGACCTTGGTCGCCCGAAAGGCTTGCCTGAGTGGAAGATTGCAGGACCAAGAGAATTACTCCCCAGTGCTGGCGGCAGAATAAAGGTACGTTCTCCATGAATATTGAGCCATTAGAGTCTTTGCATCAAGCCAAGGCCATTCTGATCATTAACTTCCAATGCAGATGCAAGAGGAGATGAAACGAAATGAACTGGAACGGTTGAAGAAAGCTGGGAAGCCTATCCACACCCTTGAGGGAGCCAGTGAATATGGCCTTCAGTATTATCCGTCTTAGCTCACCTCGAGCCGGATCCTAAATAAATATTCCTTGCCTCAAGCTCATAAAACCTGTCTACTTCGAAGTGAAAGTATTCATGTATTTGTTCATCGGCCTCTTCGGTATAATGTTCCATCTCAAAAGTCGACATGGTTCCATCCTGACCCGTTCGCCTCACCATTCCAAAGATGTTCCTTTCGACGACTTTTCAACGAAAGCAACATCAACAGCGTCACGCGAGGGTTTGCTGGCCTTCTGATCTAGACTCTGCAGCTTGGAGAATAAACTGGGTCCGTATCTCTCATACGTGTTGATCAGACCACCTTCAGCAAGAAGTTGTTCCTGAATCCGATCGAGTCTGAAGTCCCAAGTCCTTCCTTGACACCAGATTTGCCGCTTTTTGACATTGATAACTATCTCTTCACCCTCTTTAGCGAGCTGATAGAACTCGTCATCCAGAATTTTGATTCCTATTAACCCATTATTGACTTGATTTCGCTGATAGATGAAGGCATACGACTTTGCGATCACTGCTTGGATGCCTGCCCACATTAAGGCTCTTGGGGCTTGTTCTCGAGAAGAGCCACAGCCGAAACTCTTCTCCGCAACGACTATCGAGGCACCAGCCTGCGCACGATCATAGAACTCTGGTCGAGTGTAGCAAAATGCACCACGAGCAACGTCTTCTCGAGTGAGGTGAGGATGGCACTTGTCGGTCGGGATGATACTATCTGTGTCGACGTTGTCTCCGAACCGCTGCACACGCCCTCGAATCAATTCGGGGAGCGATGGTGGCATCTTCTCATCCTTTGATTGTGAATCCGTATCGCTCTTCGTCGAGACAGCGGCAAGAAGTCCCGGCTCGATATATTCCGGTAATTGTCTTGGTTCTTGCGGGCCATATCTCCTCATAGCGTCAAACTCGACCATGTCAACTTTTTCGAGGATGTCCATGGGACTTTGCAGTGACATCGAGAAGCTGGAAGCGGCGACCGTTGCTGCCGAAGTAATGTTGGCAATTGAACCTGGGCCCATTCGATCACGATAGTTTCTATTCTGAGAAGATAACCATACTTCCCCTTTGCCTGCCTTATCAACTCCCATGCCCACACAGTAGCTGCATCCAGGGGCACCAATCTTGAAGCCGGCCTGTTCGTAAACCTCCAGAAGCTGTAGTTCCTTCAGCCTAGCGATGATGGAATTGGACCCAGGAGTAACACGCCGCAAACCATTGGCCACGGTTTTCCAGCCTTGAGACATTGCCTGCTTCAGAACCAGTGCTGCCAGTATTAACTCCTCTTCAGTCGTGGTGCATGCTCCTATGAAGACACCTTGCAGATTTTGAAGTCGCTCTTTTGCTTCTGAGACCGGAAAGACGTTGTCTGGGGATGGATAAAGTGCAATGAAGTGCTCCAATTCTGCCAAGTTCACATCGAATGATTCGGCATACCGTGCATCATCGTCTGGACGGAAGTACAGGCTGTTCGATTTATGTCGCAAGTCCCTTCGGCGTTGAATATACTGCATGGTCAACCCGTCTGGAACCTACCACTTAATCAGTTCTTCTGTTTGAACAAGACTTATCAGTTCAAACAAACAATGCAAGCACCAATGCCGCCAAACTCCGTTGTCATGTTTGCGATGGCGAATCTTGCATCACATGATAGGTACTGCAGTCCTTCACCAGTGTATTCAACGAGTCGGCCTGCTGCAACAGTATTTCTTCGGAGTTTGCGCATTACTCCAAGGATAACGTCTTTCCCACTGACGCCAAGAGGTGGTCTGTTGATGAAGTTGATCCGGACAATCTCCGGGACCTCGAGATAAGTCTCTCCCGTGACAAGTTGTAAGATCATATCGGTGGCGCCTACGCCAATTGCAAGACTCCCGAGCGCCCCAGCGGACGATGTATGAGAGTCGGCGCCAATGACAAGCATGCCAGGTTGACACCGAGAACGATAATACTCGGTATGCATGATCGTGGTATTGTGTCCGGCATAATTGTCTCCGAGGTCCATTTCTTTGGCTATCTGATCGCAGGCTTCAATGAGAGACTTTTCGTAAGTTCTGTGATTCACGCGTGGGTCCACGACATGGTCTCCTGCCAGCCAGAACCTGTCTTTGCGGCGAATACCAGGACGGCCCATACGCTCATAGCTTTTGTTCATGCCAAACCACGCAACTTCAGATGCCAGAAACCAATCCGGAGCAAGTCGTATCATGGTGCCTGGCTCCACGTATGGAGCCTCAAGACCAAGGGCATGATGAACCAGGATTTTCTGGCATGTAGTCATCGGCCGCCGGCTGGTATGGTCCATTGCCCTCTCGAAGTCTGATGAAGAGTTCTGCTGGTTTTTGCGGGAGCTTTGACCAGACGAAAACGTTGTTATGTTGGAATACCAGTCTTCGTCGCGACGTAAGTGGGGATTGTACCGCTATTGTGCGTTAGTGTCCTAATCCATGGACTTAAACATCGTTATAGGACTTCGAGATGCTGCGCCGTACAGGACAACTGCCGAAACTTTCAACGGGAGAAACCCACAACGCCGGGAATGGATTCCCAACAATTCCCCTGGGAAAATCAGCAATCAAAAGTATCTCAGGTACTATGAATGTCGAGGAGCCCCACTGGCGAGACTCTCTGCTCCATAATCGGTAGATGGAAGACAATATGCGAAACAAAGACTCTACAGGCAGCGAGTCGTGCAATTGGTGACATTGTAGCCACCGGCCAAATTCCGGACAAGCGCTCCGGAAATCGAGCGCTGGGTCGTCGTACACCGTATCCGGGGTCCGACCTTACCCCGGATTCATTGTCCCCGGAATATTGGATCAAATATTATAGTCACCCTGTGAATGCCCTTCTTGGTGTCAATCCTGCATACTGCCCTGCCGTACCACAAGGACCGCCGTCTCACCATTCAAGATGATTAGTGAAGGAAGGAACAACCATCTCCTTGACAATTGGAAATGTCTTGTTATTTGCTGTGCCGTCAGCATGGCCAATTGTCAGTATGGCTTTGGTAAGAGCTTCGCCAGATTCCAAAGCACGAAACTGAAGTCTTCGCAGATACTGCAGCAGTCGCCGGCTTCCAGGCCATGATTGGCTTCCTCGAGGTCTTTGGTTATAAGGACACAAAGGTCAAAACAGGATGGAATATTGCCACCAAACCTCAGCAGCTGATATCCAGCTTCCTCAATGTCGGAACCATTGTCGCGGTGCTCCTCGGTGGGCCTTTTGCCCATAAGTTTGGTCGCAAGCCAGCGATCTGGGTTGCTGCCATCGTATCGATGGTGGCATGCGGCGTCCAGGTTGGGATTAACAGCCTTGCAGGATTGTATGCGGGTAGAATCCTCCTGGGAGCTTCCAATGGATTCTTCATCCTGTACTCGAACACCTATGCCGTCGAAGTCGCTCCTCCTCAACACCGGGCTATCCTGGCGTCGTTCTTCGGATTCTGGGTCAATCTTGGGAGTATTCTCGGAGCCATTGCCGACAACTACAGCAAGAACCTGGATAGCAGATTGGCATATCAGATTCCCCTAGCGTCGTTATTCGCAATCCCATTCCTGCTCAGCATCTTCATGTTCTTCGTGCCAGAGTCGCCCCGTTGGCTTCTTTTGCAGAACAAACCGGAAGAAGCTCGCAGAGCGTTGGAGAGCCTTAGAGGAAAATCCTTGAAGGCCGAGCTCTTGAATGAGGAGTTCATCGAGATGCAAAGAGGGATTGACCAAGAAAAGGAGCTGGCTTCGACAACCTCAGTCTTGGATATGTTTAGGGGTTCTGATCTCCGGCGGACCATCCTCGCAGCAGGAGCCATCGCATCGCACGCAGCATCGGGTGTCTGGTTCACCATTTCGTATAGCACGTTCTTCTACCAAATGGCAGGCATCGACAAACCATTTCAGGCGACCATTCTACAAAATTGTCTCGGATTGATCGGCGCCATGTGTGGCATGTTTCTCATGCACAAAGTCTTTGGTCGTCGCCCGATGCTTCTGATCGGGTCGGCTGGTTGCTGTGTTTGCATGTTGGTGATCGGCTTGCTGAGCCTTGCTGGTCATGGAAAGAGTGCTGGACAAGCGCTCGTAGGTTTTGCGCTGATGTTCAGTTTCTTCTACAACGGCTTCACTGGCACAATTACCTGGCCGATCGCGGGTGAACTCGTCAGTTCTCGACTGCGAGTTTTCAGCGTAGGGCTAGGCACTGCAATCAATTACTTCTTTAATTGTGAGTTTGTCAGTAGTCATCTTGCGGTGATGGACTGACCACTGGCAGGGTTGATATCATACTGCACGCCGTATTTCCTGAATGCGAACAATCTCAATTGGGGCGCGAAATATGGGTATATTTGGGCCGGATCAAATGCAGTTGCATTCGGTGGGTATTGGCGACATCTTATGGCTCTTTCCGCTGACCGTAGATTATAGTGTTCTTCTTTCTCCTTATACCGGAGACTAAGGGGCGTTCATTGGAGGAGATTGACGAGATGTTCGTTAACAAGGTGCCGCGTAGTCAATTTAAGACTTATCAATGCGTCTCATCAGAAAGGGCCCGCGAAATCGCGGGGAAGGAGTTTGATGAAGTTTCCAAGGGTGGAATCACTGTTCATGCGGAGAAGGTCTGAAAGTGAATGGAGCAGCCAGCGAGTACATGGTTTCGGAGACGTACATCCTCCTGATGCCCACTTCCAATTGATTTTAGTTCGACCCATTCTCTTTACCTTGAGCTTTTTGGGGGTATTTTTCCTTTGCCGAAAGTTCCTCTCCCAGCATTTGTTTTTGGGTCGGTGTCATCTTTTCGTATGCGGTTCGATGCTGGACTTTATTCTCTATTCGTGACACAAAGGTAAGTTACGGTCCCTGCCGCCAGAAGAAGTTCTCGCACTGGTGTTCTCCGAGTTGGGGATGCTTCAAATTCCAATCCATGAGCATGCAGACAGTTGTACGGAGACTGCGCGATTCTGAAAGCTTCTTTCCCTGCTTTTGCTGAGAAAAGGACGGTATCACCCGCATTATACCTCTGTGGTTCTTAAGGGTCTCTTCCGTAGCTTCAATCTCCACTTTGGCAACAACAAACATGTTGATGACAATAGTTATAAAACTGCATCGTGCTGTATTGTCGACCGATATAATATGTCCATCCAGATCATCGCCTCTCACCAAAACGTCTGGCAAAACAGGCAGCACAGGTAAGATTGCGGAAGTAATGCACTTGCATCCGCTGGCGAGCGAACCAGCGGCGCGCAGGACAGCAGGCAGTCGCAGTGTCCATGTCCGTCTTTTCAGGATGCATTTGCTGTTGAATGGTCGCGTCATGACCTCTTGGTCCTTGGAGTAATCTCACATCATCGACTCTTCATCCTTCTTGCTCATTGTCGTTCTGAAAGAGGACTTTGAGCTTGGTCAATGCGTCATCGCAGTTCACCTCCATGCTAGTGATAACATCGACCGCTTCCTCCTTGGCCATGATGAATTGAAGGACAATCCAGAAGTGAAAAGCATTTCTGTACATGCCTTCAGCTTTCAGAGATTTGTCTGAAGTCTGTGAGCGGATAGCTTCCCATAGTTGTCGCCATCTCTCCAAGGCGCCCTTGATTTCTTGGGCCATTGGGCCCATAGCGGAACTGGAAGGCTTCGGCCCATTGATACGGCGACCAAAGTTCGTGGTGGGCAGGTTGAGTGACATTGTCATTACGCATGAGTGTACGTAAGTATACAGAACTGAGGAAGATGTTAGTCAAACGGTACTTATCTCATCTCCAGCGGATGACACAGGGACCGAAGAATGGCGGATCAGAGTCACCGGCGGCCTTACAGTGGATGAGAATGAACAAATCGAATATAGTAAGATCGCAACTGCCTTCTGTCTCCCCCGAGGACGCTCCGATTTCCGACAGATCTGCCTGGGAAGCAGTTGTTGAATCGGCGCCCTTTGCTTTTCCATCAAAAAGGAGAGCGAAGGCTTGAGACATTGTTAGTCGTGGCGCAAAAATAGAATCGTCCTGCATGAAAGGGTGCCGTGAGCTGAAAATGGCTTCTTTGCAGGGAAGGTCATTGTCGAGTTCGGCGAGAGTTATGCGGCAGGGGTAGTTTGAATAGATTCTCATGGCACAATCAAGCAATGCAATGACTGATATAGTTCTGCGACGAGTGCGGTCAGTAAAATGTTAACGACGGAGGCATTCTGTATACCGGATTTTCGTCTCTTTTTGTAGCCAAGCAACCTCTGATATGCGATCGGACGGCAGATGACGAGCATGGTGCAGTTGCATACTCCGAGCGACCTGGAAAATTCGTAAGCGACCATCTAAACTGCATCAAAGAATTTCGAACATTGATGACGTCTCCGAGCCGAGATTGCATTGCTCGTCGTTTAGACCCCCTTGAACCGCCCCAATACTGGGCAACGACCATCAGGTAACCAGCCTGTAGCTCTTGGAAAATCTCCCAGTCACGATCTTGTTGAGGAGAATCCGACATTGTTGCCATAGAATCGCCTTGTATGGATCGGGTGACTTCAATCTCAAAGGAGAAAATTTCTGAATCGAAGACCACCAACTCCGCAGCATCAACCAACTTCTTTGCAGCGAGCCTCTCGGTTTGATCTTTAGAATACAAGGCCCCTATAAAGACCACGCTGATGACCAAACCAACCGGGAGTTTGGCGGGATCGAATGATGGGCGGTGAATGATGGGACAATTCAGGTGCCAATTACGGAAATAAAGCGAGATGAACTTGCGGATCCTCTCTGAGGTTAAGAGGAAATTTAGGCTCGCAGTCAGTTCCTGACGAGATTTTCCATCCAACGCCAGGCACCATAGCTTATTGTAAATTGCCATGTTCAGTGCTGAGACATACTGCGCCTGATCCGAAGGCGGTTGAGTCGAGCTGGAGGGTGTGGAGCCAATCTGAGCTTCTGGCGATATCATTGACGAATCGTAAACTTCCAGTTGCAAATCATTATATGAGGGGGATTGAACCGATCCAAACGGCCCTGTCCAGAAGTCTAGATACTGATCGTCAATGCCCATAGGGGTTTGGAACATCACGGAAAAGTCGAAAGTATGTGGGCTTCCATCTTCCGACTTCGTCTCAATGGCATCGTTCTCTTCATCTTCTCCTTCTTCTTTTTGCTGATGGAACTGCAGCCCTCTTTGTCGATCGTCGCAGGGCGGAAGATTGAAGGTCTCCGTGAATGTGTCTGTGCCACCGTTCAAGAGAGCTCGGATGGACACACGGTCGCCGAGGGGGCCTAGCTTTTCGACAGCTATATCCCGGTCAGCATTGTCGCCAATAGGTTCCTCCATGTTTAGGGCAGGGCTAACTACTGGATTTATCGCGTAGGGCATGTTTTTGGCGACATTGTACTTGTTTCTTCTTGCAAGGTGCGCAAGGGTTACCTCCGTCACATCGAATTTTAGACGAAATGCACTTGACAGAGGTCAGCTAGATTGCACAACTTTGCATGTTACCAATGTATTCACCGTCACACAGGCATGCGGCCGTCGACCCTTCGGAATCGAGGTGGGCGCATCTCGGTCTCCTCGTCGTTGGCAGTGGCTATAATGGGTTTGGAGGCGGTCCCTATAGTAGCGTGTCAGCGGTGAGATCTGGAGGCATGAAGGCGTCAAGAATGTCGTACTTTCGCGAAAAGTCTCGCGAGCAGAAAACGCAAGAGAATGGTTTGGCGCCAGTGTCTTTAACAGGGCTGTCAGTCGTAATGCACAACTTTTTCGTGGCAACTTACGCCGGGTCTGGTGGCGCTTCAGGTGTTCAGCTCGTGAAAACCCCTGCCCGCAATCCATGCATCGGTAGCGCTTTTCTTGACTGTTGGATGCGCCGGTAAGAGTGGCCGCTTGCTTGATGCAGGCCGAGGAGAGAAGTGCTTGGTTCCTGATTAAGTCGTGGAAGTTTTCCATGGTTCCTACCGCCGCCAAAAGTTCTGCGAGTGCCAGTGGTGGAAAGAATCATTGATTGTTTTACTGAGGGGATGGCGGCTTACCTAGGTAAATAAGTGCGACGGCGGCGGGCAGAGGGACTCTTGAGCAGCGGGCTTTTTACAAGCCAAGTTCTCTAGCCAGTGGATGTACGCGGAGAAGGGCCCCCACGAAAACGATGTGGACATCAAATCCCCGCCCAGTACTCAATAATTTTCACCTAAGCGAGCTCACACTGCGGAGTGGTGGGCACAACAATTCGTCTTCACTTCGGTAATACCCCACGCTCAGACCCCAAGGGGCACATCACCTTTAAGACTAATACTTCCCTGGCAATAACGAAAAAGTGCACTGCAGCAGATTGCTCTGGTTCCGGTCTCTCAGCAATCCATTCATCTACAGTGCATGGGGGCTCGGTCCCTTTGCCATGTTCTTTGAATTCTCTTAAGGAGTACACCAATCGAACACGAGGCAAACATGATCTCACTCTGGATCCCACTCTGCTTGATCTACCCTAAAGGAGATTTCGCCCTTGACATGGTAACAAAAAAAAGGCGATCAACTCGCCATGATTCTCTCGACTTTTGAAGCTCTCGTGAGAGGAAGCTTTGCTCTTGGCGGTCCGTGCTGGATTCCCAACGGGGTTGAAATCTAGGGTTACATGGCAACCTGCGATCATGTTGATGGAACCACTCTTTTAGGGGGTTTATCACCCAGAAGTGCTTGAAACGTAGTGCTGACCCCATTGGTGTCTAATAGCGATAAACTTACTGACAGCATTCCCAGCGTCAGTCGCGTCGCCGAAGGCAGTTGTCCAGCGGACAAGCGCTAACCAGAGGCTGACGAGGCAGAGCCAGAAGTTGCTGACGCCAATGGTATAGTGCTTGCTGACGCGGAGAATTTGAGCTCCATTCCATGGGCCACATTTGACGTAGAGCCAACAGTGATATAAAGGAAAATCATTCGATGAACTGCCCTCGTTGGTGTGGGATCTATGTCGACATCACTTGCCATGCCTTTTTTTTCCTCCAGCTTGGACCAAAAGGGCCGGTTCCAAGCAAGCCAGAGAATAGCTTGATAGAATAATGTGAAGCCTCTCAAGACGTTTGAAGCTTATCATCTCGTAACTCAAAGGCACATCGCGAAAAAGTTCAGCGATCGAATAGAAAGCGAAGAAAAGGCCAAGGATGCGACAAATATAGCCGAATTCATTGCACAATCACGTAGAAGGATCGTATGTTAACTCATTGGCGTGGTCTGTGCGGCAAAAGCAGGAGAACTTGATCGGTATATCTGCCATGGCAGTGGCATGCGTCAGTTGTGGTCTAATGAGTCGAGCTTCCGCTATACGACCCAACTTCATTAGACACTCATAGTACCCACGGAGCGCCCAAACATTGTTTGGGTGGCGGAGAGCTCGCGGAAGCGTGTCGTCGAATCCCAGATCAGCACTGTACACTGCTGCGGCTAGTTCGGTGTGACCCTGTTCCAAGAGCAGAGCACCATAAGCATGTCGAGGAGGTTGCATCCACCCCCAAGGCTCGTCGTAGGGAAGTGCATCATCGAGAGCAATGGATTTCCGGAGATGATCAAATGCAGCGTCGAAATTTCGCCGGCGATATTCCAGTTCACCATTCAACATTGAACGGGCGATCGCAAGAATATCATCACAGGTGTTGTTGAACAGCGTCCGGGTGGACTTGACACGCGACACTGCATCATCGAAGAGGATGCGCTGCTTCTCAGCTTCCTCCACTCTTCCAGCAGCTGCCAATGCGACGCCTTTTGCATAGTGTATCAAGGCTGTTGTCACACAGTAAAGCTCTTGATCTTTGGGTAGTGGAAGGCCAAAAATTTCCTGCCACAGGCCGAATCGAATGAGCGCGTGCACACGCATCCCGTGGAAGGCTTCCAACCAGTCGGCCATTGGTGGTGAATTGACGCGAAGGAGGGCTTCTGGGACCGTTGCCTCGATCCAGCCGGCAGTTTCTAACGCAACTCTTGACTGGCCAGCAAACATGGCAGCGTAAAGGCGAAAATGGTAATTGTGGCATCTATAGAGAGTGTAGAAATTTAAAGGCCCAGCACGAGCTAAAAACCTGTTATCCGCATGGATGGCATCTGTATTCGAAGCGATCGCTCGGCGATAGTCGCCGCAAAGTATGTCGAGATGAGTAGGCATATGGTGCAGATGACCAGCATCAGGTATCAACCCTCTCAAATGGTCTGCTATGGGCATAGCAAGCTCAGGGGAGCCGGACATTTCCATGAGATGGATGTAGAGGTGTAACAAGCCGGGATGTTGCAATCCAGCCTTTAGAGTTAAGGCGTGATCGAGGACCTTCTTCACCTCTATCGTGTGCGCCCCAGAAGCCGGGCGTCCAGTCGACAAGTCCCAAAGTTTCCAAGGGGAGAGATTCATCAGAGCGTCAGCGTAGAGGGCTGCCACATCGAGGTCGTCAGGGAATGCTTTATAAACAGATCGCATGGAATCGGCGTACGGTTGATTCCAGACCGAGCAATCAGCAGGCGCTTGCGAGCGAGGGTATCGGAATTCGAGAGCCTCCACTAATGCCTTTTCGACCGCCGTGGCATTGATTGCTTCCGCCTTCGCTTTCTGGACGGCAGCATGCGTCCGAGTCACAGTGGACTCGAGTTCCTCCCCATCAAAGAATTCCCATGGTTTGTTGTAGTTGGGACCAAGAGCATAGGCCAGGCCCCAGTAGGCCATGGCGCAGCCAGGATCAATGGCGCAGGCCTTTCTAAAACATTCTGCTGATTCCTCATGGTTGAAGGCGTAGCTCCAAACCAGACCACGGTCAAACCAAAGTTGGGCGTCTTTGCTGTTCGTGCTTACAGGTCGACTGAAAGACCCGAGGTCGTAATAGGAGTCTGATATCGTTGGCGCATCTCGAAGACGTCCGCCAGTCACCTTGGCCGCCATGCTTCGATTGTGTATGTACTACGACTCGCCTGGCTTGAAAAGAGACAAAAACGCAGGCAGGAGATGATTGCGTTGGGGGCGTTGACTCGGAAACAACTCGGAGCTACGGAAGGGATCACATGCCAGAGCGACTTATTTGTGATTCAATTTGCGTCTCACGGATTTCAATATGTTCCTTTGCCCAATTCGCCCTACGAGGTACTTCTGGGTGATCATCATCATCAACATAGTAATCATCAAATCCGTTCACAGGACAAAGCGCGACAATTAATATCCATCCCTTCCCTCAACGACACCGTACGCTCCTCCTCCTTTTCCGAACATCTCACACAACCCCTCTGCCACGTCCTGCGGCCTCTCCCATCCTGCGAAATGACCTCCTTTGTCGAAGACCTTCTGATACACTATCGGTCCCATTGTATGTCGCCATGCTTTCGGATTGTTGCATATCTCCACGGGGAAATCTGCGATACCTAGCGGCACGTCGATGTATCCTTGCACAGCAGGAATCGTGATCTCGGTGGTGTCATGCAAAGCCTCGTAATAGATGTATGAAGCTGCATCAGCCCCGGCACGCGAAAATACATACATTGATGTCCATAAGCACACTTCCTCCTCTGTCCAGGGATAGCTGTCGGACCAGTCATTGAGTTTATCCCATATCCATGCCATCAAGCCAATCGGATTGGAAGAAATGAGAAAGTTGATAGTCGCGGGCCGAGTTGACTGAATGGCAATATAACCACGCCTAATTGAGAAGTGAAGATTGGAGGTTAGTGTCTCAACGCGGTTACAAAGAGACAAGCGGCATACCCTTCTCCTGTCCCAAACGGATACCATCTTTCACCTTGCTTGATCTGTCGTTTCTCCCGCTCGGAATACTCTGGCTCTGGGTTTTCCAACGTGAATTCAGGCTTTGCGGCCCACGCCCAGTTGACGTGAGTACCCCTGACATGTTTTGGGTACAAGTACGCAAGGGCTCGGGTGATTAAATACCCCCAGTCCCCTCCTTGAGTCACATACTGGTCATAGCCAAGCTTCAACATGACATGGTGACAGGCATCGGCGTATCTCCCTATGGAGAAGCCCCTCTTCAACATCGGACCGGAGAAAACATAGTTTGGGAGCGAGGGAGCAACAACATGGAATGCCGGTTTGCCATCACCGCCTTCAAGCATCGGAAGCATCTTGGTAACCTCTAGAAAGCTCCCAGGCCACCCATGGACAAACAAGAGGGGAATGGCACCCTTCACAACACTCTTCTGGTGCAGAAAGTGCATGTCAATGTCCCCAAAGCCATCAACATGGACGGTAGTTTCAAAGTTTGGGAACTCGTTCATTCGACGTTCCTGGGCCCGCCAGTCGAAACCTGTTCTCCAGTGCTTCACGAAACGCTGGATATCGGCCCTAAACGCAGGCAGGTCAGCAGAATCATTTATGTATTAACACCTTTGTCCTACAGTGGGGAGCCATAGTCCCATCCTGCACCTTCGAGCTCCGTCGGCCACTGATACTCATCGATTTGGCGATTGAGGCGGTCCAACTTCTCTTGTGGTACGTTTATCTCGTAGTCTCGAATCTGCGCCATTTCGGTTGCCCTTTCTCAGCGATTACTCGGACAACTCAAAGCAAAAGAGTTGCTTCTACTTCTTTTCATCTCTCCGAGAACGTCGTCCTTTTTCTCGCCGCGAAGTTACCCCGCAACGATTTTTCTCAACCAGCATCGTCAGGTGAGCCTGAGCTTGTTTTACTTCCCTCTTAGCCTCCATAGAACCGAAAACGAGGTTTAGTCGAACATCGATTCTAACCGCAACCTATTTAGTACAATATTGCACGAATAGGGTCAGCAGCACAGCTGGCGCTTTGTGCGGGGACCGCTAGCCGAAGACAGAACAAATGGACATCGACTGGTCTCTCGCTTGGGTATCTCCGGGGGAACTAGAAAACTTGCGGCCGATGCAGCCGTCGGCGTTCAGTCTGTATGGACTTTGATGAATGTGTTCATAAGCCTTCACAGTGCAGATATCGACTCCATCTGAGGCATGTCAATTCCAACGGGAACGAGGATTTCCCCAGTAGCCCATTCTCCCACTCGACTCACTGGAATTTCTACAGCGTGGGTGCTCCCGATCTTCCGCCGTGCCGAATGGCCACATTGGTATAAAACAGACCTCATTGAACGCGCACTGAGGACACTTTTTCCACACCGACCAATCCAGGTATTTGGTGAGCGACCGCAACTTATCCATTGCCTGTGATAGCGTTACGTCCGCATTGAACGCGGCGAATAGTGTCTCGCAGATTTCCCTCGTCACAGCTCGGATCGAGCCCCCTACGATCGAGGTCGAGATGCGACCTTCGACCGGATTGAACTGGGCTACACAGCGATCCACCTCGGCCGTCTTGTTCCGTGCGTCTGAGTCGATAAAGACACGTAGAATCAGTTCCAGCTCCTCCAAAAGGTCTTCAACTTTCGTCAATTTGCCTCCCAGCAGGTATTTCAGTACTCCAGCATAGCGTTCAACCACCATGTCTGTAATGCTCTGCCAGTCGACTTGGCTCTTCTCATCCAAGGTATTGAGAGGATCCCATGACCGCACCATTTTGTCGACATCATCCCGGGCTCTATCTAGAGCTACGGCCGAAGTGTTTTCCAGCCTAGGCAAGTCGGTCTCGCCTGAGAAAAGGTCGAAATCATATGTGTATGCCGTAAAAAAATGATCATAGTCCAATCTCACTCTCCTCCCCCCAATGCCGTCATACCGTGCCGCTACGAACTTGATCCATTTCCATATTGCCCAGTCGAAGCTTTTCTCGGAGGTATCTGGCGCGGCCCCTTCTGGAGATAATTGACCGGCCCTGACCGATTGCACGAAATCCAAAGAGTCAGAGAACGAGCACATGATGATCTCGAAACCAGCCTCCATGCGAATAAACCCCTTGATCTTCCCGTTCCAACGCTCATATGCCAATTTGCAGAGTCCATCCGCCCGTTTTCTCTCCCATAGCATACCGCCACCGTCGGAGCTAGCATTCAAAAGCAATACATCTTGAGAATCGAGGGTGCCTTTGTCACATTTGCCGGCTGACATACCGTCAATGTAGAGCAGGGGCGTTGCTTCTTTCGTTCGGTATGTGTGAAGCCACCCGGGGTCGACCTGAGGGATATCGGGCCTTTCGAGTATGGAATGGCGATCATGGCTTTCAGTCATTGAATTTGGAGAGAACTTTGCGGCTTTCAGGGCAGAGGAGCTTATTCTTTCGAAACTGGGCTGGTTCATAATCTCTGTCCCTTTCCCGGTCTGTGGCAGCAGGGCTTCATACGGCCTGTGAAACCTTCTTGCAAAAATGATAGCATGTTCAGGCTCGAATGCTAGCCATTCCAGGCCTTGGACGGGCTCTTGGTTGGGGTTGCCATGATAGAACTGTATTCCTGCTGGAACCAGGGCCGGGAAAAATGACATGCCGTTGTGATAGATGGAGGACCCCCATTGTCTCATTGACGAGTGGACGGCGTTGAATATATGGTTTGCATTGCGGACTTGGTCGGTCGAGTCAACAGGCTCGCTAGGAGGCAACGCTGTTGGTTGAGCGGCCCTTGGCAGGACGAGCATAGTCAGGGCAAACAACCACATAGTCGGTTGGTGTATGCGAAGGTGAAGAATTGAGAAAGGCGATGGAGACTGAAAATGGCGGGCGCCTAATAGACTCTTCAATGGGTATTGGATCTTGTCTAATGCACCATTGATTGCGAAATCGGACCTTGATTGGCGTTGGATAGTGTTCGAGCATTAATATCATAAATTTCAGTTTGCTTACGTGGGCAGCAAACGCGGCCACTCGTCTATCCCCATGTGAGTCTCATTTGTGTCTTTATCTATCCAGCCATCTCCCTGTATCCATTGTCCTCCACTCTCTGTCTATCTACTGACAGTTCTGTATCGCCTAGTACCTCTCCAGGACTCCTCAGACAATGCCACCCACCAATTCAGGTTTCCCCATGAAGCCGTCACATCCCAAGTCCATCAGCTCCTTAAATTTGATGGCGTTGCCATTGCCGCTGCTACTACTACTACAATTCTCTTCCTCTTCCCCCACCAGATCAACATGTGTCTTCACCATCTATTAGCCATATATTTCCCAATCCTAGATAAATCGCCTCGCTCTCGACCTCTCCTCGTCCGTCCTGCCCCCCAACTTCACTCCCACGTCATACATCTTATGGGAGTCTCCAACCCTGTTACATCCTATCACTGCCAAAATTTCTCCAAGAAACAGATACTGTTCAAGCCGCTGCTTCTCCGGGAAGGTCTTCGCACTCCTGTGGGTTTCTTTTCTGTTGACGCCAGTCTTACGTGTCCGCCCAACGGCCTTGATCGTGGCATCCTATTCCTCGTCGGTCATTCTAGTCTCGACTTTGGGATTGGTGGGTTCCTCTCACTTGATGTCCTGGGAGACGTTATGATGACGAGATCGATACTTAGGATGCCTCGGGATAATACCCATGTTCTCTGTGCTTATGTTATATAACACACCCCCGGATATGATATCTATGACTCTAGCTAGCCGACTCTCGTTTCCAGGATATGGTGCAGAAAATCTCGTAAGGAGACTTTTCCATACAAGGTCCGATGAGAAGATACAGTGGACAGACATCGATCTTGTCTGGGTGTACATCAAGGTCCCTGCTGGGTCTTTGGCTGTCAAGGACTCTCTGTTGGATGATAGTGTATTGATGTTACAGCCGACCCTGTCGTAGCAGGCCGTCCTGGCAAACGTACTCAAATATTATTTGACCTTGATATGGGATACGATGGGTCCTCCTGCTCCAGCGTAGGAGGTGGCTACCAGGTCGCCAGGATGATGTGTTGGTTCAGAAGACGGGCGAACACGAAACAACCCTCAGGGGAAGTGGCACCACCGCTAAGACGATACGGTCCTCCTCCGGATTGTCATAGTTGGTGGTGAAGATGACTTCTAAGAGAGCCACATAATGCATGCGCCCGATACTTCATGCCACCAGCCTTTGGGTGCTACTGTCGACCATGTTTCATACCGCTGTCGCTTGAATTCGAGTCATCGGACACCCTCAGAGAGACACGAACTGAGTGACGTCACACATTACGGCTCGGACGGCAGCCGCCCGAGCCGGTTGCGATGTGCGACAGACACGCCTTGACCTTAGTTAAGGGCTCGACCATCATATTTGAGGAACAGCCACATTTTCAAACTCAACTTGAACTTCGACATTCTCCATTCCCCCCTTCCATTTGCGTTATTCTTCCACCTCCAGGAACCCAGAGAGATGTGAATCCCGTCAAGGACACGCTTTAGTGCTGCCCCACATAACCGCTGGCTAAGGCGTCCAGCTGCCACTCAGCGATGATTCGCCCTAGGCTGCTCTCTTGCACAGGCAACCCAGCGAGCCAGCTACCCCAGCAAGGCCCGGATTCTGGCATTGCCCATTTACCCAGTAGTGTCCGTCCAACTGAAAAGGCCATCGGACGCCTTGGCCCGGAGTACACTTTCACTGCCATCTGCCGCTCGCCGCCAGTTGGGGCTACCCTAGCTTTTGTGGAGGAATCTCGCTTCCCTGTCCCTTTGGTGGCGTGAATAGAAGTCATATCATGGCCAGCTTATTACCCCCAACTCCATATCGTTCTCGTCGCCTTCCCCAACTTTGCGGAGATGTCGCGTTGTGGGGAAGCCAGTTAGAGGAGATTAAACAGCATCAGTACGTGGGTTCTGAAGACCCAGACTCAGATGACTACTCGGAAAAGTATCCATACTCCGCCATGACCTCCTGGGCCAACATATACCCCAACCTCGTTAAACGTCTCGCCGATGGGCGATATCGCTTATTTCACCATAGCGTTTCCTCGGGGTAAAGGGGTTGGTTATGAAACTGCCGAATCTTGGAGAAGCTCAGAGCAACCATCTGTTCCAGAACACGCTTCCAGACCTTTGCAGAAGCTAGCATAAAGACTGCAGCTGGACATGGACCCCAGAACAATCGCCTGAACAGCTCTCTTTCAGCTTCAGGAAATTTCAACATGGGTGCAGGGAACAAGTACAATTTTCTCGTCGTCTTCTTCGTGACGTTCGGGTCTCTGACTTATGGGTACAACTCTGCAATCATTGGTGCCGTCATTGGCCTGCCATCCTTCTTTCAGTACTTCAATATTGACATCAAGTCAAGCGGTGGCTCTCGAATCACTGGAGGTGAGGGTTCAAAGCATGACACACAGGACAATTTATAAAATATGACTGACTTTTTGTGCTTAGCAACAAATGGCCTCTTCGCAGGAGGAGGATTCATAGGCTGCTACCTCATCACCTGGCTGGCTGACAAGGTGGGCAGGAAGAGGTCCATACAAATCACCGCTTGTATTTGTATCGTTGCAGGTGCCCTTCAGGCCGGATCAGTTCACATTGCCATGTTCTTGGTCGCTCGCTTCATGATGGGAATGGGAGTTGGCATGGTCAATGTCATCACGCCGCTCTATCAGTCAGAAGTTTCCCCTGCCCACTCGCGCGGGAGAATGGTGGGTAGCCACGGGTTTATTCTCTGTGTCGGATACGTAAGCGTCCCGCCTCCCTTCTCCATCTCACTCTTTCTAACTCCGGATGCAGGGACTGGCGGGATGGACAGGCTATGGCTGCTATTTCTTGAAGAACCAAGTGGCTCAGTGGCGTCTCTGCCTCGCCCTCCAAATTGTTCCACCCCTCTGTCTTTTGATCGGGTCTCCATGGCTTCCTGAGTCACCTCGATACCTGGTTGCAAACGACATGCAAGAGCAGGGTTTCGAAATCCTTAAACGATTGCACCACCAGCCAGAGGATGAAGACGACACCATTGCTCGCGAAGAGCTCTATCAAATCCGTCAACAACTAGACCTAGAAAAGCGCGAAGGCTGGAGACAAGGCTGGGTTGAGGGCTGGGTTCTCTTGTTCTCCAGGAAGTCTTACCGAAAGCGGATGTTGTTCGGATTTCTCCTTCTGTGAGTTCATTCAGACGACTTTCCCTTCACTGATCTGTTATAAAGAATACAATCCCTTCCAGGTATCGCGGGTTGACCGATAACGTGCGATCTAGATCGCCACAATTGGATGAAGACATTTGCTGACAATATGTTAACAATCACAGTGGTTTAGTTCAGAGTACAGGTATTGCTGATCCAAATTGAGCACCTTTTCACTTCGCTAAAGCATTTTAGGTTGCTTGGTTATAAACAACTACCAAGTCCTTCTTTACAACGGCCTCAGTCTGTATGGAGCAATGCCTCTCATGCTGTACGCCCTCTGGGATACCTGGGCCGCCTTCATGAACTTCATTAATGCTCTTCTACTCGACAAGGTCGGCCGAATCCCAATCATGGTTGTTGGACAGGTATGCCACACGGTGATCTCTTACGTGCAACAGCTAATGTTTTAGATTGGTTGCTCCGTCTCCGTTGCTGGGTTTACTGCTTGTCTTGCAAGATACGGCGGATCAGACAACCGAGTCGGAAATGGATTCGGCGTCTTCTTCCTCTATCTGTGTAGGTCTTAATTCAATCTGTATCCCCGCTCTCCAGCTGACTCGAAAATAGTTGTGACTTTCTTCGGTGGCTCGATGGACGCTTCATCCTATGTTTACTCTTCTGAGATCTTCCCGACTTCAATCCGCGCTCAGGGTGCCGGATTCAGTGTGTCTGGTTTGTTCGCTTTCAGCTTAATTTACACCATGTGCGCCCCCGTCGCTTTCAACAACATCGGCTGGAAATACTACCTAATCTTTATCATTGTCCCGCTCTTCGGAGCTACCATCATGGCGCTATTCTACCCGGAGACCAAGGGTCTAGCCCTCGAAGAAGTGGGGAAGAAGTTCGGTGACGAGATAGCTGTCGATCTTACTCACCTCTCGGCCGAAGAGAGGGCCAGACTTGACAAAACTCTAGTTAATGAAGAAGTCGTGGAGATGGAGATTAAGGCTTAAGGAAGTCGAAAGTCGAAAGTTACTACGGCTAAAGTAGTTAAATTAGACTGTACATTGAACACCGAGTTGTCCAATTAAGGTGTCCGATTCTACCGGGATTTCGAGTACTCCGGACACCTATTTTAATACTAAGAGTACTAGGTTAAACTAAACAGTAAGTAGTGAAATTTAATACTCTTTATATCGAATGTCCGAGTCTAAAATATTCTTTAAGATTACTTATAATTTTATTATAATAGAGTACTTTAGAGTTCGGCGTATACGTATAACAACGTATAGAGATCTATTCAGTAGGTCGAGAATTAAGAACGCGATTCTAGTTAGCACTGATAAGACAACACCACCACTAAAGCCACCTTGTTAGACACAGCCTTGGAAGAGACCGGTCGCGGGCTGCGAAGGCGCGGCTCAGGACATTCATTGGACAGATGGAAGGATCCACAAGGGAACAAGGCTGAACCACGTGATATGCCCTGTTGGCTCTGTCGGCCCTGTGGGCTCTGCCAGCAGAGCGCACAGAGCGCACAGAGCGCGCAGAGCACGAGCATTATATATACACCCTCATTT